TTTCTAAGAGGCTAGGAACCTTTTATAGGCATTATGCTAAACAAAGAATAAAACAAATCAACAATTTGTAGATTTTATAATAGAAAAAGATGAGAACTTAACTGTGGGGTTGAAGGGATTTCTGGAAGAGATGAAAGGGAGGTGATACCCTGTTTCCCCCAAAATAAGACATTTCCTGATAATAAACTCAATCCGGCTTTTGAGCACATGGCAATAAAGCCAAGTGCTTATTTCAGGGTTCAAAAAAATATAAGACAGGGTTTATTTTCGGGGAAACACAGTAGGTTGTCAATATCTGTTGAAGAGAAGATTGGGAGTTGTTATATTTTATAAGTGTAGTCTTTTTTTGTTTTTTTCTTGCCCCTTTTTCTTTTCTAAATGTTTTTATTTGTCTTTTACTTCATGTAAAACTCAGTATAAATAAATGATGCTAATATAACGAAGCAAGTTCTACTTTCACCTAAGTGTTGTTTTCCTTGGATCTCTTAGCAGGTTACAGCCAACAGACTGCTCCTCAACAAGCACAGCAGTTCCAAGGATACAGCCAGCAAGCCTCCCAGGCTCCAGCTCCTGGCTTTCCTGGCACAGCTCCACAGCTGCCAGCTCAGCCTCCTCAGCAGTATCAAACAGGCACTTACGCTCCACAAAATTATACAACTCAGGCCTCCCAATCTGCTAATTATAATGTAACTCCAGCATCGCAACCTGGAATGGCTCCTAGCCAGCCCAGCACCTACCAGCCAAGACCTGGTTTCACCCCACCTCCTGGAACTACTATGACTCCTCCTCCAAGCGCCCCTAATCCTTATGCACGCAGCCGTCCTCCATTTGGCCAGGGCTATACTCAGCCAGGTCCTGGTTATCGATAAGGAAACTATGCTGTTAAAGAGCCCCAGGTAAATTCAAGCAGCTGCTGACGCTGTTCCACCTGTACAGACAAGAAGATTCTTTAATTGATATTTAAAAAATATTGAAAGGCAAAATATTGTATGGTATCACCTTTGCTCTTTAATTTTCTGGGATAAATGACCAAATGAATCTTGTCTCCTGCTTTAAATTGTATTGGCTTTCTAGTTTAATATTTGTCCCATTGGAAACTACCTAAATGTATGTAAAGCAGATGACATTCTAGCTTGCCATATTAAACTGCTAGGTAAAAATCTAGCTGACTTACTTGAATTGGTTTTACTAATAAAATTAAGTACTAAATTCGATCCACTTGTTAAAAATTAGATACATATAAATTGTAACCTTCACAATACAATTGAATAAAAACATTCAAATCATTATTTGATCAGTTGCAGAGAAGTCTGTTTAGTAATTGTTATACTTCTATCTTTCTACAGAAAACTAAGTCTCCAACTCCCTGGATTTTATTGAAATATTTTTCACATAAGAACACATTTGAAGCAGTTCCTGTTATTGTAGCAGCTGAAAAATGTTGTAGTAAACATGGTGTAAATTTGTTCTTTTTCTTGCATATATCAGTAAAAATGACAGATACTTGATTAATGATTATAGCCGAAGCCTTGGCAGAAAAACTCAAGCGAATTAAGTAAATTAAAATGCCTTTCATAACAGATATTAATAGCAGTTTAGGACTCTCAGTGTTCAGCGAGCAGTAAAATTCTTGTACTGGAAACAGAATGCTGTTGTTATGTGTTGTCTTAACATTTTGATTAGCTAATAAATAGCTTATTTTAATTATTATTTGTAAGTTAAGGTATGTTACCATGGCACACTTGGTGAATTACATCAGAATATTGGTAAGGCAAGATCATGGGTCGTTCAGAGGGGCTTATGAGTGTTTGTTTTTTGTTTAGACCATGGGTGTCAAACATGCTGCATCATGTTGCCGTCACGTGACATTGTGACGTTTTTCCCTTCACGGAGCTGGGGTGGGTGTGGCCTACATGTGACGTATCTGGCCTATGGGGCACCAGTTTGACACCCCTGGTGCCACCCCAATGTTATGTGCATAATGTTTAGAGCATTATGCACATAACGTTTTTCTTAATTCTATTCAGATGTCCCTGCTCAACACTTTCTTCTTTTTTTAAATCAAGCCCAAGGATCAAAGACTATAATGGTTTATTAAAACCTGTACTATTTTTATCTGTTGTATAAAAACACATTGAATTAATGGAGTCTTAAAATTAGATGATCCAAAATATTGGAGGGAAGAAAAACTACATGGTAACTATAAAGTATGCAACAAATTCGTACTGTCTTTAGCAGCTATCTTTTATTGAACAGATACTTTTAAAAGTTTATTTTCACAACATTGAATATGCTTGTCAATTACAACATACTCCAGAATTTCAGCATCAGTCCTTGGTAAATTTTCCCCACTCCGCCCTAGAACAGCTTTTCAGTATCAGTGTTATTCCATTTATCTTGTGCCTGTCTCCTTGCACTTCAATTTGGCATGTGAGAGATTCAGGTTTTGTATGCATCTAATGATCTTTACCTATGTACTGTATTCTTTTCTTTTCCGCCATACCTATTTTGAAGCTTAAAATTCAGTACTTCTTTCCACGAACCAAAACAATTGCTTAAATATATCTTGTTTTAAGAAAGTTTGTTTACTATTTATTTAAAAGATTTCTATGGCCCTCCATATTAGAGTTACAACTTGGGGAGGCTTATAACAACAATTCAAAAAGCACGAAAACAATAAGAAAAAACTAAAAGTTGTATTCATCATCATCATCATCCCAGGGTATCCAATAACTACCCCATGGCTCCCAGTTCACTGTCTAGATAAAGAGCCAGGTCTGGTTGACCTTCTGGAAAACTAAAAGGGTGGGGGCCTGCTGGGACACCTGGGGGAGGGTGTTCCATAAAATAGTAACAGCTTTGGAAAAGGAATGCTTCATAGATCCTACTAGATGGCAGTATTTCCAGGAAGGAATGTGGAACATGCCCATCCTATTCAATCTAGTAGGAGAGGCAGATATCAAATGAGAGGCAGTTCTGCAAATAACTTAATCCTGTGCCATTAAAGCTTTAGGTAATAAGCACCACTTTGAATTGCATCACCAAGAAAACTGGTAGCCAATGCAGTTGACACAATAGAATGTAACATGGGGAAACCTGAGGCACCCAACATTTAACTTCAAAGTTTCTGATCTGTTTTTTGAGAGCAGCTTTATGAATGTCAGCCCTCCCAGGTAAATCAGAGCAGGAAACATAATCAGATTCCACTTTATTGTAAGGTTATATTAAGAAATCTTGTAACTGTAAAAATACAAATCTGCGGCTGTCTCTTTCACAGTCTGAGAAGATAAGGAAGGTACCTTCTGAATCTCATTCTTCACCCATTAAGCAGGTGTACCATACTCTCTTATGTGATGGTTCCCCAGGCAGCATCTGTTCCGTCTCAAGGTGTTTCTTACATATCATTACATGTATTACACACATTTTCTATTGAAAATGGATCACAACTATCATTATCCCTAGCTTGAAAATATAGTGAATGAAGCTGCTAGAAGATGCTCAGAACAACTTGGCATGTTGGTGTCAATTACACACTTACTTCTTCAAGGACATAAGCCAGGGGCGGGTTCCAAATCCCATCACTACCGGTTTGCACTTGTGCATGCAGCACTTCTGCGCGTGCACAGAAGCATCTGGGTGGGCAGGCAGAGCCTCCCACCGCTGTTACTACCAGTTTGCCCGATCAGGTGCAAACCGGTAGCAGCCCACAAGTGATATATGCTCCTTGGTTTTAGCAGTTGCCAGTCCATAGTGTCTCTGCCTTGTCAAGTGTTTGCTTCAAAGAATCAACTTGATTTGAATTGAATCAACAAGTTAATTGGCTCTGACTGATCTCCCCACAATAATCAGTAAAACCAATCTACTCCCTTTTTTTCATGTTAAAATCTCATTATATAATTTCTTTTATTACAGCTAATAATATCATGATTGTTTCTTTTTTCATACTTGATGCCAAAATATTGAGGAATTCCCATCTGGTTATCAGCTTCAGAAAATTGAACACGAGTTAACAAATTGAGTCTCAATTTAAGTAATATAAGAGTCTTCGTTGCCATTAGAGAAGCCACCACAGGGCTTGCAGTGGAATTCGTTCTGGATAAAGATGTACAACGTGCACATATTCTAATAGCCCAATTTCAGAGAGTCAGAGGTGCTTTTACCTAGTTTTAGTTACCAACCAGCTTCATGAGTCATGCCTTAAATTAGCTGTATCGTGACACAGTCCTTGAAAAGTGTTTTGAACATTCAGATAGCACAAAATGCAGTTGCTAAATTGGTGTCCTTTATAGACTTCAGTTTTCTTGAATTGATTGTATTGATTTTTGGATGTGTTGTAAGTAAAATGAATTAATGTTTATTAGTACCTGATGTGACATTTTGCCAAGGAATAAACAAATTTCAGAATCTTAACAATGAACTTAAATGCTGTTCACAAGCATTCCTGTAAGGATCGTTTGGACACTTTTCTTGATAACTCCGAAAATCTGTGATCCGTCTCTCTAAACTACACACAATTCACAGAACAATATCTGTATTCGTTTCTCCTACTACACACAATTCACATAGACCTCCAACTTTCCATGTTTATATTCCATATTTAGGCAAAAATTTACAAATTTTTGTATTATATAATACAAAAATTGTCAAGCCCTTCAATTTTCGATGTACAAGCTTGTGAAATTTTGAAACTCTTCCAAATGACCTTTGAAATGGGGTGTCTCGATATATTTTATATCTTAAAAAGCTCATGAAGTAGAGTTTTATGCATTTGAATTTGTCATCAGATAATTTAAAGCAATACTGTCCCGCATGTCTCTCTTCGTTATTTCAAAATGATCAGAAGGACACTGAAAAGCCTTCTAATGGGTTATTTTAAAAAATGGCAGCAGTAGAATTATCTTCAAAATAATCGCCACTCATGTTTTTTTCAAAAAATGAATTTCAAATTAGGTACTTGTAGCTTTGTGTAGGCTGAATATATCAATAATAAATCAAATATCAATGATTAAAAATATTTTATTAAGAGTACAATGTACCTGCAGTGTACTTATATTTTCTGTAAACAACCAAACCAATATTCCTTATGTTTCTTAGATTTGTATACATTAAAACTTACATCTCTTTATAGTGTTTAAATGTTTAAGTAATACAAACATAGCATTTTATGCAGGGAACCACTGAATTATTTTCAAAAACAGTCTTCATTTTCCATTTTATAAAGCAGATCACATTACTCTTCAGTTTTATATCAAACAAAACATTTTTTAAATACATGTACTTTGCATATGCTTTGACAGTCTTCTATACAATACACTAGGCCACATTTCTCCATGTTTAACTGAAATAAAACTGCCTGATTACATTCTTGATATGATTTACACACTGCCAATCTGAATATACACATTTCCCACAAAAAAAGCTTCAAGGAGTAAAATGATTGAGTCTGCTGTGCATTTAAAGAGGGAAAATCTGTTTGAAATACTTACATAATCTTTTTAAATGGCATGTGAACTTTGCTTTCAGATATCTATACCAGAGTACACAGTATTTTTGAGAAAGATTCTTCCATTAACAACAGCAGAAAAAAAATTAAGGCTTTTGCATCTTTATTTCATCAATAATATATTTTCTCCCTGTAAATTGATTGTGTGTGTATGTATGTGTATTTACAATGAACTAATTCAATTTCTGGTGGGAGACAAAAATTGAACAGCCATTTCAATATTATTTATATATATACCAGTAAATGATATCAAAACCAGTAACCTCCTGACATACAACCAATTTTAATGCCATTTTATAAATGTTTGTTGCTACAATCCAGTGTATACTGGGAGTGCAGAATAAAAGTTTGTACCATTGAATTGAAATATCCCTTGTGTTGAGGGGCTCTTGCACAATGTTAACGATATTTAGGATAGTAGAAGGTTATTGGTATGGGTTCAATTAACATGATTCTTTTTTCCTGAATGATATTTTAATTGAAGAAATCTGAAATCAGAGTGTCAGTTTTATCTAAAGTTCGAATAAAATCTGCAACTTTTCAGTTGGACTGGATTTTTAATAAAGTGGCAAAAATGTCCAGGAATTAACTTAGAGAATAATTTAAGTATGTTTGAAAAGAAGTAGAATGTGACCATTAGCAATATACATTAATACAATTTCAGAAGTTATTTTTTCTTATCCGCTTTTCAGTAAAGGTGCCTCAAAATATCACAACAATAGTAAAAAATAAACTACACCTTTTACAATAAGTAGATAATATAAGAGACTATTAGGGAGCCAGCTTCCCAAGACATCAATTTATGATATTTCTTTCTGCAACATAACTGCAAATCTGAACATTTATAATTAAGCAGCCAATGCTATTGAAAGTTTATGAGTATTCTCACTAGATTTCAGTTTGTGATATCACAACAAACTTTTCTCTGAGCATGGAAGATCAGTTTGTTTCTTGTTCTACCATTTTCCAGGTATTGTAGTTCCACACTCATACCAATGAACATAAGTATTGTGTGTTCCAGATCCTATTTTTCCAAAGTGGACAGGTTCCTGACGAACAGCTCTAAAATAACCTAGTCAAAAGAGAAGTTCAACATTTAATAAAAATTGAAAATGGGAAAAATGACACATATATGTATAATTAAGTAGCTACATTTTGATCTTGAACATACGAACTCTAAACAAAATTTCATTTCAGGTGTATATTACATATGATCATTTTAGCACATATAGAATTGTTATGAAAACCAACATTTTAAATGGCTTCCTGTACAGCGTAATCTTTCGGGTCATGCACAAGTATAGCAACGTTATTTTCCAGATAAGTATTATTTGGGAAAGTCCTGAGGGTGACTTTGTTTTATGTTCATCAAGACGCAAAATGTAAGTAAATACAATAGATAAATAAATAAATAATACATATCTGCATAGATAGCGCTTGAGAGACCAGAATGACAAAAACCAAGAACAAAAAGTTGATTAGGAGGTAATATTAAAATCAACACAAGACTTATTTTTGCTTAGTAATAACTGAAATAGCAATAATAGTAATAGTTTGCTTAGTAACAGTGAAATTGAGTCTCTGTGCATGTCAATATGAATGAAGACCTCTGTATAGCTGTGTGTTTGTAACCTAGTTTTATCTATTCTTAATAGACCATTAAATTAATTTGACCAAATGAAAATCATCAAACAGACTGAGTTGGCAAAATACACTTTCATGTATGCTTTCCTTATAAAAGGACATTCTGCCAACGCAATGTTAATTTTATAATCTTTGGGATGGTCATTTCAGACATTGCTGAAATACTCATACAAATTGTGTTCAGTTCCTATCCTATTTCGCAATTGGAGAGATGAATAATCTGATGGAACACTGTAAAGCTTTGTAGGAGGAACTGCCTTTATTCAGTAATTTAGGCTTCAGAACGATCTGCTGCCAAGGGTATCTCCTGTTCCACACAGGGAGGGCGCATTTTATGGTCCCTTCATTGAAACAATTTTATTGTTCGGGATCCAGGAGGCACAGCCTCTGAGGGCAGCTCTGTCCTTTTGAACAATTTTCCCCCATCATACAGTTGGCACCAATTCTATAGGCCTTTAAGGGGGGCAGTTAAGAGCAGTATTTTCCCCTTTGGGATTTGCAGTCATGAATTGAGTCTCCAGTGAATAAATGAAAAGTTTTCATTTCTGTGTGCCATTTTGCTTTTTAATATGTTTTAATGAATTTGTACAATTTTATTTTTGTATGCTGCCGAAAGCCATAGGATTTGAATTGGGTCTCCATATAAATGTATAAACACATGGTTATGAATGTATACTTAGTTGTTAGGTATGTACTGTATCAAAGTTGACTCTTGTTCTACTTTCATCACAAAAAATGACAACTCTGTATTACATTTAAAGGTGGGAAATATACTTAAGAGTCCATTTATTATCCTCTGTTTAAAACATACCATCTTTGGAAGGCAGTTGATCTGATGGAAGCATTTGCCCTGTCTTTCCATCTAAATATGAATCCACAAATTGACAATGATCTTCTCCATGTCCTCTCTGATCTCCTATATTATAAAATGTGCCTAGAAAATATTAAAAGCAATATTAAAATATGATTACAATTCAATCAACTAAAAAATAGGCTATAGCCTTTACAATGGTAATTGGCAGCAGAATTTCCATCAGTAAATGATGTAGTGGTAAGATAGCAATAGCACTAGCACTTAGATTTACATACCATGACCACATTGTTTAGCGCAGAGGTGTCACACTCAAGGCCTGGGGACTGAATCTGGCCCATGGGGTGTTTAGGTATGGCCTGCGGGACCATCCTGGAAACAGCGAAGGACTGGCCTGTGGTGCCTCTACCAGTGAAAATGGAGCTTGCAAGGAGCTCAGGAGCCTGTTTTCACTGGCAGAGCACTCAGGCCACCATAGGAGCCCCCGACATGAGTGATGTTGAGGTGGCCATGACCACCCTGGGCATGCCCACCCCGGCCCCCTGAGATCAAACACAACCCTATGCAACCCTCAATGAAATTGAGTTTGACACTCCTGGTTTAGCACATGAATCCCAGCAGTCCCTGTTGCCATTGTTATCCAAATTCCACCAGTCTTAGCCAAAGACCCTGATCTAAACCATTCCCAGCGTGGTCCCTCCCATATTTACACAAGTATAAATGCTATGCTAAACTAGGGAAGATGATTAATACATGGATATTTACTGCATACAAAGCAACGTAAGTTCTGAGGCATTCAAATGCTTCTCTTCTGGTTGGAGAATTTCAGTCTCCCAGTTGACATTGATCTGTTATATGTTTATATAACCACAATGATTTACAAAGAACATGTTAGACTTTTGCATAGCACATTCCCACAAGAATCCTGTGGTGAGGGATAGAATAATATATGCTCAAACTCAATAGTTGCCAGCATTAAGAAGAGTACCCATGATGTTTCATTGTGTTCTCCATACTGATTATCCATGACATTTCATGTTGCCTACATACTGATGGACCTGTCTTGGTGATGGCTACAAACTTTTTGATGTTACACTTCAAAAACATTCCTAGAGTTATCAATCATGATTACAAATATCCAGTGCAATTCTACAAATTTGCTGTGTCTGAAATCTAAGTCCAGGCATATTCCTGAACCTAATGATGTCCTGTTCTGGCCATATAAATACCCACCTACATGCTTACTTGCTAATAGTCAGTTAAGAGAGTTTTAATTTTATACCTTTAAGTGAGTCACTGAGGTAAATTTTATATCGAAGGGAGTTACACAACTGAACACCCACAAACTTCTTGTACCAAGTCCTCTTGACATACTGTTTTCCCTTACATTCAGAATAGTCATCAGAATTAAATCTGACTTCAGTCCAAATTGCATCTTTCCCCACTGCAAGAAAATAATATATGAGATTTTGATTATAATATATGCCAAAATATACATCTGACATAAACAGAATATTTAAGTAAAAAAGCAATGTATAAGAATATTAGCATTATTATATTTCCTCTTTCTTATCATAAGTGAAAATAAAACACACACTGTAGTAAATGGAAGTAAATACAAAATATATTGCAAAATCTACATTCCCATCCCACTCTGGGGCAGCCAGAGGTGGTATTTGCCGGTTCTCCAAACTATTCAAAATTTCCGCTACCGGTTCTCCAGAACCTGTCAGAACCTACTGAATTTCACCCCTGGAAATACTGAGTCTCTCATCTGTACTTCGATAACTATCTGGTTTGGTACAGCAACTAAACAGGAAGAATACAATCTCCAACGGATAGTTGGACCTGCAGAAAAAACAATTGCAACCAGCCTGTCTTACATTAAAGACATTTTGTACAGTGGTGGTATTCATCTGGTTCTATCCAGTTTGGGCGAACCAGTAGCAGCGGCTGTGGGAGGGTCTGCCCACCCGCCCAGACGTCATCACGTCCCGTTTTTGATGCTCTGCACATGCGTGCATGCTCCCATTTGCAAACTGGTATCAAAGATAAGTGAATACCACCTCTGATTGGGTAGGTCCGAAGGAGTGCTGAGAAAACAGACCCTCATATCCTGGACATAAATTGTTCCAACTCCTCAGGACGCTACTATAGGGCATTGCATGCCAAAACATTTAGACACACAGACAGTTTTTTCTCTTGTGCTATCACTCTGCTGAACAGCTAATTCAGACAATATTGTTTTATATCTAAGTATATTTACCCATGTTGTATGGCTGTAATATTATTATTATCCTTCTCATCTTTTCTACTACCCCCTATTATTGGTATCATACTATGTTTATTACTTTGTTATTTTGCATATACATTGAGAGCACTGGAGACAAATTTCTTGGGTGTCTAATCACACTTGACCAAATAAAGTCTTCTCTTCCACTCTACTCTACTCTACTCTATTCTACTCTACTCTACTCTACTCTACTCTACTTTACTCTTTCCTATTCTTTTCTTTTCTATTCATTTGGTTTCTCAAGAGAAACCATTCTCCAATAGCTGCCCACCCTATTTCCAAAAGGTATAGATTGTAAAAAAAATAGGCAAAATGCTTTTCTCTTTTAAACCATATAACAGTACATTTTTCAATCTCAAAAATGGTCTCTAATAAGCATGCTACTTGTAAAGAAAACTTACTTGAAATAGATTCTGTTATTCTTGGGTCAGCTGTAAAGAAAGAGAAGGAGGGAAGCAGACAGAAAGAGAAGAACAAGCACAAAGATCAGGGTTCAAGAAACAAACAAACCTAAGTTTTATACATATAGTAAAGGAATTACAAAATAAACTTTTTAAAAAGAAATTAATGTAATTAGCATGAACTTTTAGAATTATCAAGTTGTTTGACATTAGAAACAAATCTGTTCGAAAACTAAATAGTTGAGTTCAAACTACTGAAAGGTATGTTTAAAAGTATTTATCTAATACTTATTTATCCAAAATGAGATTAAAATGGTCATAAAATGAAAATGAAATGAAAAATAATATAATAATATAAACACTTCATGGAATTTTAAAACATATTTTATTTTTTAAAGAAATTTTACAACATCCCAATATTGGTTTGTACTAATAAATGAAATGTTAATTGTTCATTCTGAATTCCAATTTAAAACAAGTATTATTGTGAAGTTTGTACAGATGCTATAACTTTTTGATCTAAACAGAATTATAACTTTCTATTTTATTTTCCTCTATAAAATTGTAAAGAATTAAAAGAGAGTTATATCTAATCGATGCAGTTATTGAAATTCTTACCCGATTCAGTTCTAAATGGTTTTGATTCACTACTTGGACCTTCCCCAAGAGGGTTGCTAGGTATCACAACAAATTCATAGCTACAAAGAAAATAAGTAAAACCAAGTGCATTTAAAATTTACAATGTGGTATGAAATAAATAGGAAATATGTAATTGGCATGTATAATTAAGGTAACTTTAATATTTAAAATCTCAATATGGTTTGGCAATTCTTAAAAATTTAGCAACATACATTGTTTCAAACATATTTAAGGAAATGACAAAACCCTAAGCAGCATTTTGTCTGTATAATTAATAGACAAACAACTCTTAAAACTGATCATTTTAAATACCATTAAAACAATTAAAAAATTTTTTTTATCCTGCTTTTATTATTTTTTTTATAAATAACTCAAGGTGGCAAATATACCTAATATCCCTTCTTTCCCCAATTTTTCTCCACAACAACCTGTGAGTTGAGTTGGGCTGAGAGTGACTGGCCCGAAGTAAACCAATCAGATTTTCATTCCCAATTTTCCATTTAATTTTGAGGTTCAAGGTGAAATATACTGTATCCTTAAACTTCTCAGTGAAATCCTAATTTAACAGGCTCAAACTGCCATGCTAGAGCCGTGGTGGCACAGTCAGCAGGCTAATTCTGCTTACTGCCAGCAGTTCGATTCTCAATGGCTCAAAGGTTGGCTCAGCCTTCCATCCTACCAAGGTTGGTAAAATGAGGACCCAGATTGTTGTGGGGGGCAATAGGCTGCCTCTGTAAACCACTTAGTGAGGGCTGTAAAGCACTATGAAGCAGTATATAAGTTTAAGTCCTACTGCTATTGCTTCAGATATATTACAGGTAGTCCTCAATGTCGAAGCATGAATCAGCTTTGTTCCCCCCCTGGGGAAAACTGTAATTAATTAGAGGTGACTGGACCTTGTTTTCCATGGTGCATACTCTAAAAGAAAGAAAACCCGAAGTATATATTCTAAGAAACATTTTATTATAAAAGTAAAACAAACTAGCTAACTACATCGTTACCGGCAGTCTTATCACACAGATGGACAAAGGAAGTTAGAAAAGAAAGAAAGAATGTAGACATGCACAGTAGTCCAATGTCTCACAAGACCAGCCTTATCTCTATTACTACAGATAAGGTTCTCGGCCAGTCTACCGTAAATCTTAGAATGGGAGCTCAGCTGGCAAACACTTAACGCAGTGACACTCAAATTATGTTGGCATTGAGATTGGGATTACCATAGATAAATAATACAGTTGAAAATGTTATATCATGTGCAGTCCCAGTTGTTCTCATAATCCCAGGACCAAATAAATTAATATAAGAAGCAAGGACCTCACATGAAAGTGATGTGGGATAAGGCAGGTATTGTAGGTGGGCACTAATAACTGTGGGGTTTGTTATGGCATGGGGACTTAAATTGGCCCTACTCAGTTGTGGCAGCTTTCAGAAGTCTTAGCCCACAACCACTGCCCTGAGGCTTCTACTTCAGGTCCAAAGCCAGGAGGACTTCCAAGTCTCAGCAGCATTGCCCAGCTGCAAGAACCAGCTAGTCCCATGCCACAGCAATCCCTATGTGGCCTTAAATCCCATGCTTCCAGGTGCTTGTCCACATTGCTCCCTGGTGCCTGGCTGGTTTCTTGGGACTTCTGCCTTTTTCTAGGCAAGGAACAAAAGTCAGCTGAGGTGGTGGTGGGGGAGAGCAACCATAAATGCTTGTCCAAATTTTTATCACATGTCCTGAGGGTACTTGATGGCCTGAAGTTTGACGACTGATCAGAAGTCAATTTCTTCAGCGCCATTGTAACTTTGAATAGTTGCTTAACAAATGTATGCAAAGACTTAGCTCTCTGGAGAAGACTGTAATATTGTGAAAGTGAAAGGAAAGCGAAGAAAAGAAAAGAAAAGAAAAGAAAAGAAAAGAAAAGAAAAGAAAAGGACAACTGCAGCAAAAGGACTGCATACCATTACAGTGGTAATGGGTGCACCTTGGAAAACCCGAAGGACCAAGTTAGAGACAAATATTCATGGACAAAATCTATGTGGTCATGAGAAATTAACACTAACTTCATAGTACATAATTAATTAAACAATCCTTAATCCTGTTCCATCTTGTGCTGCTCTAAACTGGTTTAAGAAAAATCTGCTCTGAATATGTGTGTGTGTTTGCACGCATGTGTGTATGTGAACATACATGCACAAACATATAAAATAAAGTAAAATATATATTTATTTGTATCCTACCTTTATTATTTTTACATTTATATTTTACAAATATCTCAAGGCAGTGAATATATCCAATATACCTTCTTCTTCCTATTTTCCCAACTACAGCCCTGTGAGTTGGGCTGAGAGACTTGACTGGCCCAAGGTCACTCAGTTGGCATCCATGGCTAAGGTGGAACTAGAACTCATGGCCTCCTGGATTCTAGCCTGGTGGATATACAAACTCTCTCTCTCTCATAAATTAAATGATCAAAATGCATGCATGCATGTATGCGTGTGTGTGTGCGTGTGTGTATAATTAGCTTTAAAATAAAATCCTTTTTTTATTTTCCCATTTTCGCCCCATTAGGCATTCTAGTTATAACAATTGCTTGACAGGAGAATGCCCTGGACTCAAAATCTGCTAGGTTTCAAAGCTGGGACATTCTGCACATCAAACCTCATAAGGAGCATGCAGTTGAGAAAGGCTACATGCTACATGCTGCAGTTGTCGCAGAGTTACTTGAGGAACAGCTGGGAAAATGAGATGGAGTTTGTTCCTGCCTCTGTATGGGAGCCAAAGTGCAGGAGTTTGGCTAGAACAAAGTGTGGTGCTGCAAATAAACCCACACCAACACACACTGGAAAATATTACTTTTAATTTGAAGCAGAAATGGTTGGAGTCTGAGTTTGTTGGAGGCAGAGATCAGCAGAAGACAATGTCCATTCTTTCCAGAAATTATTGGTGGTTTATACTCATGACAAGGCAATCTGATAGTGCAGATATGGCCAAACCATTCCACAAAATAGGCATTCAGAATAGGCATTCAGAATAATCAAAAACCTATACATTTCAGTGGCTTACAAAAATATTTCTAAATAATATTAATGATGAATATATTTGAATATTGGCCATGAGACAAACCAGGTAGCCAGACAGACTATTATAATGGGCCTCTTTTCATGTGCCATATGAGTAACTAGATATAGGTGGATATCAGTGGGAGACCAACAATACCATTCAATATTATATGATGGTAACTGATGTTGACTCACTTTTCTCCTACTGCTCAGGAAGGGCACCTAAAAAGGGCACCCTCCTTTATTTGGACCAATTCTCTTTGTAGTGGCTGATAGTTTCTCTTTTTCCTCTTAGAGCAGTGTTTCTCAACCTTGGTAGCTTGAAGATGGGTGGACTTCAACTCCCAGAATCCTCCAGCCAGCGCTGCTGGCTGGGGGATTCCGGGAATTGAAGTCCACCCATCTTCAAGCTTCCAAGGTTGAGAAACACTGTCTTAGAGGGATCTGTTGATAGAACCTTTCTTCAGAAAGGCTATCTCTAGAATAGCTCTGTTGAAATAATGGAGTAACCTAAACAATGTGGAGAAATCTTAACCATTGGTTGCAGCTAGTGAATTATTATGCTTGCTGCTAGGCCTGGAATCCATGGTAGCATAATATGTCAACAATAATGATTCCCTATATTATCTGAATGGAATTATGCCTGAACATTCAGCCATACTGTCCAGCATGGATTATTCTGCAAAGGGTTCATTTCAACAAAGACTCAAGAATGTTTATGTATATGTTGGATTGAAGCCAAAATAGAAAACTAGTCATGGGTAATTGGTAGTGCATGACATTTATTGTTAATCCAACTATTATTTTAAATTGGCCAACCATATCTTTAGTTTTTGTGAAGATTTTACGTATTATTTGTTAATTGCCTCACATTCCCAGATGAAAGCAACTGATGAAAGACTAAATCACCCAAGTATGAAAATCCACAACATGTAATATTGTTTTTGAATGTTTGCCAAGACAAACCTGGCTAATTCCAACAGTATTTAATAATTGGAAGAAAACTGAATGAACCAAATTATGGGCAAAATATATTGTATTTTCTTGTTCTTTTTCCTAGTTAAGTCTTAAGATGTATTATTTCCTTACTTCGCAGTACTGAAAACATTATTTTTGGTAGCTTTCCAAGTTTGAAAGCCAAAATACTCCTCACCCAAAGGGAAAAAAAGAAACAGAGCAGTGATACAAAATTGATTATTGGTTTCTGTTGCCATGAGAGATTGGAACACCTGCATCAGGACAGTGTCTTTAACAAGCTTATGGAATTTTCCAGCAAACCAGATGTCTAAAAACCAAAACCAAACTAAAAACCCTACCCCAAACCCCAAACTGAACAGCAATAACTGCTAGAGATTTAAAGAAGTAACATACAAAATGAGCATCCCATAAACTTTAACATTTAAAGTATGGGTATGCAACATTTAATTACAATGCCTATTGACAACTGATAGTGCTAATCAGCGAGCTATTGACATAGGGGAAAAAAACCCATTTAGTGATCTTACAAACCCAAAGTCAGAACTTTTGAAGTTATGTTTTACAGTTTTACAGTTGATAATATTCTATCAGTGTTTTAGCTGTTCAGTATAAGAAAATAAATGTCCTTAATTAACATTAGTATCAAGCTTAGATATATAATTACTGTTACCATGCATATTCCTAAATTACTCTATTTCCCTTTGCATTTATCTGTAAAGAACCTGCCACTTATCTTTTGGACTCATGTGCATTTTCTTGACTAACTTGTTCATAACATATATATATATATATATATATATTAGCTCCTCTTCTAGCTATATATCATATTATGCATCCTTCATTAACTTGTAGCATAAACTGCTATTTACTTTTGATAAATGTTAAGATAAAGTCCTTTTTTACTGTAATTTTCTCTTGCTCTCTTCTTCTATCTGAAAAGGCTCATGTTATGTAACTCCACTTATGTTCATATTATATTCATATGAACAGGTTAGCATCTGAAGAAGAAGGGATATTTCAACAGGCAACTAAAGAAAGAAGATTAGATTTGGGGATCTCTCAAATGAGTCTTTTCCTGAGTTGCCTTCCATTGTTTTGTCTTAAATCTTTGTTATATGATGTAAGCCAGGGGTGTCAAACTCCAGGCCTGGGGCCCAGATCTGGCGCGTGGGGTGCTTAGTCGCCCTGGAAACAGCAAAGGACTGGTCTGCAGTGCCTCTGCCAGCGAAAACGGAGCTCGGGAGTGGCCACGTCCCCCCCAGCCCTCCCGCGATCAAACACAACCCTGATGCAGCCCTCAATGAAATCGAGTTTGACACCCCTGATATAAGCTAATTGATCAATATCCTTAAGCTCTAGACACACAGTCTAGTGCAACAGGAACTAAATTCAGATACTGCCACAATCATTGTCAGTTCATTCAGACTTTCTTATTTAGGAAGTTGTGTTTTAAATGTGTGAATAGTAACTTTTGCCCTCATCAACTCCATAATGGATTATTGTAATGAAGATTACTCAAACGTTCAACTGTTATTGAATGCAGCAGCCTGTTTGCTTGTCTAAATTCAGTAGTGTTACACCATATTGCACTGCTGGTTGGCCATGCATATGTTTACTAGTTTAATTTAAAAGGCTGTTTTTGATCTTGGGTCCAGGACATTTTCTGGACTGTCCTTTCTGAGTGGATTCAGCCTAATCTGTATGAACAAGATGGAAGAGATACTATAGATCCCCACTTCCTATTACAGTGGCACGAACAAGGAAGCAGCCATTCTATGTGGCTTCCATGTCTGGTTACAAATGTTTTTCTTCCCCAACTACAGATGGTACTTTTACTTTAGTAATGTGGGAAAACTGCTCTTTTGCTACACATTTGAAGCCTAATATCTTTTTTCCTGGCACAATCTTTTATTACTGAAGTTAGTTACATTTTAATATATTTTGTTTAGTTATGCTAAATTTATTCACGTTCCCAAACTGACTGAATGGAATAATGTACAAATTTTTGCAGTGTATAAATAAATGTAAACTTAAATTCATTATTTTAATAAAACCCCTTTTAATAACATCACCTTGTATTAGGTTTCAGGTTTTCCACTGTAGAATGGGTTTGATTTGTGGTTATAATGGACTTATCTTTTCCAACTGTGCCTCCATTTTCTGTTGATACAACTTTGTATTCTGAAAATAAGAAGATCATGTTCAATTACTTACATCATTTCAGTTTTGTAAAACCTCTATCTGGTGTCTATTTTGCTCCTTCATGCTCCCACTGTAAACAAAATATAGTTCAAAGTAGATTTATTTTAAAAATTAGAAGATGTTATCAGTGAGTTTAATAAAAAATCCCTTTAGTTGTATAGTTAATATAGATTAATTCTGAAATAATATATCAAAACCTTATTTCCCAATAACCTTGTTTAATGTCTCATAATTTTTTAAAATTGCTAAGGTAGAAATGAATACAGAAATAAGTGATCAAAACAGTTTGCCTCAACTTACTTACTCTATGACACTGGTTTAATTATAATCAAAATGGATATTAATTCATAATATCTTCAACCAGGGCTTTTGGGGGAAGAATGGTGGACTGAAGATGTCTCCATGAAAGTGGAGCCAAGAACTGCAGGGAAGAATAACAACCAGGATTAGAGTGGCTCTTCAGAACGTCTCAGGACAAGAGGAGACAGGAGATTACCCACATGTGCTCCAAACAGTGGTCCTCATGAGGAGAATGCAGGATAATGGTGTCCCATGGATTTGAATACAGGGAGACAACAGGAATAGCCATCTTGCTAGCAACCTTAGTTGGTGCCTTTTAGAATTCTAAATTTGCCTTAGGCATGAAAGCTGGCTGGGTGACTTTGGGCCAAGCACCAGAGGTTCAGCCAGTTATTAGTTTTTGTGCAGTTCAGAAAACAGGCTGATCCCACCACTGGCTGGCCCCACCCCAAATATGGTTACAAAAGGTGATCATGATCCCAGGACACTGAATGGTCATAAATATGAACCAGTTGCCAAGCATCCAAATTTTGATCACGTGACCATGGATTTGCTGCAACAATTGTAAGTGTGACAAACAGCCATAAGTTACTTTTTTCAATGCTGCTGTAACTTCAAATGGTCACTAAATCAACTGTTGTAAGTGAAGAATTACCTATATTTTGTTTTGGAAAAATCATTAGCTGACTGAATGTTTAAAAATAGTTGCGACTCATTTTTTTTTCCAGATATATATAAGGTCCAAGGTATTGAAACATATTCCTGATCATACATTGTGTGAACAGAAATCCTAAATTTTGTAGAGAGCAATATTTGATTGCTCTCTGTCATACAACTTTCAAAATATCTATTACTGTGTAACAATAGCAACATCACTAATAACTAAAGAAAACACAATAGTTCTAACTCTCAAGAAGAACTGACCATGGACACATTAATAAATTTAACAATAGAATAGAATAACAGAATTGGAAGGGACCTTGGAAGCAGGGGTAAAATCCAGCAGGTTCTGACAGGTTCTGGAGAACCGGTAGCAGAAATTTTGAGTAGTTCGGAGAACCGGCAAATACCACCTCTGGCTGGTCCAGAGTGGGGTGGGAATGGAGATTTTGTAATATCCTTCCCCAGGAGTGGGGAGGGGATGGAAATTTTCCTCAGGAGTGGGGAGGGGATGGGAATTTTCCTCTGGAGTAGGGTGGAAATGGAGATTTTGCATTTGCCCTGCCATGCCCACCAAGCCATGCCACCAAGTCACATCATGCTCACCAAGCCATGCCCACAAAACTGGTAGTAAAAAAATTTGAATTTCACCACTGCTTGGAGGTCTTCTAGTCCAACCCCCTGCTTAGGCAGGAAATCCTACGCCACTTCAGACAAATGGTTATCTAAACTCTTCTTAAAAACTTCCAGTATTGGAGCATTTACAACTTCTGGAGGCAAGTTGTTCCACTGATTAATTGTTCTAACTGTCAGGAAATTTCTCCTTCGTTCTAAGTTGCTTCTCTCCTTATTAGTTTCCACCCATTGTTTCTTGTTCTACCCTCAGGGTTAGGGGTTAGGGTTAGGGGTTAGGGTTAGGGTTAGGGTTCTTTGGAGAATAGTTTGACTCCCTCTTCTTTGTGGCAACCCCTTAGATATTGGAACACTGCTATTATGTCATCCCTAGTCCTTCTTTTCATAAGACTAGACACATCCAGTTCCAGCATTCGTTCTTTATATGTTTTATTCTCAAGTCCCTATCTTAGTGAATTGAGAGTACATAGAATAATTACTTGACAATTCGGACATAGCTGCCATGGACAGAGAACACCATCTGTCATGGCCCCATCAGACCCTGGTTTGGAGAAGGAGGAGCAGTTGGAACCGGGACCGTCTGACAGGGTGGCATGTCTCCTTTAGAATGTTTGGAGAGGCCAGGGTTTGGTGATGATGCTGTCCCAGGACCCTCAGGTATTGGGGGAGGTAGTTGACCATATGGAGAGTTGCCTGCCTTCACAGACACAGAGGATGATCGGCTGCAGACAAACAATGGTGCTGATAGGCAGCAGATCCCTTCTGATGAGGAACAGCTGCCTCCCCCACTTGATCCAGGGGCATGGAGAGTAGAGTGGAGGCAAGCTCAAAAGAGGTCTGCTAAGCTACTCAGGAAAAGCTCACCCTGCCCCTCCTCACCGGGGGTGGGGGGCAGGGTGACTTAAGGAGAAGCCAGGGGGAATTTATCTTTGTCAGTAACAATTGTTTGTTTGATTTACACTCTCACAGCTTAACCCGTGCTTATGCCTGTGCCTTGCCTTACCATGTGGACTGGCCTTGCCCATCATACCTTGACTCTGAACCTTGCCCTGTGAGCTTGCACCTTCTCTTTGGATTTTCTTTGTTGTTAACTGGCTTTTGTTTGAGGAAGTGAAGGTGGCTGGCTTCTGGGTAATGTAGAGTAGAGCTGTACCGGCCACTGTAGGAGCATTTGTTGTGACACTTAATCTGAGGAATAAAGGACTCTGTTGATGCCTGCCTCTGCCTAGGTGACCTGGGTCATAATACCACCTGAAGATCCTTATTAATTAATTAGGGTATAAATTCTAGTTAGAATAGAAATCAGAGATCTAGAAAAATTAGGAGTTTTCATAAAATAGGTTGAAGAATGCTAATAAGTCCCCAATGTTTCAAAACGGCTTAGAAGACCTGTGTAAGTTTACACAATGCCTGGACAAGACAAAAATCTAGCTAACCTGTTACAGTTTCATTTTCTGGTGGATTCCAACCCAGTACCACAAAAGATGAACATCCCTCAACAGTCACCACAGTGAGGTTCGTGGGAGGTTTTTGGGGGGGCACTAGTAGCCATGTCTTTGTTGTCCCCCGTATCAGATGGAAAGTGTTGCATAGTATCTGTGATGGAACAAGGTACATCATCTTTTTTTTTCAGGTATTTCACATGGTCACCTGAAAAGACAATATCAACATTTGCACTTAGTACAAAAGAGATGATAAAGGGAAACTTTAGATGGCAACATATTACTTCAGTACTTGTTCACAGAGAGAAATGCTTTCCACAAACTATTTTCATTATAAGCTTCTTAATCAGGGAGGATTAGAATCCTTTCTGCTCTTTGATGTCTACTTAGAAAAGAACAAAATATTTTTATGTTTGATATTTGAAAGCATCCTATCACTTCAAACATTTGTTGCCTAAAATATAAAACAGAAATGGTTAAAACTAAAATTAGAGCATCTACTGCAGTGGTGGTTGCTACCGGTTCTCTCCAGTTCTTGCGAACCAGTAGTGGAAATTTTGAGTAGTTCGGAGAACCGGTAAATACCACCTCTGCCTGGCCCCACCCCCAATCTATTCGCTGCCTCCCAACTCCCAGCTGATCGGCTAGAAGGAGAAAATCAGGATTCACTTGACAAAGAGAAAGAAAAACCAAGATACTGTCGTTTTAAATTGAGAAGCCAAGAAGCCTCCCAACTGATCAGCTAGAAAGAAAAAAATCAAGACTCGCTTCTCAGCCAGGAGATCATTTGGCAAAGAAGAAGGGGAAAAAAAAAAAAAAGATGCTGTCGCTTTAAATTGACAAGCCAAGAAGCAGTTGCTGGAAGGTTTTTGCTTGCAGAAGCGAAGTGACATTCAGCAGTTCGTTTCTGGGTCAGCTGAACAACAAACTGGATAAGTTTTGGGGTTTGTGCAACATGGGCTTTGTGTTTCTAAAAAGGTTTGGGTGATTTCCATTGTGAAATATCCTGTCTTGAATGAGTTTTCTGCCTGCTTGTAAATGGAGCTTGTAAATGGGGCTTCCACTTTCTATTATCGCTAAGCACCGGTAGCTGTTTTCTTCTTACAAAGTTTCCTTTATGCAGCTGGCAGGAATGTGGAATGAGTATCAGGCAGGTTCCTTGTTAGCAGCTTGATCTTTCCTTGCTTTCCTGGGAGCTTTTTCTTATGAATAATATTTTATTTGGGAAAATGAAGAGGAGGGAGTTTGATTCCTTCCCAGAGCAGGTTAGTGGGTGGGGAGGGAATGGGGATTTTGCAGTATCCTTCCCCTGTCATGCCCACCATGCCACGCCCACCCAACCACATCCACAGAACTGGTAGTAAAAAAAATTGAAACCCACCACTGCATAAGTCCATCTTAATATGCTATTCCTGGTATGTGATGTTTTGTATACATACAGAAAAAGAAGCACTCTTGTAATCTTTGACTTTTAGGCTTGCTATCAAACATCAGCCATAATACTAATGACTGTTTTGAACAATATGCAGGTTGTATTACCTGAATGGCTATTTTATATGTGAAATTATGACTGAAATATTTCTGCACCTATATTTGTTCACACTGTCAGGAGTTTCTCCTTAGTTTTAGGTTGCTTCTCTCTTTGTTCAGTTTCCATCCATTGCTTCTTGTTTTGCCTTCTGGTGCTTTGGAAAATACATTGCCCCCCTTCTTTCTGGCAGCCCTTTAAAAGCCTGTTGCCTATCATACTCTTGGGCAAAGCATGTGAGACATTTCCTCCTTTCATGTTCATGAAAGTGCATCTATAATATGTAGATAATAAAGTTGAAAAAAGGCGAACAACATTTTTACAGAACTATAGATACTTTGAGGCTGGGTGTGACAAGGAATGGCTGGGAGGGGAGAGGCCAGGCGAGGCACCCCTTGACGTGAGTGACATTGAGTTGGCCACACCTACCCAGTCATATGACCATCAAGCCACGCCCACTGTCACATGACCATCAAGCCACGCCCACAAAATAAGCCATGCCCACAGAACCGGTAGTAAAAAAAATTAGAACCCATCCCTGATCTACTGTATGTCAAATATCCAATTCTTCTTTTTACATATGAAAATATGATTGGGGCACCAGTTTAAGAGATTTTGGTTCAATCAGAAAGTTCCCTGAAATAAAGAATATCTACCAAGGGTTAGCAATGATTGCTGGATGTATTAGGTGAGACAGTTAAGATGTCCAGCCTCAATTGCTGCCATTCTGTTTATGTTGAACAGAGGGAGACTCATCTGAATCCTTCTAATGTTTTAATACAGTTTAATATTAATATTGAATATTAAAATGATATTAATATTATTTTAATACTATTATTAGTATTAATAATTATTATTAATATTGTGTTAATAATATTTTAATATTTAGTAGTAACATTTTAATTAAAAAATAAAAATGATTTTATTGGGTATAACAAAATAACACTGCTAAAGAAATTTGTAATCAAAATTATAAAATATTTTTAGAAATGAAAATTAATGATTCTCCTGTAGTGTAATAATGTTTGTATTGTTAGCTTTAAGGATGTAATATACAATGTAAGATTAAAACAATAATATAAAGATCACAATTGGATCTACAAAAAGTGGTTTATCCTGCAAGAATAATAAGACCTGAAATCTGTGAATGGTCTTATGTTGCTTAAAGAGCAATATAATATATAATGTGAAATATTTCTATTGTCTCTTATTATTAACCCAAATTTGCAAATTTCTTGGGTTCAGCCAATATCTTCAGTTAAAGAATAAATAAATAAATCTGGTCAGGACTGAAACAGAGTTGTTATCACTGAGATTTGGGGTTACTTTTGAAATGGCAAATACTACTAATATAAAGAATTAGGAGTTTAAATATGGGATGCAACATGTTGTAGGAAGTGTATATGTCCAGTAAGTATGTTTGGATTATTTGAGCTATTTTTAAATTCCAGCAATGTATACCCAGACGTGCACACACTTTTATATAACTTGATCTGCTAGGGATTGCACAAACTGTAATAATTTTAAATATGGTTTTTAAAGGGTTTTTAACTTATTTTATTATTTTGCGATTTGTATTATTGATTGTTGTTGTAAGCCGCCCTGAGTCTTTCGGGAGAATGGCGGCATAAAAATCGCAAAAATAAATAAGTAATAAATAAATATGTCTGGCCTCTTTAGTAGAAAACTAGCATAGAGTCAAACTGGCATAAGCCCAGAGTAGTAGCAACTTAAATGGTAAGTGGATATATATCCTGTGACTTAGTCTCCAAATCTCGAAACAGTTCTCACTCAGGAAGTGATAATAACTATTCAGGATGTCTCAGAGTTTAATGAATGAAGTTGGAAGTCTGTGCATACACTGGCTATTTTATAGTGGGCCCTGGCATATTCTACTTATCAGCTGCTATTCTGGTAATTGAAATGAGAAGGAACAAAATAAATAGTTTTATTAAAAGAGAATTTATTTTAAGAAATAAAATAAAAGATAAAAAGAGCATATATTGCTTAACGGTTTTTTTTTCTTATGAGATAATTTTAAACATACCTGTATACCTTGGTGTGCCTGCAATATCAGTCTCGGATGTAGGGATAGAACTGAACATTGGATTATCTAAGCACAGAACAATAGCATAACATTAATGAAAACCCTTGTAAAAACATTTTCTGTTCAAAAGCTCTTACTTTAATCATACTTCAGTTTTAAAACCTCTCCTTAGATCATGCTTTGAATCATGTTCACATTTTCTTAGGAAATGTGGCATTGTAAAAATTAAATTTCTTTGAATTGTTGAAACTTTGATGATTTTAATCCAAGAAAATCAAATTAGTAAAATAATTAGTAACTTCATGAAATTATAACTCTTTACAATTTTAAAAAGAGGGATTTTGTTTTTTTCTGAGTTTTTGTGTGGAAAGTTATTTCAATAATTCAATTGTTTGGTTGCCTTTGTAGAGAGTTAAAAATGCTGACAGTAAACTAACCTAATCCTTTATTTTCAAGCATACTATTTATCTTAATAGCTAGGGAAATATATAAACAAATATTCTGCTAGCAGAAAAGAATGTCAAGTAAATTTAATGTAAATTAAGTTATGAGTCATATAAAATATCAGTCAATATAACAATCAGACTGAAGTCACTAGTTCAATATACAGGTCCTTTTGAAATAAGTGAAAATTAGCATGGAATTTTATAACATGCTTCTAGAACTGATTGAAGCAATACGAGATACCATTCAGAAATGAAGCATTCAAATTCTTTTAGCATTAGGTTTATGAAATTGAATGACATTTAATACCTATTTTCATAGTTCAAAAAAGTCAGTTTAATGTTCTTCACAATGCCCTATTGTTTTAACCATCCTACATACTTTGATAAACTTGGGCACTTTACTGTTCCCCTCTAATGTCAAAAAAAACGCACTAATGTAGCATAGCTGCTAAGTGCCCCACCAAGACCTTGCACATTACAGCACTTGTCAGTGAAAAATGACAGTTCTCCTACAGTCTACTTCCTGCTCTTTGGTTAATTACTTATTAAAATGTCAATAAAATCATATTTGTCATTGATGTCATGTCTGTCTTTCTTAGGCATATCCCAGGATCAAATATTACACAATATGGTGACTCTGTAAACCACTTAGAGAGGCTTGTAAAGCACTGTGAAGTGGTATCTAAGTACTATTGCTATTACCGGACCTACTGCAAATGGTTGTAACTGCAACATTAAACCTGTCTCAGTTCCCAACTTTCCTACAGTCAACTTGTTAGGGCTCCTCTTATGGCTACTCCTAAGGCTTGCAGAAGTAAGGTATGGTATTCAATGGAGTAATATAAGAAAAATGTGCACCGATATTTGGAATGGTATCATAACTATTGGAATTGCTATTGATTTAGGTGTTAAGCTACAAGACTGAGACTAATAAAAACATGAAGAAAACTTGGAACTATGCTATTCCATTCTTACTGTAATCTGGAGAAGCTGCTGCTGTAGGTAGCTTTTTAGGTGAATTTGTTTTCAGAAGGGAACTTGGCCAAGTGGGTTTTGCTATAGAAGTTGTGAGAAATGAAGGTGCTCGTGGTATCAAGACATTTCCTATAACGAAAAAAAAAGAGAGAATTTGAATCATTTGGAATTTACACAGGCTTGATTGTAAAATAAACATGTCATAATGGTAAAAGACATTCGTTAATCAAAGGGATTAATTAAAAATGTTCTCTTCGAGTATTTTTTACACAAAGGGAGGCAGATATGAATTTTCATCCAAATGTAAATTCTTGAATATAAGTGGGTTAATATATAAATGTATTTATTACGATGTTTCTAGTATTCCATATCTATACAGTGTGTAGTCTATTTTCTATTGATTAGCATATGGCATAGTATGCAATTAAAAGGCTAAACAAGTAAGCTTAATTCAACTGATCTATACAAAATATATTTATTGCCATTGTAAAAAAAAACTCTGAAAAATTAGCCCAAATTCACCTTACAATGTGCAACTCTGTATTGATATTGTCTGCCCGCAGGTTGAAATGTTCTTTCCTATGGAAGCTTGAATCTGTATTCTCATATCCCAATTCTGAAGGATTGGGTAATATGTAAATATTTCTGTAAAATCTCTCACTGGGATCCTGTTTGCCCCTCCAATAAAAGTTTACTGTGGGTAGACCCACAATATTTCTCATATCAACTATCAGATATCAACTCCTGCATAGTACATTATTTGAATAACTACTTACAAGTGGATATGCATATTCTGTGGGGAAAAGGGTAAAAAGCGCAGAGGGGGTTTCAGCAGGTTCTGACCAGTTCTGGAGAACCGGTAGTGGAAATTTTGAGTAGTTCGGAGAATTGGTAAATACCACCTCTGACTGGCCCCGCCCCCATCTATTCTCTGTCTCCTGAGTCCCAGCTGATTGGCTGGGTCTTCTTTTGTTGCCCTGCTGGAAAGCCGGTTAGTGGGGTGGGGAGGGAATGAGGATTTTGCAGTATTCTTCCCCTGCCACGCCCACCAAGCATACCTACCAAGCCACGCCCACAGAACCGGTAGTAAAAAAATTTGAATCCCACCACTGAAAAAGTGTATATATGGGAGTGGGGAAGAACACAGAAGAATTATATATGGCAGGTTTCTTCACATGAATAACACAGGATCAATAAATATTTTGCCTGGAAGCGCTATAGGATGTTTGCAAAAGGTTGTGATAGTTCAAATGAATGTTTGGATGACTGATCACATGACTATCAATTGTATTTAATGCACAAAAGGCATAATTTATTTATTATTTATTTGTTTGCTGTCCATTTTGCCACAAGGCGACACTTGTTTTCTAGTTATACAGAATATAAGTGCCCCTTGAGCATATATAAAGAGAGCTGTGTACAATATTAGAATAAAGGTAAGACAAAAGCCCTTAGGAGGATGACATACTTGAATGGCCAGGTTTACCAGTCACATTGTTGGGTGGTAAAGGTCTTCTTCGTATTGGTGTAGGTCTGGCAGGAGCTAAAGGAGGTCGTGGAGAACCAGGTAGCGTAGCTATTGTATAATGTTACAAGACACCACTGTTAATGGAGGAACCACACATCATGTAATCAGAAAGAGAAAAATGGCTAATAGCTACACTTCTCAAACACATTTCTAAGGCATGAGCATCAGCGATATAAGCTGCAAAAGAACACAAAACATAGACAGGAAAGCACTAAAAGGTGTTGTTTTTGAGGCATTACATTTCTTGCAGTAAAATCTGCATGTTTCTGGCATGAAGCTAAGCAAGAGTAAAGCAAGGCAGCTAAACAAATTTGTTAGAATGTATGCTTCTGGTTCAGTTAAGAATATTTACAGGCTTTTGCTTTGTAGTATATTAGTAGGTAACAGAATAGGTTGTCATCACAAAAGAAGTTAAGTCAAGGTGAAACACAACGCCCATTTCCCGCCTTAGAAATATGACCACTGCTTATGCTGCAAAATCTATGAATTGGGGCAATAGTGCAGCAGTAGTGTTAGTCTGGGGAAGTGAAGACAACCTGCATGCTTCCTCATAAAACCAAAACTGGGAAGAAAAATATTATTTAGCAAACTGCTCAGCGCAGATCTTTTGTTAAAGGATGTTCGCTGCATTCTTGCAGTGGCAAGTGAGGGCAAGAAGGCTCTCCTCAAGGTAGTTTATCCTCCTTGAGTAAGGAGTATGGCTTGAGATGAACTGAGATAGAACTGAACAGCAGTATGAAACACTTCATATCTGGTTAGTCAGACGTTTCAGATCTTCCTATGTACATAAATATTTGTCTTTGTTATTTGTTTAAAATCCAGTAGAACTATGCTGTAATATATAATTTATAAATATTACAATTGTTTTGTTTAAATGGATATTGTAATGGCAGTAGTAAGTCTGTTTATATTAACATAAATTAATTTCACTGTCGTTAATAAGGATAATTTTTTAAAAAAATCTAAAGCCATTGTTTCCATGCATTCCTTCCAAGCTTTAATACTAGAGTAAATTCAATTTCCAAAAATAAGTCAGCCAGTCAATTATCTCCCCCCCCCCTCTCATCTATCATCATCTATCAATTGTTTATCTTTCCGTCTATCACAACTAAATCAGAAGCTTGATTTTCCATGAAGCTGTTGTGCTCTGTTGGTGGCCTCCGGAGCTGGCAGCAGAGTTGGACAGTGAGGAGGCTGGGGAGGAGACAGTCCTGGAGTCTGGGCCAGTCCTGGAGTCTGGGGAAGGCTTGGACAAGTGTTCTGTGTCGGAGGCAGAGATGGGGCCAAGGCCATTTGGGAGTTATGTGCTGACTCCGGAGCCTCCAGAGTCTGACATCAGTGAGGCAGAGGAACAGGGGGAGCCTGTTCCCAGTGCGCGCATGTGCAGAGCTGCCAGAAGGCAAGAACAGTTAAGACAAAAGAGGTGACTCAGGAGTAAGGCTTGGAGATGATTGGTCCCTCCCATAAGACATAAAGGTGGAGCAAAGGGACATGAGCTTTTGCCCGAAGCAACTTTGTTTGTTCTGGTCGGTTTAAACTCTGAAGCTCCGTTTTGACTTTATGCTCCGTTTGGCCTTGCAAAGCTAATTGGAATTAGGTATTTGGCAGTGTTTTAAGGGAGATAAAGGTGGGTGCTTATCAGTCTTATCCCGAAAGACTTTGACAGACTTCTGTCAGACTATTCACAAACTGCTGTGAATGAACATAATTCACAGACATTAAAATAAAAAAGAAGGCTTTTGGGACTAAGCGTGTGATTGTTACTGTCTCAGGAAGCCTTGGTAAGAACAGAAGCCAAAAGCAAGACACTGCTACCTCATTCTTTTCACCCAAGGCAAGATTCAGCAAGATTCTGCTTGGAAGAGGAAGTTTGAATACAACCAAATTTCTTGATTATTCTCTCTATTATTCTATTATTATTATTATTATTCATTTATATGCAATATAATGAATCTGATAAGAATGACACTGGAAGCAGATCAGGGAAAATACTGTATAATGCATAGTGAACACATTTTACCTGGATCTGTTTTTTTTCTTACAACTGTGGGATCCACTGATATACTGGATTTAGTACTAGAGCTTGGATGGAGTGGCTTTGCAATATCTTCGTTTGTGAATTTCCCATCTTAGAATAAAAAATAAAGATAAAAGTATTATCAGCTAGTAGACATGACAACTATATGTTATCTCACTAAACAGAGGCAACTTGTTGAGAATGGAGCCGCATGTGGCTCTTTCATCCCTCTGCTGCGGCTCCCTGTTGCTGATCAGCTCCACAATTGATAGCTTTCGGTTAGGACAGGTAGAGGAAAAAGGATGCCACGCTAAGAGAAGAGTCTACTGTGGGGGAACTGGACTTCTGGTCGGCTCCAGCATTGAATGAGGGGCTTCCGGTGAGGGCCTTTGTGGCTCTTTGAGTGTTTAAGGTTGCCGTCCCCTGTTATAGGCCAATATGAGAATAGAAAGCTGCACTGTACTGGCCTTTGACCTGATTCATCATGGGTTCTCTTATGCATAACACCATACTCTTTCTGTACTCCTGCTCTGTTTCTGATTTATTTGAATCTTCCTGTGCTTTTAATTTGAGGCTCATAAAGGGACTAGTCAAGCCACTTAAAGACAAAATTTAACTCAAGCATCAAACGTTCTGATTCAATTCTCAGTAAAAGCAAGCTATATGAAGATCATGTCTCTGCTGAACTTCTGACTAATCCCCATAAATCCCCATATTAAATAGCATCTGTATATATAGCAGAGCCCACATAAAGACTGTGCAAGGAATGGTGGGCGAAATGCTACGTAACTTTTAAGATAATTTTTGGGGACAGAGATTTACTTATCTCACTTTGTTTAGCAATCAGTTATAATGTATTTCAATCAGTTATAAGAATTCCAGAAACAGAATATAAAAGAAGAAAAGAAAAGAAAAAAGAACAATAATGTGAAATATTCTAAAACTGTCACAAAATCAGTAGAAACATAATCAAAGTAAATCCTATTCATAAACATACCATTTTACTGTAACTGAACTTACATCATTCCCAGTAATTGTAACATACAGAACCACCAGAACTGATAGAAAACAGCTGCAATCTTCTTTGTAATTATGGAACACTGGTCTAAGAATAGGATGAGGATTCTTTCCACTTTTCTTGTTTTAGATGAGTTACTAATCCATGCAAAGATCATGAAAAAGAGGCAGCACAATAACACATTGGCCTGCTCAATTTCACTGATCTCACAGGAACAGATGCATTCAGCTTTGAAGATATTATCATACTTCCTTTCAAAAGAGTTAAGTGAAGCAAGTTTAGAAAAGCTTTTCCATGCAGCACATACGTATGTAAGATTGTATCTTGTAGGAGGAAAACCATATCTGTTTCCACATGAAGAAACATGTGTGTTTTAGGCTCTCAGGAACATAGACTGAACATTTTTCACCAACTGAAAATTTTTATGCATACTGGTATATATATTTATAGTCATACAACATCTGTCCTAGTTCAGCATTGTATGGCAAAAGTGGCAGCATAAAAAAATAGACATCTTCTAATATCTATACACTTCGCAAAACTGTTTATATAATCCGTGAAATGATAAATCACGCAATGTGTTTCACTGTGGCTTGGAAAATATTTTAACTAATCTTTCTCTAAATTAGGCTTCATGCTGGTTAATTTAACCTGGAATTCCAAATATGGGGTGCTAATAAGATCACAGATGCTTCTGTTGGCACCCATCAGGTTCTCATCCATATTTGATCATTTAACAAAAATACAAAAAATAAGGTGCTGGTTTCCAGCGTTATCTCATTTCTGAAAATGTATCTGAGCGTTAAATCAGTTGGGAACAGAGTGGGTTTCAGTAGGTTCTGACCATTTCTGGAGAACTGGTAGCGGAAATTTTGAGTAGTTCGGAGAACCGGTAAATGCCACCTCTGACTGGTCCCGCCCCCATCTATTCTCTGCCTCCTGAATCCCAGCTGATCAGGAGGAAATGGGGATTTTGCAATAACCTTCCCCTGGAATGGAGAGGGAATGGAGATTTTACAGTATCCTTCCCCTGGAGTGGGGTTGGAATGGAGATTTTACAGTATCCTTCCCCAGGCATGCCCACCAAGCCACACCCACAGAACCGGTAATAAAATATTTTGAAACCCATCATTGGTTGGGAAGTCCTTCAACAAGTCACACATGCCCTGATCACTTCACAACTGGATTGTTGCAATGCACTCTACATGACATTGCCCGTGAAGGCCACCTGGAAACTACAGCTAGTTCAGATGCAGTGATAGGCACCTCTCAGTGTGCCCATGTGACACAGCTGCTACATGAACTGCGTTAGTTGTCACTTGGCTTGAAGGGCTAATTATTTTTTTTATAAATTCCTGTTTAATATAGAGCCTAGATATCTCACAGAGCTCTTATCGCCAATGTTTATCTCCACTCAGTATATTCCAGCTAAGTAGGTGTGCCCCAGGTTCCCTCCATTAAACATGCCATCTTGTGGGACCTAGGAAGCATTCCTTCACTGTTGCAGCTCCTATTCTCTGGAACAGCAACCCACCAGAGATAAGAATGGTGCCCTCTTTCCTAGGGCTCCAGAAAGCTTTAAAAATCTGGCTTTGGTGCTAAGCCAAGTTTGAAGTTTTTTTTTTAATGCCCCTTTGCTTTATTTTGTTGATTTTGTTGCTTATTAGGGCAGATTGCTCGGGATTGTCTGATTTAATGCTTTTAGCTGTTTACATGGTTTTTTTTTTTTTTCTAGTTTTATATGCTGCTCATAATCCACTAGATGGCCAATATAAATAAGTAAATAAACCTAAGAAGCTTTTTTTAAAAAACATAAAAATTCTGAGTACTGCAACCTACGTTGTTTCAATTTGTGCGCATCTATTCCAAACATTCTTCAGTTTTGTATTTGCTTATAGTCCCTATAAATTGGCAACACTAACTCAACAGTTTTGCAAGACAACCCACAGCATGTTTTAAAATTCCAAGTACCAGTGCAGAAAAAATAGGAAATGTTTTGTCTGACAATTGAAAAATGATCTAAAATGGAAAACCTTACACAGACAAGCTTTCATTGCCATAGATACATCACCAACTGGCATCTTTCGGCCATTCTCGGAATCTGAGGTCCCTGGCAGAGTCCACTGTTATTTTCTGAGAAGTTGTATTTGGTTATGGATATTTGGAACATTAAAATGTCCAACCTACTGCTGCTTGAAGTGTGGACATTAAAGCCAGCTAAACAATTAGACTGCTTTGACAGATGAGGCTCCATGCCCAAAGATACTTTGCCCAAGTTCCCATTAACTTGGAATTGGCTCTGTTCATTAGTCAAGGATGTATTTCTCAGCAACAACAAATGTCAGACTAAATGCCAGATAGGTAAATTTCTCAAGTACCGGTAATAGCTACATCATCTAAAAGAAAAGGGTCTGGATATTCCTCTAGGCATATATTTTTTATAGAAAATATGATAATGCAGGAATATAACTGAATTGTTCACAACAGTAGGCAAAAAAGCACAGAAATAGAGAAATAGAGTTCATTAGATAATACACAACCCAATGTTTTATTTCTCATATTTACATTTTTAATATAATTTAGGACGCTATACATGAATACTATACAATTTTATCTTTTTGATCAATAAACTATTTATGATATTATGCTAGTTTTCTTTTAAGGCTTGAAAAAGAGACGGAATATCAAATTATAGGTTGTTTTTTTAAAAATTAGTGAACAGTCTGCAAGTCATGGGATGAAAAGAAAGATTTGTCCTTAAATATATTCTTGCATTATAAGGAAATATTTGATGGTCTTTCACTTTTTTTCAAATTATTTTGTATATATATATTCAAGTCATTGTTGATCCCTGGCAACTGCCTGAAAAAGTACCTGCAATTTTCTTGACAAGATTTTGGAAATGATTTTCCATTGCCTCCTTCCTAAGGTTGAGAGAGAATGGCCGGTCCAGGATCACTCAGCGGGTTGTGTGCCCAAGAAGGGACTAAAACTCAGACTTGGTTTCTGAGGCCTTAACCACTACACCAAACTGTCTCTTTTATATTAAATATATAAAACATAAATCATTAACTGTTCTATACAAAGGCACAATATTTGTTGCCTCTTTATTTAATATAACATTTATTTTGATTTAAGGATTAGTAAGAAATGGATTATTAATGAAATGCTGTATCAAAATCTAGTATGAAACAGAAAGAGTTTTATATTTCAGAGCCTATATAATTTGATTTTTTAAAAATCCAAACTTTTTAAATCCAAATTTGTCTTACTTAAACTCAATTTATTTTGTTGGGTCTTGACAAATATTTTCAATGAATAAGCAAATTGTTTATATCCTCTCTGTAGTCTCTAGTGGCGTTTCACTTTTCAGGCTGCAATTAAAGTGTCAGAACCACTAAATTTTTTCTTGCCCTCCATCCCAAAATTTATATGGAAGTAATTATGGCACATCCAAATGTTAGGACATGTTTATACTTGAATAATCACAGTTAGAATCTGTCATGGTTAAGGGTTAATTATGGTTCAAATTACATCTCTTTCTTTATTTGCAGCTATTGCTACTTTCTTAATGTGAAATAAGCATTAACAGAGCATCAAATACATGTCTACCAGGGGTGGGTTCTACTTATCTTTACTACTGGTTCACAATGGGATCGCGCACATGCGCTTTGCTTCTGCGCATGTGCAGATCGCTTCTGATGACGTCAGGATCAGTGGGTGGAGCCTCCCGCCAGTTGTACTACCGGTTCTATAGAACCGGTCCGAACCAGGGGCAACCCACAACTGATGTCTACTGAATGGCTTTATTTTCCTCTGGCATTTGGTTGTAAAACTGCAACTAATTATTTTACAATAATTGTATTATTGTTTTCTATTTATCTGTCTACAGAGATAAGCAAAGGACCATAAAGTATACCATTAAACATATCTGGAACAAAGTAAAGATGCCACTACTAAACATTTCAACAATATGAGGAATAATATTTAAGAGTTACCTCTTGGTTTTTTACTCCAGGACGGTCTTCCCGGTGTTCTAGTTCTAGGAGGGGCTGGTGTTGTTCTGTGGACAACTGAAAAAAAAGGAATGTCAAAGTTATTAGGAACTGACTGGAGACAATGATATATTTATTTTCACTATGGTTATTATAATTCCGGTTCTCCTTATTCCAGTTCACTGGTTTTAACTACAACACCAAATTAGCTCTCCAAAAGTTGCATCTTAGCTAGCTCCAGTTAATAAAAGAGGAAAGGTAAGCATACTGAGATACAGCTTAACTTTATGATCTGCAACAGCAAAACACTGACTGGTATGCAGTGTTTTGACAGCAGCTAAGCTGATGCAGAGGGCAATATGCAATTTGGAGAAGCTTTTGGGAAAAAAACTGTATGCAGTATTATATACTAAAGCAAATATGAAGTGTAACTGTTCAGCGGGCAAGATCATACTGAATGTTTTCAAAGAGACTGAAAGTAAGAAAACAAGCAGGACATTACATATGTGATTGAAGCTGGAGGTAGCACCAAAGACTGCACAGTTCAACCTTAGGCTACAAATATTCTCTTCTATTAATCCAAAGTATGGTTCAGTATTTCAAGGACCAGACAGTTTTGCTTTTAATCCAAGATAATAAACTGATCAGCTAAATTATGGTTCTGTATTGATTTTAGTAGAGTGGGTTTCCTATTTTGAGGGCTTTACCTTTTCTCAAACGTGGAGTTTTGGTGACTGTCACTTTGTCGTTCAGTTTAGATGAAGCTAAAACAAAATAATTAAACATGTTAAGTGTACCCAGTGTTGTTTTTAAATGGAATATTATGACTTTCAAAACAGAAAGTACTAGACCTTCAAAGCAATGGTGTTACAGGTGTTCTAGGAAGATTAAATTTTTGACATCAGAAATTTAGAATTAATAAGATTTCTGATTCAGAAATCTGTTTGAGGCAATATTCTGTATAGTCAGTTTCTATACTTAGGTGGATAATGTAGTATGTTTACACACACACACACACACCACACATACACACTGATTCATATAAAATGAAATTTAAGTGAATAATTGCTCATTCCAGTTAACTTTGACGTATAGATAAATAAATCATCCATAGTATCTTGGAACAATTGGAAACATGATTGTGAAGCTGAATTGATTCTGGATATGTTGCAGTTAATATACAGGGAACAAAAGAAAAGTCACAGCCACAGTTGGGTAGTTCTGTGAGCCAGATTTGGAAATAGAACAAGCAAGATTATTGCAAGAAAAAGAATCCTAACACATTGCCATCTACTTATTTTATTAATATTAGCAACTAAATGTATTCCTAGTATCCTTTTATTCTGTTCAAAGAGCAGTTTATGGCGATATTGGAAAGTTCTCTGGAGGTCATTCTTAATTTTCGTTTAGCACCAAAGGAAGATTTGGCTATTAATTCAAATGTTTATGTCTTAATAAGACTTGTCTTGTCTATACTTCAGTGATATCCATTTAGTTTTCAATGTGATTTTAGCTACATCCCATCATAAACTTTGTATCTCCACATGACACTGCCTTTGACTAAGTCCTCATCCTTATCCTTTTAAAAGATTTGTATGCTTTACATATGTTGTTTTGTATGCTTTACAATGTTGTTTTGGCTCTGCGGTATTGCTCTGGCTGCATTTTTAGTAGTTTGAGTACCTAAAACCCAAAAGCAAACAAACCAAAATATATCAGTAACGATGTTAATCCCAATTATTGTCAAAATCTTATCTTTCAGACTGCAAAATAAATGCAGATGTGAGGGATAAACAGCCCTCTCCATCTCTGTTAGTAATAAGCCAAACCAAAGCTAAAAGGACAGATTACATTCAGACATTCCTTATGGGAATTCTTTTTGCAAGTAAAGTTCCTGCTGCTAGCCCAAAAATTCCCAAGCTTTGGTAGGTGCAATTGTTTGATTATTTGATCTCTGTCTAGATGTTGTTCAGTTCTAATCTTAATAAATCATGAACAATGGTCATATTGATTAGGCCTGATGGAAGTGGTGTCCTAGAAAGTCTGCTCTCCTTGCTTTCGAAGAAACATAATATCCTTTAGATTGCTGAACAGTTATTTTTACAGAAATAATACATAAAGAGTCCTGCCAGCCTATCACTTATTATTATTTAAGAGAAGAAGAAATATGAGATGAATAAAAAGTTATTATTCATTTTTCCTACATCCTTTTCTTTTCCTTCCATTATGGGTTACCCTATTAAATAGTATCAGACAACGGGCAAATCAAAAATTAAGAAACGTAATTCTTATGCAAATAGAGAAGCCAAACTTTCCTTAGTCACTTTTTCATGAAGCCGTGTATCAAATTTAGAAGATAACAATTGTGTGTGTGGTGGTGGTGGTGCTGTATGTGTATGTGTGTGTGTGTGTGTGTGAGAGAGAGAAAGAGAGAGAGACATAAAGACATGTTCATAAAACATATTAAAATTTGACTTTGAAATGTAATATCACCATTGATGGTGATATATTGTATAACAAAGAATTCATTAGCATGTAGCATACCCAATAATGCTTAACATATTGGCTCTCTGGGAAAAAAAAAAACCCTTACTTTTCATATAGCTTTTGTTATGACTCATTATGGATAACTAAAATAAGTTTATGTTGATGTATTTCAAGATATTATATCAGTTAGATTTCAAAACACTAATAGCAGTTTTAAAAATCTCATCTATATTTATTTTATCAAAATGCAAATACCAGGTTTAGTCTTGTTTCTTCCTTGTTTGTCAGATGGTTTGGGTTTTGAAGGAAGAAGTCGTGTTTCTTTTGGATCTGGAAAAAAGTGAATGGGATATTAATTATATTAATTAGGAATCATCCCTTGTGTTTTATTCAATAAGAGTACATTATTGTATATGATTACCAAGTGTTTCCTTTGTCTTTTCAGGGGCAACAGGTACCATAGTTGTAATACGATCTTGAGAGAATGGAATAATTTCTGTGAGACAAAAAATGGAGACATCATGAAAGAAATGGAAACATTAAAAAAAGTTAATTTTCAGTAGTTTGTTTAATGTAGTTTGTTCCAAATAATTTAGTCTCCAATACATGAAAAAAAAAATCTTAGACAGAAGGATTTTATTGCATTAAAAAGTAGTTTGGAAAACAAATATCCATGCATATGAGTGAAACCACGTATTCATGAATACAAAAGTAATCCTTGACAGGTCTTTTTTCATTTTGCCTTTTGCTTTGCCTTTTCTGACTTGGGAAATAACAATCACAGATTGATATGCTTCCAATTGTTCCCTGAAACATTACCTGCAGAGAATGTGGATTCATTTAATATGCTCTAACATCCTATAGGATGCCAGGAAAGATTAATGAAGTATTTTATGTCAGATTTATTTGACATAAATAAATAAATATTGGAACATGGTAGAGAAAGGAATCCTTTTGCAATAAGGAAAGCATTGTATAAGTTTGTAATATTTTTAATTGCATGTAGAAAAAAACTTAGAATCATCCAAAACACATTTCAAGATTCTGTAGCAATTCAGGTGTTTTGTACTTCTAATCAATCTGAATAAAATTTGAAATAAAACATATTTTAATTGCATATACAACTTCAGTTTTTCAATTTTAGGCAATCCAAATTCATATTACAATAACACAAATGTTTTAACACTTGTTTGACAATTTACTTACACAATAAATTTATATTCTGAGATAATCTCAGTTTAAAAATGGCAGGAAATTTGTTTTTCTTTTTGAGAACATGGCCAAAAAGAGGCATTAATACTTATATCTGCTTTCGGCTAATCAGGCTTTTAGATATCATAATCATGTTATATGGAAGTAGTAAGGTAGTAAACAATAGTATTACTATGTAATAGTAGTACTTCTAAAATATAGTACTAATAATGTAATGTAATAGTCATACTTCTGTAATACAATATTATTTGCATTTTAAAGACCCTCCGCTCTCAATGAATTTCAGAGGTCTTTCCTCACAGATTGGTCAAGCAATGATTTGAACCATTGCTTTTTCTTAATGAGTCCCAATTTCCTTCAAAATACTTTTCTGGTGGTATTTTAATTGGTATTAATTTAAAAAAAAATAGATTTTTATTATTTTATATTAGTAATTTTGTGAAATTTCATAATCTTTTCTATTGAATTAGCTCCCCATCTACTATACAAAAGGGCTTCTGGGACTTCTATTTGCTGTTTCCTTTGCTTATACAGATAGGTGTTTTGCTGAAAATCTGCAAGTGGAGCTAGAGAAATAAAGGCAGCAATATTGTGTGCTGCCAGTTAAAATGGAGCAGGATTCCCTTGTTTTGAGCTTGTCAATAGCTTATATGAACAAACTTACTTATATGGATAAGTATTGAAGTAAATGCTTATAAAGAGCCATGGTAGTGCAGTATTGCAGGCTAATTCTGCCAACTGCCAGCAGTTTGATTCTGATGGGCTAAAGGTTGACTTAGTCTTCCATCTTTTTGAAGTCAGTAAATAATATTAAATATTTGTCTAAGGCCTATTTCTAAGTTGAGAATTTAAGTACATGTACAATTTCTGACATCAACTTTTCTTTGGATTTATGCACACTAATTAGCAAGTTTATGGTAATTATCATGGATGGGATAACAATAGGATACAACATCAATGGCAAAGCAAAGATGCTTTGCATATGTTAAAAGGAATCTTATTTATTATTTTTAAAGTTTCCACAGTAACTTGTCAGACTAAATAATTAGGCTAAACTTCTGAGCAAATTATAAAATTTAATGTTTCACCATGTAGGGATTATTTTAAAGAATTAACTTACATAAATACACGATGAAAATGTATTTAAAAAGGAGGGGAGGGAGAGGGAGGGGGAGGAAGGGGGAGAGAAGATCCTGCATATGAGTCCTGGGACAAACTATACACAACATATAGGACTATTTTATGTAAATAATCTCTAAAAGGAAAAAAGTTGCAACCTAAGAATTACTATATCCAACATTCTGTCCTGTCTGGATTTGTTGTATGCATCCATAAATATACCATGACAAACCCAGTGAGGAAGTTTAATGGTGCAGTTTTAGTGTAAAAAACAGTGTGATGAAAAGTAACAATTATATATCTACCTGGTTTTGATTGTTGTGTTTTTTTGACCAGGACCACTTTTAGGTGTGGATGGATCATGATGTTTGACATTTAGACCTGAAAAGAAGCAATGAACTTTTGTGAGAATTATTTATCATAGTGATTTAAGAAATAACAATTACAAAAAATAATAGAATTCACAAAAGAATTCACAAGATAGACAAGAAGAATTAGAAGGAAATCAATGAGTTTTGCTGCTTTATTTATAGTTTTAAATTTATTCTTTGGATTCCGGTCTAGATTGCAAATCTGACAACAGAGTATTTTATTTTTTCTTGGAAGAAGGATGGTGTCACTTGAATTTTTTTGGCTCAAAATCCATTCTTACACTATTTTTTTCAAATCTGTGCAAATTCTGAAAGGGTTAATTCTAACAAATGTGGCGGATACCAGCTAGACTACTCTATATTAAGAGCAGAGAAAACAATATTTTTTTCATCTAAATTGCAGGAATTTGTCATAGAAACTCTCTTTGAAATGTATCTGAGTGTATGGCAGAGATCATATCTGTCTCTGTCATAATGGCAGCATTTTTTAATTCATCCTTTCAGTAGATGCATTTTCAGGACTTCAGTTTCTCAGGAAAATTGAAAATAAGAACAGTTCCAACTATTTATTCCAATAGAGACTCTATTTTGCTGTTTAATCTGGCACAAATGCTGGCATTTGCAACTCATTTGGGTCCTGTGCTTGATCCTGTGCCTTGATCTAAGATATATATATTTCTTTTATTTTCAGATAATTCTTTTTAGGGAATATGATTTTTTTCAAATAGCTAAAACTTGAAAAGTTTTTTTTTTTAAATAAGCAAATAATCTGAACTTTTCAAATTGACTTGAAAAATTCTTACTGGTCAGTTCAAATTATATTACAAATCTTAAATTTAAAGGGGAAAATGTATATTCCCATTCAAATAGAAAACATGTAGAATAGCTAAATTTGTACTGATTTAAATATATAGAATAAAAGGTTAACATTACATCTGTTGTGCAATGTTCTCATGTTAAAGGTATTCTGAGCATAATCCAAGTTGCAAAAATGCTCTAAATCAGACGAAATTGTTTAGGTTAATAGCAAAGACAACCTCCTGGCTATTTTCTAAAACTGGAAATGTCTTTTACATGAGAAGTTACGAAAAAGGAAACTTTTTTTTAATAAGCCAAAAATGTGGTTAAAAATAAAAAATGTTATTCTGGTTGCTAAGAATGAATTCATCCTTTTCTTTTATACTCTGCTGGCATGTCTGTCCTATATTTTAACAGATAAGAAAAGGAATAAAGAGTTGCTACTATTTCTGAGTAAGAAACTATTTTTACGGAAAAATAAATTAACTTTGATTTTATAATGTTTGGGTTTTTCCCACCATTACTTGTTCGTTGAAATGCATCTCTCTCTCTCTCCCTCCCTCCCTCCCTCCCCCCCCTCTCTCTCTGACACACACACACGAACATAGACACAAAACTATTAAACAGATTTTTTTTTAGTTTTTCATTTTAGTTATACATGAATACGTGCTTTTCCCCACATTATTTTATGTGAGTATGTAAAATGGAACTCTATTAAATATATTTAAAACAAATTCCTGAAAGTCGAAATAATGAATTACTCACTGGATTTGGTTGGGGTTATATCAGGACTGGAAGAAGTTTTTGGTCTGGTTGGAACTTGATGTGTTTCCTTAGGAGCTGTAAGAAATTATATTGAGGGTTTTTTAAACTTTAATATCCCAAACTACAGAGAAACAGAAGATTCAGAAAAACAGCTCTACAATTACATACATACATACATACATACATACATATATCTCCAATAAAAATCAGTAATAATAATGTGACTGTTTAATAAAACATGATGCTATAAACACGAGTATGTTGTAAAAAATGCTGATTAAAAAAAGATGAAACTCCAGAAACTAAACTACAATATTAATTCTCTGAACTAGATACAATGGGATCTGAGATCTATACAAGAGAAACCACCTCCCAGGCTCCTTTCCATTATTTAAATAAAAACACTGGCGTAGCTAAGTAAAAAAATGTGTTAGCACAGCTTTGTGAACTCTTACTCAAGGGAGCAGTTTCATCAAGTGACAAGAAAGATAAATAAAAACATTTGAGGTCAAATGAGGTCTATGAGTATCTGACTGGAATTTTCCGAAGTGCTTTTCAGATCTTACATGGTCTTCTGACTGAAAGATATACATGTAGACATAGATTCACAGTAAATACAGATATAGTTTTGAGAGAGAACTATACCTGTATTTAAAAAGAATTGTCTTGAATGACTGTTCTTCACTCCCAGTCAGTAAAAGTCAGCTTGAAATAGCTAGGCTGTTTTCTTCTTGTTGTATGTTCCTGGTTCTGCCACTGTTGTGTATGTTACTGTTTTTTCTTCTGTTAACAAGAGGCTTCACGTGGTTGTACATTCTAATCATTTATTACCTGCCTACATGTGTATAATTTCAGTTACTTCATGGGTAACTTCCAAATGCTAACAGTCACAACCACTTGGTGCTGGCATTGCCATCCTACTGCAGCACTGGTCAAGGGCTCACTACTAATCCCTCACTCTAACTTGCTTCACACACATTTTTTTTCCTCTGAATGACTTGTCACCTGAGCTATTCTAAATAGAAACATAATACTTCTTTCAGCAGAGTGTCAGGCCTGAGTTGAAACAGCCTGAGACACAAGTATCATCCAGAACTGTAACCTGTTAGTCAGACAACTTGCCAGCCATTATAAATCTACACATAACAATACTTATTCACCATATCTTAAGAAGAGTAATTGGTTATTGGTTTTCTCACTGCAGGTGGAAAAATGAGAGTGGAACCAGGGATTCCATAAACACTTCCATAACATGCATTGAAACAGTAATGACAGCACCATTTGCCAGCCTTGTAAGGCACAGTTTTATGCCAGCAGACATTCCTGCAAACTTATGAAGTCAAGATTGCATTGAAACAGTTGTATTCCTGTACCACTGATACATACTCTATGGCTACACAACTTGATAATAATATGAAAAAGGCATTAATAATGAAGAACTTTCAATGAAAAGGTCAATGGGATGATAAATGTGATGGCATCTCACTAGACATAAAATTCTCATTATTTGAAATTATAAAAAAAGTCTAAAAATCCATAATTAAACATATTACCTGTTGATGATTTTGCTTGTTCGGTTTTAAAAATAACCTCTTCTACCTCTGAATCAGTAATATCAATAAATAAAATAAAAAACATTCCGTATTATATTGTAAATAAATTGCAATATAACATGAAAAATAAATTTTGGTTTCCTTCTGCTATAGCAGTTAACAAATATGCATATTTTATTTGACCATGTTTCAGTAACAAGCTGTATATGAAGCATAAGAATGTCTTCTGAGTATATGAAATACAAGCATTAGTTAGAAGGTTATTTTACTAATATACATGTAGCCTGTTGGCCCCTGGCCCCTCCAGCAGACAAATCCGAGAAGGAGGAGGAGGAGGCAGTGGCGTGGAAGTTAAGGTCAGCATCAGGGCAACCTGGGAGCTCCGAGTGGGAAGAGGAATGGAGCTGGCAGAGAGAGAGAGAGAGAGAGACAGATGAAAGAGTGTGGGCCATCGGTCAGCCCTCTGTTGGAGAGTCAACAGCCCCCGAGTCTGGAGGTGGTTGATGAAGAAGAAGATGAATAGTTGGGTCCAATGCCTGATATGAGGCAGAAGGAAGACCCACTGCTGCTAAAGAGGCCCCACCCTAGCTCTGGGGATAAAAGGCAGGGGGCGGAGATGAATAGGTGTGGCGGACAACTATTCATCTTACAGCCAGATGGACTTGTTAGCCTGCAAGAGAATCTTTTTGCCGGGACTGCCAGCATTCCTAATAAAGGAATCTTTTGAATTCACGTCAGAGGGTTTGTTGTGTTTGGGGAGCTGGGTCAGAACAATACAGAGCATTGCACTCAGAGGCACAGGCTCTGTCTGTAACTTTTTAAACCAATTATTTTTTTCCCAAGAATTGTGCAGAAGATAACCAGACAATCCCAGAAAAACATGCAACTGCTTTAAGAAAGGGTGAACAGGTGTACTCCATTCCATTTTTTTGCCTTTTTGAATCCCAGGCAATGCACACCTGTAACATATAATGGATTGTTTCTAATACTCTTACTATGTATTTGCCTATGTATAGCCATTATTTATTATTATGAGCAGAAAATGATAGGAATGCATTTGTTTGTTAGAAAGGTTTTATGAATGATTGGGAATATACAGATTGACTTCGTTAGTTAGAATATAATTCTGATTCCATTTTGCATAAGCATATACTCATCCAGTGGTGGGATTCAGCTGGTTCAGGCCTTCTCGGGCGAGCTGGTAGTTAAATTGCTGGCTGGCTCCACTCCTCCCCTCCCCACCCCTTCCAGGAGTCCCAACGCGCCTCATTTTGGGTCCCAGGGAAGCCTACTAGGCTCAAAATGGGGTGTGGGGAGTGCAGCGCACCCACCTGTGGCCCGTTTTTGCTCCCAGGGGGGTGCAGGAGGCCAAGTGCTGTCTGTCACACCCCTGGCCACATCTACCCAGCCGGTCATTAGGGCAGAGAACTGGTTGTTAAATTATTTGAATCCTACCACTGTACTCACCCAAAGTTAATTCCATTTACCTGAACCATTCTCAGACTGAAATACAGATGTTTGCCTTTATTTTTTGCTACCTACAATTGTAGCTTTTGGAAGCTACATTATGTGGAGTACATCTAGCTTAATAACCACAAAGTGTAAACACTCATTAAACAAACTAGCACTTCCATCCATCAAAAACTATTGAGAAAGTATTTTCATCATCTGATTCTTGAAATGAGCAATCACTAACATCCTTTTTCCTATATTATTTTCAGCGTAAAAATAAAACTACATCTCTTTAAGACACAGAATATTTTTCTTTCTGTTTTCAGTTAACTGTAATGAGAACATAATGTGATCTAATGGGAATATACTGTAACATACAATACTATTATAAGAACATATGATGCTGATTATGCAGTATAGATTGGTTGTCTTAAATTTCTTTAAGTATTGAATCACACTCTCAGGAAAAGAATTCCTAGCTATGGCCAAAAAAATAAAATAACCAACACAATCAGTGTATTATTGACAAGATAAATAGGGATTTACCATGCTGAGGTGGTGGTACTTCAGTGCTGGTCTGAGGTTTATGCCTGGCATAATTTTTCTCTTAGGAAAAAAAACCCCAAGGAATGCAAGTTATTGATTGATACATTTTTCCAGACTCTGGGCTGTATACTGACTGGCATATTTACCAGCATGCACATGTGAACAAAGTGTATTTTATAGAATTTAAAAGACAAATAACATTCTTATGTAACATAGTTTAAATCTATGCGCAAAGGTATAGATGTAAATAGCTGACTGTATTAGTGATGAGACTAATACAAAAGGCCTTCCCATGCCTTTTAAGTTGCACTTGTACTAAACAACAGGTAAGAGGTAGTGGGGTTTCTGTTGAAAGAAAACAACCATGGTCAGAGACCACAAAGGACTCCACTGTTTCCTCCAGAAAAGCTAAAGTTGCATTTCATGCCATGTCTTCTTTTATGGATCTAACTCAGAGGTGATATTCAACTGGTTCTGACCAGTTCTGGAGAACCAGTAGTGGAAATTTTGAGTATTCGGTAAATACCACCTCTGACTGGCAGAGAATAGATGGACCCACCTCCATCTATTCTCTGCCTTCCAAATCCCAGCTGATCGGGAGGGAATGGGGATTTTGCAGTAACCTTGCTCTGGAGTGGGGTGGGAATGGAGATTTTACAGTATCCTTTCTCTGCCACGCCTACCAAGCCACACCCACCAAGCCATGCCACGCCCACAGAACCAGTAGTAAAAACCTTTGAATCCCACCACTGATCTAATCTGGCTACATAGATTATCAGAAGAGGCCCTTTTGAGAATCAGCTTACTTTCACTAGTAATTGATCTAGTTGCTTCCTTGGAAAGGGTGATAACGTGCACATCCCAGGTTATAATGTGCATTCCCAGGAAGCACATTTGGCTTCCAGTCTCCCGGACTTAAAGAAGTCATTGTTAGTTGAACTTATTTAGATTTGAACCGAATTGATATAAAATTAATTGCTTTTTATTTTTATTTTTAAAGTGTGCATTTTTAATCATGGTAAGCACTGAACGTTGCATAAAAGATAGATGGGGCATACATTTTAATAAATAAATAGATTTTAATGCATAGAATAACTGGGAAAAGAAATAAAACAGGCAGCATTTTATCTAGAAGTAATTACTGTACACGGGCAGAGATACTAAAATGAGGTTTCTTATTAGAAATTCATTTGGCATAATTAGAATTAGAAATATTATTGTTATTCATATGAATCGCAAAAATATTTTTGCAAAATAGGACTTTCCTAACTTTCATGTTTCCAAAGAAGATTTTACGAAGTCACCTGTAAAAGTCTGAGAAGCCCCTATTTGATATTCAGTACACTGATAGATTTACAGTTTCAGTAACAGATTTGTAGCTCAGATTGTAACTAAAATGCCTTCATTTCATGCTAGAACACTGTTGCTTACAAGCCATTATGAAAGAATTCTTTGCATAATTATATATATTTATAATATAACTCTTTAGATAAGAGTTATATATAATATAACTCTTATCTAAAGACCTAGCTAGGGGTTTTGGAGTGGCAGGCACTGTGTTACAGTGGTTCTTCTTCCTTTGAAGTTGGTCTTTAGAAGAGCACTTGACGGCCGTAACCGGGAGGATTTTTCATCAGGTTCGCCTGATCCGCCAGTTGCGTCCCTTTCTGGATCGGGACTCGTGACGCACGGTCACTCATGCCCTCGTCACCTCCCGTCTGGACTATTGTAATGCTCTCTACATGGGGCTCCCCTTGAGGAGCACTCGGAGGCTCCAACTGGCGCAGAGTGCGGCCGCGCGGGTGGTGATGGGAGCGACGTGGCGCTCCCATGTAACGCCTCACCTGCGCGAGCTGCACTGGCTCCCGGTGGTCTTCCGAGTGCGCTTCAAGGTTTTGGTCATCACCTTTAGAGCGCTCCATGGCTTAGGACCTGGTTATCTACGGGACCGCCTGCTACCACCAATAGCCTCCCACCGACCAGTACGCTCCCATAGAGAGGGGCTCCTCCGGGTGCCGTCGGCCAAACAATGTCGACTGGCGGCCCCCAGGAGGAGAGCCTTCTCTGTGGGGGCACCTACTATCTGGAACGAGTTCCCCCCCAAGATACGGAGGATTCCGGATCTGCGTACCTTCCGTCACACGCTGAAGACGTTCCTATTCCAGCAAGCCGGCCTGACCTAAACTTCTCCTCTTTTAAATGGGAATTTTAAATTTGGTTTTAAATTATTGGGGTTTTAAATATGGTTCAGCCAAATTTATTTAACTTGTTTTATTTCTATTTTAAATTTTGTATTTATATGTTTTATTTCATGGCTGTTCACCACCCTGAGTCCTTCGGGAGTAGGGCGGTATACAAATTTAATAAAATGAAATGAAAAATGAAATGGGAATGTTCTAGTCCTAAAGCTCTTCTTTGTGGGGGCATCATAATTCTTTGCTATCCCTACTTCTTTTTAACAGCTACATGAAATGAGAGAGGCAGTCATTCCTCAGCATGAGGTAAAGCATCATCAGTATTCTAATGTCCCTCAACTATATAAATCTGTCCCCTCCCAAACAAGTGAAAGTTGTTGAGGTTCTGTCACAGTATCTGAAGACTATGGAAGTCTGAAGGGGGAAAACAAGTTCAGTCCAGTCCTACCATGACTGAGTGGTCGTGGCTTTTGGGTCCATGAGAGGACCCATGGGCCAGATTTCCTATTATTGATTATTACTGATTGTTGCTTTTTTCTTGCATTATTTTCTCTTATACACCTCTCAGAGACAAATTTAATAAGAAAAACTTACTGCCAAAAGGAAAAAACTAATAAATTTTTATTCCAAAATTATGTTGGTTTTTTTAATGCAGACTTTGACATATGGAGAGAATAACAATATAAAATTTTACCAGATTTTGGTAGTAGCAGTGGCTCGATTGTTGTTTTAGTGATGGAAACATGATGCTTGGTCTTTGCATCTGAAAAAGAAAAAAAAATCTTCAAAATTATTAAGATGTAAATAAGGTCAGGTCGGGCATTTTAAAATTGAAGGTGAAGGTGAAGGTGAAGAAACATGCTGTGGATATGAAGTGTACAAAATCAGCCATACAAAAGGGTTGAGGAAGAGTAGGCTCAATACATATGTAAAATTAGTGATTTATGAAAATTTCAGGAGCCAGCTTAAAAAAGAAATGGAAATTACGTGGGACTTCACGTCGTATAATATGGCCACTTCCAGCTATTTTCACATGACTGAATCACTGTGCAAGGAAAGAAAGAAAAAGCAGTACTGTGGGAAAAAAAAGTAAATAGAATGGTTAAAAGTCTTCAGTGCTAAATGACTAGCAAACCTAGAGAGAGGATGGGATTTAATGAAAAAAAGATGATGTTAGATGATCTTACAGAAAAGAAAATGTAATGGATTTCTGAACAAGAAAGTAAAATAAGAAAATCAATCAGTGTGCCAGGAAAACACTATTACCTACTATTGGAAGTTCATTGCTAAACGTAATAGGTTCCAAAACTGTACCGGGGAAAAAAGGGAACTATTAGAATATGGAAAACCTTTCATAATGCCTGTAACTGCAACACTAATTTACAAACAGAAAAAAATATTGTAGATTAAAGACAGAAATTGATACATAATCTTAGAAACTAAGATTAGAAACTAATAAGAATTAATGCACCTGAGCACCTGTTCCAAAATTGTGTTGAATCCAGAAAATACCTATGTCCAAGGAGTTGCCAGGAATGCATTATCTACCTATCTACTAAGAATCGTATTGAAAACAATTTTATCTAATGTAAAACAACATGTAATTATCAGGATTAGTAAATGGGAGTTATGGCATGCTCAAGAGTTTACAAAGATAATTATAAGCGCCAGCTGAAAATAAAAAAAAAGCAACCAACCCCCCCCCCCCCAATTTAGAATGTCGAAACTGAAGGACATGGTTACACGTATGTACCCAAAGATGCCTCCGAGATGGTTCATAATTTTATATATTTTACAAACGTGACTCAGAAGTGTTCCATCATAAAATACATGATCTGAAGATGAAGAAATATATTGTCTCAGATTGGTCTTATTCCCCTATATGGACTCTCATAGGAAGCTTTAGTATATATAATGGATGTGTTCCGATTGTGAAGTTTACCTCTATTCCCATTCTATAAAGGAGACATTCAGGGTGTTCCAGATCATTCAGTATTGGATCACAACATTTAGAATTTATACAGTTTATAATTTTAAGGAAGTACTGACTTCATAGGATAAGATTACGCTAGATAGATTCAAAAAGTTCTTGTGTAAGGCAGAAAAAAGTAAATAAAAAAGTCACTCTACCATGTTTCCTCTCTGGTACTTCTGAAAAGATGTAGTCAGGTTCTTTAAATTTTGATGGATCAGGGCTTGACTCATAGGAAGCTGAAAGGAAGTCCAGTCTAGATTTAATTGGGTTTTGACAGGAAGGTACAAGATTCAAACTACCATGTGATATTAATCGTATCTTATGAAAGGATTTTGAACTGAAGAAGAAAGAATTCTCAAAGGGCAATGGGGGTTTAACCCTCGGGAAAATAAAGATCTAAGTCACATGAATGAAAGTGGATGGTCTGCTAATACTATGCACTGGTGTAGCGAAGTTCTGCAGGTGATCTGCAGATGATCACAGGCATGTTTTAAAAAGTTATGTTCAATACAGAAACTCCTTGTGCCTATGCAGCCTTGGGGAATGAATTATGTAGCAACAATAAATTGCATTCAATTTTACCTAACATAAGAGAAAATATAATTACCAGGTTTGGTAATTGGGAGTTCTGGAGTGGTCAAGACTTTAGGAAGATAATTATCATCCTCAGTTGAAACTAGAAAAAAGCAAACAACCCCCAAATAAGTTCTCATTGTACATATTGAAGGACATGGCTACACACATATATATGTCTAAAGCTCTTTCATCTTAAAATGGAATTGTCAGACATTATCATACTATGAAGAAATATATTGTCTTAGATGGGTTTTAATCTTCTATAAAAGATGATCAAAGGAAATTTTGGATTGTAGAATGTGCTTTCTTCTGGTTGTAAAGTGCACTTCCATTCTACTCAGTGTTGTAGAGCATTCATGATTCAATAATATACTCAGAACTTGTGCATATAATAATTTCCAGAATATCTGGATTTTGTAAACCCTTTCAATTACACTAGAACTTATCTTGTAAAGGATCAGAAAGTAGTACGTTAAAAAAATGACTCTACCATGTTTCCTGTCTGGTACTTCTGCAATAATGTAGCCAGGTTCTTTAAATTTTGATGGAATGGGGCTTGGTTCATAAGAAACTGAAAGGAAGTCCAGTATAGAATTAGTCTGCATTCTGGCTACATAGTTACATCTTTCCAAAAACTATGTGATATTAATCATATCTGATGAAAGAATTTTGAACTCAGGAAGAAAGAATTCCCAAAGGATAATGGGTAATTTCAGAAAAATGAAAATTAAAAGTAGCACGAGAAGAAATATATGGTCTTCTAATACTATACATATGTGTAGTGAAGCTCTAAATCTGATTCACAGGTATGTCTTTTAAGGTTCTGTTCAGCACAGAAACAGCTGTGTTGTTTCTAACCAAATGCCAGGAGTGCATTAGCTACTAACAATCACTCAGTATATAATTTTATCAAACATACGAGAACACATAATTATTAGATTTAGTAATTGGAAGTCCTGGAATGGTCAAGACTTTAGGAGGATAATTATAATCTTCAGTTGAAACTGGAAAAGAGCAAAGAATCCCAAAATAAGTTTACAGTGTCCATATTGAAGGACATGGTTACACCTATGTACCCTAAATTGCCTATGAGTCCTCCCATCTTGAAATGGAATTGTTATACATGGTCTACAATTAAGTAATATATTGTCTTAGATGAATTTTAATCTTCAGTGGAGGACCATCAAAAAAGTTTTTTGGTGTGTCTGAATCAATGTCTCCAGGTTTGAATGTGTGCTCTCTATTATTTTTTATACAATTTTCTAAAGCATTTTTGATTGAATCAATCATAAGGGGCAGAACAGGATTCAAAATACCATGTGGCACTAGTCATATCTTAAGAAAGGATTTTGAACTGAAGAACAAAGAATTCTCAAAGAGTAAATCTCAATAAAATGAACATCAAAAGTAGCATGAGAAAAAAATGGATTGTCTGCTAATATTATGCATCTTCATAGTGATGCTGTACATATTATCTATCAGAATGTCTTTCAAAGTTCTATTCTATCCAGAAACTATTTTTCTAAATAGCCATCAAGAGTGCATTATCTACCAATAATCACACTATATACATTTTATCACATATATGGGAACACATGATTACCAGGTTTAGTAATTAGCAGCTCTGCCGTGGTCAAGACTTTAGGAAGATAATTATCATCCTCAGTTGAATCTGGAAAAAAGCAAAGAACCCCAAAATAATTTCAAAATGTTCATATTGAAGGGCATGGTTTCACCTATTTATGTCAATTTGCCTAAGAGCTCTTTCATCTTAAAATGGAATTTTTAGACGTGATTCTATTATGAAGAAATATATAGTTTTAGAAGATTTTAATTTTCCATACTTGAATTTCAAGGAAAATTTTGGGTGTATGATCTGCTATCTTCTGGTTGGAAAGTGTACTTCCACTCCACTAAGTATTGTAGAGAATTCATGAATAATGTACTTAGAATTTATGCATATAGAAATTTCCAGAATATCTGAATAAAAGTACACTAGAGAGATGCAAAAACTTATCTTGTAAACAAGAAGAAAGTAGTATATTAAAAAATTCACCCTACCATGTTTCCTGTCTGGTTCTTCTGGCATGATGTAGCCAGGTTCTTTAGATTTTGATGGAACAGGACTTGGTTTATAAGAAACTGAAAGGAAGTTCAGTATAAAATTAGTCTACAACCTGACTGGGAGATACAGGGTTGTGAATACCAAGTGAAATTAGTCATATCTAACTGAAGAATTTTGAACTAAGGAAGAAAGAATTCTCAATGTGTAATGGGCAATTTCAGGAAAATGAAAATCAAAAGGAACATGAGAAGAAATATATAGTCTTCTAATTCTAATACTATCCATCTGTGTAATGAAGCTCTACATCTGATCCGCAGGTATGTCTTTCAAATTCTGTTCAGTGCAGAAATTCCTTGTTTCTAAGCAGCGACCAGAGGTGCTTTATCTACCAACAATCACTTCAGACATATTTTTATCAAACATATGAGAACACATAATTACCAGATTTGGTAATTGGAAGTTCTGGCGTGGTCAATATTTTAGAAAGATAATTATCATCCTCAGTTGAAACTGGAAAAAAGAAACAACCCCAAAATAAGTTCACACTGTTCATGCTGGAGGACATAGTTACACCTGCATATGTCAAAGTACTTAACACCTCTTTCATGTTAAAATGGAATTGTCGGGTATGGCCCTACAATGAAATATATTGTCTAAAATGGGTTTTAATCCTATGTACAGGATGGTCAAAGGAAATTTTGATTTGTAAAGTGTGCTGTCTTCTGGTTGGAAAGTTCAGTTCTATTCTGCTCTATATTGTAGGACATTCATGATTGATTAATATACTTATAATGTATTCAGGTAATGAATTCCAGAATGTCTGGATTTCATAAATCCATTTTATAAGATTATACCATATCGGTATATATTCATATCTCATCTTGTTAAGGGTCAGCAAGTAGTACATTAAGAAGTAACTCTACCATGTTTCCTTTCTGGTACTTCTGGCAGGACATAGTCGGGTTTTTTGAATTTTGATGTAATGGGAGTTGGTTCACGAGAAACTGAAAGGAAGTCATGTCTAGAATTAATCTACATTTTGACCGGGAGGTACATGATTCAAAATACTGTGTGATGCTAATCATATCTTACGAAATGATTTTGAACTGAAGAAGGAAGTATTCTCAAAGTATAATGGGAGTCAAACATTGGGAAAATAAAGATCTAAAGTAGCATGGAAAAATCTGTTCCCCCAATACTATCCATCTCTATAGCAAGCTCTGCATATGATCTACAGCATGTCTTTTGATGTTATTTTCAATCCAGAAACTCCTTGTTTCTAAGTAGCCACTAGGAATGCAATATCTACCACCAATCACACTTTATACATTTTATCAACATATGAGAACACATAATTACCAGATTTGGAAATTGGGAGTTCTGGCATGTTAAAGTCTTTAGGAAGATAATTATCATCCTCAGTTGAAACTGGAAAAAAGCAAAGAACCTCAAAATAATTTCACAGTGTCCATACTGAAGGACATGGTTTCATCTATATATGTCAAGTTGTATAAGAGATTTTTCATTTTATGATAGAATTGTTATGCATGACCCTGCTATGAAAAATATATTCTCCAAGAAGAGTTTTAATTTCCCATACTGAGGATCAAGGGAAATTTTGGGTTATAAATTGTGCTATGTTCTTGTTGGAAAATACACTTACATTCTACTCAGTCTTTTAATCCTCAGTAGAGGACCATCAAAGAAAATTTCATTGTGCCTGGTTTGGTGTACTCAGGTTTGAATGTGTACTTCTGTTCCTTTTTTAGACAGTTTTGTACAACATTCATGATTGACTGAATTTATTTAGAACTTATGCATTTTATAACTTCAACAAAGTCTGGATTTCATGTTCATTTCGGAAATGACCAATTAGAATAATACTAGATGGTAGAAAGAAGCATATATAAAAAAGTCACTCTACCATGTTTCCTGTCTGGTAATTCTGGCATGATGATGGAGTCAGGTTCTTTAAACTTTGGAGTAACCATTCTTGGTTTAGAAGAGGCTAAAAGTAAGTCCAATTTAAAATTAATCTACATTTGACAGGATTCAAAATACCGTTTTATACTAATCATTACATATGAAAGGATTTTCAACTGGAGAAAGAATTCTCAAAGGAAAATGGAGTTAAACCACAGGAAAATAAGGTCAAAAGTAACTTGAAAAAATTGTTCTCCCAATACTATGCATCTCTAAAGCTCTGCATATGGTCTGCCAGCAGGACTTTTGAAGTTATGTTCAATCAGAAACTCCTTGTTTCTAGGTGTCACCAAGAGTGCATTATCTGTCTTTGAAGGGTTTTAATTTTCTATACATGAACATCAAAGGAAATTTTGATTTCTCCGGTGCGCTGTTTGCTACATTCAAAAGAGCACTAACATTCTCTTCAGTGTTGCAGACCATTCAAGAATGAATAATGTACTTAGAATTTAAGCATGTAATACTTTCCAGAATGTCTGGATTTTGTAAATTCATTGGATAAGATTAGACTAGATCGATGCAAGCACTAATTTCACAAAGGATCATAACATAGTATGTAAAAAAGGCACTCTACCATGTACCCTGCCTGGTACTTCTCAAACGGGTAATGGGCATGGGTAATGGGCAATTTCAGGAAAACGAATATCAAATGTAGCTTGACAAGAAAAAAAAAATGATCTTTTCATACTATCCATCTGTGTAATGAAGCTGTACATATAATACAATGGCATGTCATTCATATTGTGTCCAATTCAAAAACTCATAGTATAGGGAGTACAATATTCAAAACACTGTGTGATGATAATAATATGAAATGAAGGAAAAAAGAATTCTCAAAGGGTGATGTCAGGAAAATGAACATCAACAGTACCATAAAAAAAAACTACTGTTTAACCATGAAAATAAGACCCTGACTTATATTTTTTTGAACCCTGAAATGAGTGCTTGGCTTCATTGCCATGCACTCAAAGGCCCGACTGGGCTTATTATCAGGGGATAATATCTTATTTCGGAAAAAACAGGGTATATGATCTTCTAATAATATCCATCTGTGTAATGAAGTTCTACACATGATCCACTTTGGAATTTGGAATTTTGCTCAGTGCAGAAATCCATTATTTCTAAAAAAACCCAACTGTATACATTTGTTATCAACCATAGGAGAACACATAATTACCAGATTGGTAATCGGAAGATCTGGCGTGGTCAAGACTTTAGGAAGATAACTATCATCCTCAGTTGAAACTAGAAAAAAGCAAAGGACCCCAAATAAGTTCACATTGTGTACATATGGACAAGGTTTCAATTAGAGAAGCCTAAGTACTCTTTCATCTTAAAATGGAATTAACAGGCATAACACTACTGTGAAGAAATACATTGTCTGGGAATAATTTTCATCTTTTATATAGAGGGACCCAGGAAAATTTTGGTTTCTACGGTGCTCTGTCTTCTGATTGGAAAGTGTACCTTCATTCCATTCGGTGTGGTAGAGCATTCGTGATTCAATAACATGCTTCATTCTTGTGCAGATATTAATTTCCAGAATGCCTGGATTTGGTAAACCCTTTCGATAACACTAGATAGATGCAAGAACTTATCTTGTAAAGAGTAGAACGTAGAAAAAGTCACTCTACCATGTTTCCTGTCTGGTACTTCTGCAGTGAGGTAGCCAGGTTCTTTAAATTTGGATGGAACAGGGCTTGGTTCATGAGAAACTGTAAGAAGTCCAGTACAAAATTAGTCTGCAATCTGACAGGGAGCAAGGGATTCAAAATACTGTGTGCTGCTAATCCTATGAGATGAAAGGATTTTGAAGGAAGAATTCTCAAAGGGGAATGGGTAATTTCAGGAAAATGAACATCAAAAGTGGCATGACAAGAACTATCTGGTCTTCTAATACTATCCATCTGTGTGATGAAGTTCTACGCATGATCCACTGGCATGTCTTTGGAATTTTGCTCAGTGCAGAAACTCATTATTTCTAAACAACCGCCAGGAATGCTCTATCTACCAACAATCACTCCACATATAATTTTATCAAACATATGAGAACAGATAATTACCAGGTTTGGTAATTGGAAGTTCTGGCGTGGTCAAGACTTTAGGAAGAGATTTATCATCCACAGTTGAAACTAGAAAAAAGCAAAGAACCCCAAGGTATATTTAGTGTCCATGTTGAAGGACATTGTTACACCTATGCATCCTAGGTTGCCTATGTGCCCTTCTATTTTGAGGAAGAATTGTTATACGTGGTCCTACAATTAATAATTATATTTTCTTAGATGAATTTCAATCCTCAGTGGAGGACTCTAATTTCCAGGAAGTCTGGAGTTCATCTTCATTTCAGAAAGGAATACGGTAGGTAAATTCCAGAGCTAGAAAGAAGCATGTTTAAAAAAGTCACTCTACCATGTTTCTTGTCTGGCACTGCGCGGCAGGATGTTGTCGGGTTCTTTATACTCTGGCGGAACCGGGCTTGGTTTATAAGAATCTGAAAGGAAGTCCAGTCTAAAATTAATCTACATTTGGTAGCAAAGTACAGGATTCAAAATACCGTGTTACTTATGAAAGGATTTTCAACGGAAGAAGAAGGAATTCTCAAAGAAGGAAATGGGAGTTAAACCTTGGGAAAATAAAGATCTAAAGGAGCTTGAAAAAAAGCGAATGTTCTCCCAATCCTATGCATCTCTAAAGCTCTGCATATGGTCTTGCGCGCATGTCTTTCAAAGTTATGTTCAATCAGCAACTCTTTACTTCTAAGTAGCCACCAAAAGGGCAAGATCTACCCACTATCACCCTGTATACATTTGTTATCAACCACAGGAGAACACATAATTACCAGATTTGGTAATCGGAAGATCTGGCGTGGTCAAGACTTTAGGAAGATAATTATCGTCCTCAGTTGAAACTAGAAAAAAGCAAAGAACCCCCAAATAAGTTCACACTGTACATGGTTTCACCTATAGAAGCCTAAGTGCTCTTTCATCTTAAAATGGAATTAACAGGCATGACACTACTGTGAAGAAATACATTGTCTGGGAAAGAATTTTCATCTTTCATATAGAGGGACCCAGAAAATTTTGGTTTCTACGGTGCTCTGTCTTCTGATTGGAAAGTGTCCCTTCATTCCATTCGGTGTGGTAGAGCATTCGTGATTCAACAATATGCTTCATTCTTGTGCAGATATTAATTTCCAGAATGCCTGGATTTGGTAAACCCTTTCGATAACACTAGATAGATGCAAGAACTTATCTTGTAAAGAGTAGAACGTAGAAAAAGTCACTCTACCATGTTTCCTGTCTGGTACTTCTGCAGTGATGTAGCCAGGTTCTTTAAATTTGGATGGAACAGGGCTTGGTTCATGAGAAACTGTAAGGAAGTCCAGTACAAAATTAGTCTGCAATCTGACAGGGAGCAAGGGATTCAAAATACTGTGTGCTGCTAATCCTATGAGATGAAAGGATTTTGAAGGAAGAATTCTCAAAGGGAAATGGGTAATTTCAGGAAAATGAACGTCAAAAGTGGCATGACAAGAACTATCTGGTCTTCTAATACTATCCATCTGTGTGATGAAGTTCTACGCATGATCCACTGGCATGTCTGGAATTTTGCTCAGTGCAGAAACTCATTATTTCTAAACAACCGCCAGGAATGCTCTATCTACCAACAATCACTCCACATATAATTTTATCAAACATATGAGAACAGATAATTACCAGGTTTGGTAATTGGAAGTTCTGGCGTGGTCAAGACTTTAGGAAGAGATTTATCATCCACAGTTGAAACTAGAAAAAAGCAAAGAACCCCAAGGTATATTTAGTGTCCATGTTGAAGGACATTGTTACACCTATGCATCCTAGGTTGCCTATGTGCCCTTCTATTTTGAGGGAATTGTTATGTGTATAAGACTATCCTACAATTAATTAATATATTTTCTTAGATGAATTTCAATCCTCAGTGGAGGACTCTAATTTCCAGGAAGTCTGGAGTTCATCTTCATTTCAGAAAGGAATACGGTAGGTAAATTCCAGAGCTAGAAAGAAGCATGTTAGAAAAGTCACTCTACCATGTTTCTTGTCTGGCACTGCGGGCAGGATGTTGTCGGGTTCTTTATACTCTGGCGGAACCGGGCTTGGTTTATAAGAATCTGAAAGGAAGTCCAGTCTAAAATTAATCTACATTTGGTAGCAAAGTACAGGATTCAAAATACCGTGTTACTTATGAAAGGATTTTGAACAGAAGGAGAAGGAGTTCTCAAAGGGAAATGGGAGTTAAACCTTGGGAAAATAAAGATCTAAAGGAGCTTGAAAAAAAGCGAATGTTCTCCCAATCCTATGCATCTCTAAAGCTCTGCATATGGTCTTGCGTGCATGTCTTTCAAAGTTATGTTCAATCAGCAACTCTTTACTTCTAAGTAGCCACCAAAGGGCAAGATCTACCCACTATCACCCTGTATACATTTGTTATCAACCATAGGAGAACACATAATTACCAGATTTGGTAATCGGAAGATCTGGCGTGGTCAAGACTTTAGGAAGATAGTTATCGTCCTCAGTTGAAACTAGAAAAAAGCAAAGAACCCCCAAATAAGTTCACACTGTACATGGTTTCACCTATAGAAGCCTACGTGCTCTTTCATCTTAAAATGGAATTAACAGGCATGACACTACTGTGAAGAAATACATTGTCTGGGAAGAATTTTCATCTTTCATATAGAGGGACCCAGGAAAATCTAGGTTTCTACGGTGCTCTGTCTTCTGATTGGAAAGTGTCCCTTCATTTTATTCGGTGTTGTAGAGCATTCGTGATTCAACAATATGCTTCATTCTTGTGCAGATATTAATTTCCAAAATGCCTGGATTTGGTAAATGCTGTCGGTAAGATTACCCTAGATAGACTTAAGAATTTATTTTGTAAAGGATCAGAGAGGAGAACGTAGAAAAAGTCACTCTACCATGTTTCCTGTCTGGTACTTCTGCAGTGAGGTAGCCAGGTTCTTTAAATTTGGATAGAACAGGGCTTGGTTCATGAGAAACTGTAAGGAAGTCCAGTACAAAATTAGTCTCCAATCTGACAGGGAGCAAGGGATTCAAAATACTGTGTGCTGCTAATCCTATGAGATGAAAGGATTTTGAAGGAAGAATTCTCAAAGGGGAATGGGTAATTTCAGGACAATGAATGTCAAAAGTGGCATGACAAGAACTAGCTGGTCTTCTAATACTATCCATCTGTGTAATGAAGTTCTACGCATGATCCACTGGCATGTCTTTGGAATTTTGCTCAGTGCAGAAACTCATTATTTCTAAACAACCGCCAGGAATGCTCTATCTACCAACAATCACTCCACATATAATTTTATCAAACATATGAGAACAGATCATTACCAGGTTTGGTAATTGGAAGTTCTGGCGTGGTCAAGACTTTAGGAAGAGATTTATCATCCACAGTTGAAACTAGAAAAAAGCAAAGAACCCCAAGGTATATTTAGTGTCCATGTTGAAGGACATTGTTACACCTATGCATCCTAGGTTGCCTATGTGCCCTTCTATTTTGAGGAAGAATTGTTATACGTGGTCCTACAATTAATTAATATATTTTCTTAGATGAATTTCAATCCTCAGTGGAGGACTCTAATTTCCAGGAAGTCTGGAGTTCATCTTCATTTCAGAAAGGAATACGGTAGGTAAATTCCAGAGCTAGAAAGAAGCATGTTAAAAAAGTCACTCTACCATGTTTCTTGTCTGGCACTGCGGGCAGGATGTTGTCGGGTTCTTTATACTCTGGGGGAACCGGGCTTGGTTTATAAGAATCTGAAAGGAAGTCCAGTCTAAAATTAATCTACATTTGGTAGCAAAGTACAGGATTCAAAATACCGTGTTACTTATGAAAGGATTTTCAACGGAAGAAGAAGGAATTCTCAAAGGGAAATGGGAGTTAAACCTTGGGAAAATAAAGATCTAAAGGAGCTTGAAAAAAAGCGAATGTTCTCCCAATCTTATGCATCTCTAAAGCTCTGCATATGGTCTTGCGTGCATGTCTTTCAAAGTTATGTTCAATCAGCAACTCTTTACTTCTAAGTAGCCACCAAAAGGGCAAGATCTACCCACTATCACCCTGTATACATTTGTTATCAACCACAGGAGAACACATAATTACCAGATTTGGTAATCGGAAGATCTGGCGTGGTCAAGACTTTAGGAAGATAATTATCGTCCTCAGTTGAAACTAGAAAAAAGCAAAGAACCCCCAAATAAGTTCACACTGTACATGTTTCACCTATAGAAGCCTACGTGCTCTTTCATCTTAAAATGGAATTAACAGGCATGACACTACTGTGAAGAAATACATTGTCTGGGAAGAATTTTCATCTTTCATATAGAGGGACCCAGGAAAATTTTGGTTTCTACGGTGCTCTGTCTTCTGATTGGAAAGTGTCCCTTCATTTTATTCGGTGTGGTAGAGCATTCGTGATTCTACAATATGCTTCATTCTTGTGCAGATATTAATTTCCAGAATGCCTGGATTTGGTAAATGCTGTCGGTAAGATTATTCTAGATAGACTTAAGAATTTATTTTGTAAAGGATCAGGGAGTAGAACGTAGAAAAAGTCACTCTACCATGTTTCCTGTCTGGTACTTCTGCAGTGATGTAGCCAGGTTCTTTAAATTTGGATGGAACAGGGCTTGGTTCATGAGAAACTGTAAGGAAGTCCAGTACAAAATTAGTCTGCAATCTGACAGGGAGCAAGGGATTCAAAATACTGTGTGCTGCTAATCCTATGAGATGAAAGGATTTTGAAGGAAGAATTCTCAAAGGGGAATGGGTAATTTCAGGAAAATGAACGTCAAAAGTGGCATGACAAGAACTATCTGGTCTTCTAATACTATCCATCTGTGTGATGAAGTTCTACGCATGATCCACTGGCATGTCTTTGGAATTTTGCTCAGTGCAGAAAGTCATGATTTCTAAACAACCGCCAGGAATGCTCTATCTACCAACAATCACTCCACATATAATTTTATCAAACGTATGAGAACAGATAATTACCAGGTTTGGTAATTGGAAGTTCTGGCGTGGTCAAGACTTTAGGAAGAGATTTATCATCCACAGTTGAAACTAGAAAAAAGCAAAGAACCCCAAGGTATATTTAGTGTCCATGTTGAAGGACATTGTTACACCTATGCATCCTAGGTTGCCTATGTGCCCTTCTATTTTGAGGAAGAATTGTTATACGTGGTCCTACAATTAATTAATATATTTTCTTAGATGAATTTCAATCCTCAGTGGAGGACTCTAATTTCCAGGAAGTCTGGAGTTCATCTTCATTTCAGAAAGGAATACGGTAGGTAAATTCCAGAGCTAGAAAGAAGCATGTTAAAAAAGTCACTCTACCATGTTTCTTGTCTGGCACTGCGGGCAGGATGTTATCGGGTTCTTTATACTCTGGTGGAACCGGGCTTGGTTTATAAGAATCTGAAAGGAAGTCCAGTCTAAAATTAATCTACATTTGGTAGCAAAGTACAGGATTCAAAATACCGTGTTACTTATGAAAGGATTTTCAACGGAAGAAGAAGGAATTCTCAAAGGGAAATGGGAGTTAAACCTTAGGAAAATAAAGATCTAAAGGAGCTTGAAAAAAAGCGAATGTTCTCCAATCTTATGCATCTCTAAAGCTCTGCATATGGTCTTGCGTGCATGTCTTTCAAAGTTATGTTCAATCAGCAACTCTTTACTTCTAAGTAGCCACCAAAAGGGCAAGATCTACCCACTATCACCCTGTATACATTTGTTATCAACCACAGGAGAACACATAATTACCAGATTTGGTAATCGGAAGATCTGGCGTGGTCAAGACTTTAGGAAGATAATTATCGTCCTCAGTTGAAACTAGAAAAAAGCAAAGAACCCCCAAATAAGTTCACACTGTACATGTTTCACCTATAGAAGCCTACGTGCTCTTTCATCTTAAAATGGAATTAACAGGCATGACACTACTGTGAAGAAATACATTGTCTGGGAAGAATTTTCATTTCATATAGAGGGACCCAGGAAAATTTTGGTTTCTACGGTGCTCTGTCTTCTGATTGGAAAGTGTCCCTTCATTTTATTCGGTGTGGTAGAGCATTCGTGATTCTACAATATGCTTCATTCTTGTGCAGATATTAATTTCCAGAATGCCTGGATTTGGTAAATGCTGTCGGTAAGATTATCCTAGATAGACTTAAGAATTTATTTTGTAAAGGATCAGGGAGTAGAACGTAGAAAAAGTCACTCTACCATGTTTCCTGTCTGGTACTTCTGCAGTGATGTAGCCAGGTTCTTTAAATTTGGATGGAACAGGGCTTGGTTCATGAGAAACTGTAAGGAAGTCCAGTACAAAATTAGTCTGCAATCTGACAGGGAGCAAGGGATTCAAAATACTGTGTGCTGCTAATCCTATGAGATGAAAGGATTTTGAAGGAAGAATTCTCAAAGGGGAATGGGTAATTTCAGGAAAATGAACGTCAAAAGTGGCATGACAAGAACTATCTGGTCTTCTAATACTATCCATCTGTGTGATGAAGTTCTATGCATGATCCACTGGCATGTCTTTGGAATTTTGCTCAGTGCAGAAACTCATGATTTCTAAACAACCGCCAGGAATGCTCTATCTACCAACAATCACTCCACATATAATTTTATCAAACATATGAGAACAGATAATTACCAGGTTTGGTAATTGGAAGTTCTGGCGTGGTCAAGACTTTAGGAAGAGATTTATCATCCACAGTTGAAACTAGAAAAAAGCAAAGAACCCAAAGGTATATTTAGTGTCCGTGTTGAAGGACATTGTTACACCTATGCATCCTAGGTTGCCTATGTGCCCTTCTATTTTGAGGAAGAATTGTTATACGTGGTCCTACAATTAACTAATATATTTTCTTAGATGAATTTCAATCCTCAGTGGAGGACTCTAATTTCCAGGAAGTCTGGAGTTCATCTTCATTTCAGAAAGAAATACGGTAGGTAAATTCCAGAGCTAGAAAGAAGCATGTTAAAAAAGTCACTCTACCATGTTTCTTGTCTGGCACTGCGGGCAGGATGTTGTCGGGTTCTTTATACTCTGGTGGAACCGGGCTTGGTTTATAAGAATCTGAAAGGAAGTCCAGTCTAAAATTAATCTACATTTGGTAGCAAAGTACAGGATTCAAAATACCGTGTTACTTATGAAAGGATTTTGAACGGAAGGAGAAGGAGTTCTCAAAGGGAAATGGGAGTTAAACCTTGGGAAAATAAAGATCTAAAGGAGCTTGAAAAAAAGCGAATGTTCTCCCAATCCTATGCATCTCTAAAGCTCTGCATATGGTCTTGCGCGCATGTCTTTCAAAGTTATGTTCAATCAGCAACTCTTTACTTCTAAGTAGCCACCAAAAGGGCAAGATCTACCCACTATCACCCTGTATACATTTGTTATCAACCATAGGAGAACACATAATTACCAGATTTGGTAATCGGAAGATCTGGCGTGGTCAAGACTTTAGGAAGATAATTATCGTCCTCAGTTGAAACTAGAAAAAAGCAAAGAACCCCCAAATAAGTTCACACTGTACATGGTTTCACCTATAGAAGCCTACGTGCTCTTTCATCTTAAAATGGAATTAACAGGCATGACACTACTGTGAAGAAATACATTGTCTGGGAAGAATTTTCATCTTTCATATAGAGGGACCCAGGAAAATTTTGGTTTCTACGGTGCTCTGTCTTCTGATTGGAAAGTGTCCCTTCATTTTATTCGGTGTGGTAGAGCATTCATGATTCTACAATATGCTTCATTCTTGTGCAGATATTAATTTCCAGAATGCCTGGATTTGGTAAATGCTGTCGGTAAGATTACCCTAGATAGACTTAAGAATTTATTTTGTAAAGGATCAGCGAGTAGAACGTAGAAAAAGTCACTCTACCATGTTTCCTGTCTGGTACTTCTGCAGTGATGTAGCCAGGTTCTTTAAATTTGGATGGAACAGGGCTTGGTTCATGAGACACTGTAAGGAAGTCCAGTACAAAATTAGTCTGCAATCTGACAGGGAGCAAGGGATTCAAAATACTGTGTGCTGCTAATCCTATGAGATGAAAGGATTTTGAAGGAAGAATTCTCAAAGGGGAATGGGTAATTTCAGGAAAATGAACGTCAAAAGTGGCATGACAAGAACTATCTGGTCTTCTAATACTATCCATCTGTGTGATGAAGTTCTACGCATGATCCACTGGCATGTCTTTGGAATTTTGCTCAGTGCAGAAACTCATTATTTCTAAACAACCGCCAGGAATGCTCTATCTACCAACAATCACTCCACATATAATTTTATCAAACATATGAGAACAGATAATTACCAGGTTTGGTAATTGGAAGTTCTGGCGTGGTCAAGACTTTAGGAAGAGATTTATCATCCACAGTTGAAACTAGAAAAAAGCAAAGAACCCCAAGGTATATTTAGTGTCCATGTTGAAGGACATTGTTACACCTATGCATCCTAGGTTGCCTATGTGCCCTTCTATTTTGAGGAAGAATTGTTATACGTGGTCCTACAATTAACTAATATATTTTCTTAGATGAATTTCAATCCTCAGTGGAGGACTCTAATTTCCAGGAAGTCTGGAGTTCATCTTCATTTCAGAAAGGAATACGGTAGGTAAATTCCAGAGCTAGAAAGAAGCATGTTAAAAAAGTCACTCTACCATGTTTCTTGTCTGGCACTGCGGGCAGGATGTTGTCGGGTTCTTTATACTCTGGCGGAACCGGGCTTGGTTTATAAGAATCTGAAAGGAAGTCCAGTCTAAAATTAATCTACATTTGGTAGCAAAGTACAGGATTCAAAATACCGTGTTACTTATGAAAGGATTTTGAACGGAAGGAGAAGGAGTTCTCAAAGGGAAATGGGAGTTAAACCTTGGGAAAATAAAGATCTAAAGGAGCTTGAAAAAAAGCGAATGTTCTCCCAATCCTATGCATCTCTAAAGCTCTGCATATGGTCTTGCGCGCATGTCTTTCAAAGTTATGTTCAATCAGCAACTCTTTACTTCTAAGTAGCCACCAAAAGGGCAAGATCTACCCACTATCACCCTGTATACATTTGTTATCAACCACAGGAGAACACATAATTACCAGATTTGGTAATCGGAAGATCTGGCGTGGTCAAGACTTTAGGAAGATAGTTATCGTCCTCAGTTGAAACTAGAAAAAAGCAAAGAACCCCCAAATAAGTTCACACTGTACATGGTTTCACCTATAGAAGCCTACGTGCTCTTTCATCTTAAAATGGAATTAACAGGCATGACACTACTGTGAAGAAATACATTGTCTGGGAAGAATTTTCATCTTTCATATAGAGGGACCCAGGAAAATTTTGGTTTCTACGGTGCTCTGTCTTCTGATTGGAAAGTGTCCCTTCATTCCATTCGGTGTGGTAGAGCATTCGTGATTCAACAATATGCTTCATTCTTGTGCAGATATTAATTTCCAGAATGCCTGGATTTGGTAAACCCTTTCGATAACACTAGATAGATGCAAGAACTTATCTTGTAAAGAGTAGAACGTAGAAAAAGTCACTCTACCATGTTTCCTGTCTGGTACTTCTGCAGTGATGTAGCCAGGTTCTTTAAATTTGGATGGAACAGGGCTTGGTTCATGAGAAACTGTAAGGAAGTCCAGTACAAAATTAGTCTGCAATCTGACAGGGAGCAAGGGATTCAAAATACTGTGTGCTGCTAATCCTATGAGATGAAAAGATTTTGAAGGAAGAATTCTCAAAGGGGAATGGGTAATTTCAGGAAAATGAACGTCAAAAGTGGCATGACAAGAACTATCTGGTCTTCTAATCCTATCCATCTGTGTGATGAAGTTCTACGCATGATCCACTGGCATGTCTTTGGAATTTTGCTCAGTGAAGAAACTCATTATTTCTAAACAACCGCCAGGAATGCTCTATCTACCAACAATCACTCCACATATAATTTTATCAAACATATGAGAACAGATAATTACCAGGTTTGGTAATTGGAAGTTCTGGCGTGGTCAAGACTTTAGGAAGAGATTTATCATCCACAGTTGAAACTAGAAAAAAGCAAAGAACCCCAAGGTATATTTAGTGTCCATGTTGAAGGACATTGTTACACCTATGCATCCTAGGTTGCCTATGTGCCCTTCTATTTTGAGGAAGAATTGTTATACGTGGTCCTACAATTAATTAATATATTTTCTTAGATGAATTTCAATCCTCAGTGGAGGACTCTAATTTCCAGGAAGTCTGGAGTTCATCTTCATTTCAGAAAGAAATACGGTAGGTAAATTCCAGAGCTAGAAAGAAGCATGTTAAAAAAGTCACTCTACCATGTTTCTTGTCTGGCACTGCGGGCATGATGTTGTCGGGTTCTTTATACTCTGGCGGAACCGGGCTTGGTTTATAAGAATCTGAAAGGAAGTCCAGTCTAAAATTAATCTACATTTGGTAGCAAAGTACAGGATTCAAAATACCGTGTTACTTATGAAAGGATTTTGAACGGAAGGAGAAGGAGTTCTCAAAGGGAAATGGGAGTTAAACCTTGGGAAAATAAAGATCTAAAGGAGCTTGAAAAAAAGCGAATGTTCTCCCAATCCTATGCATCTCTAAAGCTCTGCATATGGTCTTGCGCGCATGTCTTTCAAAGTTATGTTCAATCAGCAACTCTTTACTTCTAAGTAGCTACCAAAAGGGCAAGATCTACCCACTATCACCCTGTATACATTTGTTATCAACCATAGGAGAACACATAATTACCAGATTTGGTAATCGGAAGATCTGGCGTGGTCAAGACTTTAGGAAGATAATTATCGTCCTCAGTTGAAACTAGAAAAAAGCAAAGAAACCCCAAATAAGTTCACACTGTACATGGTTTCACCTATAGAAGCCTACGTGCTCTTTCATCTTAAAATGGAATTAACAGGCATGACACTACTGTGAAGAAATACATTGTCTGGGAAGAATTTTCATCTTTCATATAGAGGGACCCAGGAAAATTTTAGTTTCTACGGTGCTCTGTCTTCTGATTGGAAAGTGTCCCTTCATTCCATTCGGTGTGGTAGAGCATTCGTGATTCAACAATATGCTTCATTCTTGTGCAGATATTAATTTCCAGAATGCCTGGATTTGGTAAACCCTTTCGATAACACTAGATAGATGCAAGAACTTATCTTGTAAAGAGTAGAACGTAGAAAAAGTCACTCTACCATGTTTCCTGTCTGGTACTTCTGCAGTGATGTAGCCAGGTTCTTTAAATTTGGATGGAACAGGGCTTGGTTCATGAGAAACTGTAAGGAAGTCCAGTACAAAATTAGTCTGCAATCTGACAGGGAGCAAGGGATTCAAAATACTGTGTGCTGCTAATCCTATGAGATGAAAAGATTTTGAAGGAAGAATTCTCAAAGGGGAATGGGTAATTTCAGGAAAATGAACATCAAAAGTGGCATGACAAGAACTATCTGGTCTTCTAATCCTATCCATCTGTGTAATGAAGTTCTACGCATGATCCACTGGCATGTCTTTGGAATTTTGCTCAGTGCAGAAACTCATTATTTCTAAACAACCGCCAGGAATGCTCTATCTACCAACAATCACTCCACATATAATTTTATCAAACATATGAGAACAGATAATTACCAGGTTTGGTAATTGGAAGTTCTGGCGTGGTCAAGACTTTAGGAAGAGATTTATCATCCACAGTTGAAACTAGAAAAAAGCAAAGAACCCAAGGTATATTTAGTGTCCATGTTGAAGGACATTGTTACACCTATGCATCCTAGGTTGCCTATGTGCCCTTCTATTTTGAGGAAGAATTGTTATACGTGGTCCTACAATTAATTAATATATTTTCTTAGATGAATTTCAATCCTCAGTGGAGGACTCTAATTTCCAGGAAGTCTGGAGTTCATCTTCATTTCAGAAAGAAATACGGTAGGTAAATTCCAGAGCTAGAAAGAAGCATGTTAAAAAAGTCACTCTACCATGTTTCTTGTCTGGCACTGCGGGCAGGATGTTGTCGGGTTCTTTATACTCTGGTGGAACCGGGCTTGGTTTATAAGAATCTGAAAGGAAGTCCAGTCTAAAATTAATCTACATTTGGTAGCAAAGTACAGGATTCAAAATACCGTGTTACTTATGAAAGGATTTTCAACGGAAGAAGAAGGAATTCTCAAAGGGAAATGGGAGTTAAACCTTGGGAAAATAAAGATCTAAAGGAGCTTGAAAAAAAGCGAATGTTCTCCCAATCCTATGCATCTCTAAAGCTCTGCATATGGTCTTGCGCGCATGTCTTTCAAAGTTATGTTCAATCAGCAACTCTTTACTTCTAAGTAGCCACTAAAAGCGCAAGATCTACCCACTATCACCCTGTATACATTTGTTATCAACCACAGGAGAACACATAATTACCAGATTTGGTAATCGGAAGATCTGGCGTGGTCAAGACTTTAGGAAGATAATTATCGTCCTCAGTTAAAACTAGAAAAAAGCAAAGAACCCCCAAATAAGTTCACACTGTACATGGTTTCACCTATAGAAGCCTAAGTGCTCTTTCATCTTAAAATGGAATTAACAGGCATGACACTACTGTGAAGAAATACATTGTCTGGGAAGAATTTTCATCTTTCATATAGAGGGACCCAGGAAAATTTTGGTTTCTACGGTGCTCTGTCTTCTGATTGGAAAGTGTCCCTTCATTCCATTCAGTGTTGTAGAGCATTCGTGATTCAACAATATGCTTCATTCTTGTGCAGGTATTAATTTCCAGAATGCCTGGATTTGGTAAATGCTATCGGTAAGATTACCCTAGATAGACTTAAGAATTTATTTTGTAAAGGATCAGAGAGTAGAACGTAGAAAAAGTCACTCTACCATGTTTCCTGTCTGGTACTTCTGCAGTGATGTAGCCAGGTTCTTTAAATTTGGATGGAACAGGGCTTGGTTCATGAGAAACTGTAAGGAAGTCCAGTACAAAATTAGTCTGCAATCTGACAGGGAGCAAGGGATTCAAAATACTGTGTGCTGCTAATCCTATGAGATGAAAGGATTTTGAAGGAAGAATTCTCAAAGGGGAATGGGTAATTTCAGGAAAATGAACGTCAAAAGTGGCATGACAAGAACTATCTGGTCTTCTAATACTATCCATCTGTGTGAAATGAAGTTCTACGCATGATCCACTGGCATGTCTTTGGAATTTTGCTCAGTGCAGAAACTCATTATTTCTAAACAACCGCCAGGAATGCTCTATCTACCAACAATCACTCCACATATAATTTTATCAAACATATGAGAACAGATAATTACCAGGTTTGGTAATTGGAAGTTCTGGCGTGGTCAAGACTTTAGGAAGAGATTTATCATCCACAGTTGAAACTAGAAAAAAGCAAAGAACCCCAAGGTATATTTAGTGTCCATGTTGAAGGACATTGTTACACCTATGCATCCTAGGTTGCCTATGTGCCCTTCTATTTTGAGGAAGAATTGTTATACGTGGTCCTACAATTAATTAATATATTTTCTTAGATGAATTTCAATCCTCAGTGGAGGACTCTAATTTCCAGGAAGTCTGGAGTTCATCTTCATTTCAGAAAGAAATACGGTAGGTAAATTCCAGAGCTAGAAAGAAGCATGTTAAAAAAGTCACTCTACCATGTTTCTTGTCTGGCACTGCGGGCAGGATGTTGTCGGGTTCTTTATACTCTGGTGGAACCGGGCTTGGTTTATAAGAATCTGAAAGGAAGTCCAGTCTAAAATTAATCTACATTTGGTAGCAAAGTACAGGATTCAAAATACCGTGTTACTTATGAAAGGATTTTCAACGGAAGAAGAAGGAATTCTCAAAGGGAAATGGGAGTTAAACCTTGGGAAAATAAAGATCTAAAGGAGCTTGAAAAAAAGCGAATGTTCTCCCAATCCTATGCATCTCTAAAGCTCTGCATATGGTCTTGCGCGCATGTCTTTCAAAGTTATGTTCAATCAGCAACTCTTTACTTCTAAGTAGCCACTAAAAGCGCAAGATCTACCCACTATCACCCTGTATACATTTGTTATCAACCACAGGAGAACACATAATTACCAGATTTGGTAATCGGAAGATCTGGCGTGGTCAAGACTTTAGGAAGATAATTATCGTCCTCAGTTGAAACTAGAAAAAAGCAAAGAACCCCCAAATAAGTTCACACTGTACATGGTTTCACCTATAGAAGCCTAAGTGCTCTTTCATCTTAAAATGGAATTAACAGGCATGACACTACTGTGAAGAAATACATTGTCTGGGAAGAATTTTCATCTTTCATATAGAGGGACCCAGGAAAATTTTGGTTTCTACGGTGCTCTGTCTTCTGATTGGAAAGTGTCCCTTCATTCCATTCAGTGTTGTAGAGCATTCGTGATTCAACAATATGCTTCATTCTTGTGCAGGTATTAATTTCCAGAATGCCTGGATTTGGTAAATGCTATCGGTAAGATTACCCTAGATAGACTTAAGAATTTATTTTGTAAAGGATCAGAGAGTAGAACGTAGAAAAAGTCACTCTACCATGTTTCCTGTCTGGTACTTCTGCAGTGATGTAGCCAGGTTCTTTAAATTTGGATGGAACAGGGCTTGGTTCATGAGAAACTGTAAGGAAGTCCAGTACAAAATTAGTCTGCAATCTGACAGGGAGCAAGGGATTCAAAATACTGTGTGCTGCTAATCCTATGAGATGAAAGGATTTTGAAGGAAGAATTCTCAAAGGGGAATGGGTAATTTCAGGAAAATGAACGTCAAAAGTGGCATGACAAGAACTATCTGGTCTTCTAATCCTATCCATCTGTGTGATGAAGTTCTACGCATGATCCACTGGCATGTCTTTGGAATTTTGCTCAGTGCAGAAACTCATTATTTCTAAACAACCGCCAGGAATGCTCTATCTACCAACAATCACTCCACATATAATTTTATCAAACATATGAGAACAGATAATTACCAGGTTTGGTAATTGGAAGTTCTGGCGTGGTCAAGACTTTAGGAAGAGATTTATCATCCACAGTTGAAACTAGAAAAAAGCAAAGAACCCCAAGGTATATTTAGTGTCCATGTTGAAGGACATTGTTACACCTATGCATCCTAGGTTGCCTATGTGCCCTTCTATTTTGAGGAAGAATTGTTATACGTGGTCCTACAATTAACTAATATATTTTCTTAGATGAATTTCAATCCTCAGTGGAGGACTCTAATTTCCAGGAAGTCTGGAGTTCATCTTCATTTCAGAAAGAAATACGGTAGGTAAATTCCAGAGCTAGAAAGAAGCATGTTAAAAAAGTCACTCTACCATGTTTCTTGTCTGGCACTGCGGGCAGGATGTTGTCGGGTTCTTTATACTCTGGCGGAACCGGGCTTGGTTTATAAGAATCTGAAAGGAAGTCCAGTCTAAAATTAATCTACATTTGGTAGCAAAGTACAGGATTCAAAATACCGTGTTACTTATGAAAGGATTTTCAACGGAAGAAGAAGGAATTCTCAAAGGGAAATGGGAGTTAAACCTTGGGAAAATAAAGATCTAAAGGAGCTTGAAAAAAAGCGAATGTTCTCCCAATCCTATGCATCTCTAAAGCTCTGCATATGGTCTTGCGCGCATGTCTTTCAAAGTTATGTTCAATCAGCAACTCTTTACTTCTAAGTAGCCACTAAAAGCGCAAGATCTACCCACTATCACCCTGTATACATTTGTTATCAACCACAGGAGAACACATAATTACCAGATTTGGTAATCGGAAGATCTGGCGTGGTCAAGACTTTAGGAAGATAATTATCGTCCTCAGTTGAAACTAGAAAAAAGCAAAGAACTCCCAAATAAGTTCACACTGTACATGGTTTCACCTATAGAAGCCTAAGTGCTCTTTCATCTTAAAATGGAATTAACAGGCATGACACTACTGTGAAGAAATACATTGTCTGGGAAGAATTTTCATCTTTCATATAGAGGGACCCAGGAAAATTTTGGTTTCTACGGTGCTCTGTCTTCTGATTGGAAAGTGTCCCTTCATTCCATTCAGTGTTGTAGAGCATTCGTGATTCAACAATATGCTTCATTCTTGTGCAGGTATTAATTTCCAGAATGCCTGGATTTGGTAAATGCTATCGGTAAGATTACCCTAGATAGACTTAAGAATTTATTTTGTAAAGGATCAGAGAGTAGAACGTAGAAAAAGTCACTCTACCATGTTTCCTGTCTGGTACTTCTGCAGTGATGTAGCCAGGTTCTTTAAATTTGGATGGAACAGGGCTTGGTTCATGAGAAACTGTAAGGAAGTCCAGTACAAAATTAGTCTGCAATCTGACAGGGAGCAAGGGATTCAAAATACTGTGTGCTGCTAATCCTATGAGATGAAAGGATTTTGAAGGAAGAATTCTCAAAGGGGAATGGGTAATTTCAGGAAAATGAACGTCAAAAGTGGCATGACAAGAACTATCTGGTCTTCTAATACTATCCATCTGTGTGATGAAGTTCTACGCATGATCCACTGGCATGTCTTTGGAATTTTGCTCAGTGCAGAAACTCATTATTTCTAAACAACCGCCAGGAATGCTCTATCTACCAACAATCACTCCACATATAATTTTATCAAACATATGAGAACAGATAATTACCAGGTTTGGTAATTGGAAGTTCTGGCGTGGTCAAGACTTTAGGAAGAGATTTATCATCCACAGTTGAAACTAGAAAAAAGCAAAGAACCCCAAGGTATATTTAGTGTCCATGTTGAAGGACATTGTTACACCTATGCATCCTAGGTTGCCTATGTGCCCTTCTATTTTGAGGAAGAATTGTTATACGTGGTCCTACAATTAATTAATATATTTTCTTAGATGAATTTCAATCCTCAGTGGAGGACTCTAATTTCCAGGAAGTCTGGAGTTCATCTTCATTTCAGAAAGAAATACGGTAGGTAAATTCCAGAGCTAGAAAGAAGCATGTTAAAAAAGTCACTCTACCATGTTTCTTGTCTGGCACTGCGGGCAGGATGTTGTCGGGTTCTTTATACTCTGGTGGAACCGGGCTTGGTTTATAAGAATCTGAAAGGAAGTCCAGTCTAAAATTAATCTACATTTGGTAGCAAAGTACAGGATTCAAAATACCGTGTTACTTATGAAAGGATTTTCAACGGAAGAAGAAGGAATTCTCAAAGGGAAATGGGAGTTAAACCTTGGGAAAATAAAGATCTAAAGGAGCTTGAAAAAAAGCGAATGTTCTCCCAATCCTATGCATCTCTAAAGCTCTGCATATGGTCTTGCGCGCATGTCTTTCAAAGTTATGTTCAATCAGCAACTCTTTACTTCTAAGTAGCCACTAAAAGCGCAAGATCTACCCACTATCACCCTGTATACATTTGTTATCAACCACAGGAGAACACATAATTACCAGATTTGGTAATCGGAAGATCTGGCGTGGTCAAGACTTTAGGAAGATAATTATCGTCCTCAGTTGAAACTAGAAAAAAGCAAAGAACCCCCAAATAAGTTCACACTGTACATGGTTTCACCTATAGAAGCCTAAGTGCTCTTTCATCTTAAAATGGAATTAACAGGCATGACACTACTGTGAAGAAATACATTGTCTGGGAAGAATTTTCATCTTTCATATAGAGGGACCCAGGAAAATTTTGGTTTCTACGGTGCTCTGTCTTCTGATTGGAAAGTGTCCCTTCATTCCATTCAGTGTTGTAGAGCATTCGTGATTCAACAATATGCTTCATTCTTGTGCAGGTATTAATTTCCAGAATGCCTGGATTTGGTAAATGCTATCGGTAAGATTACCCTAGATAGACTTAAGAATTTATTTTGTAAAGGATCAGAGAGTAGAACGTAGAAAAAGTCACTCTACCATGTTTCCTGTCTGGTACTTCTGCAGTGATGTAGCCAGGTTCTTTAAATTTGGATGGAACAGGGCTTGGTTCATGAGAAACTGTAAGGAAGTCCAGTACAAAATTAGTCTGCAATCTGACAGGGAGCAAGGGATTCAAAATACTGTGTGCTGCTAATCCTATGAGATGAAAGGATTTTGAAGGAAGAATTCTCAAAGGGGAATGGGTAATTTCAGGAAAATGAACGTCAAAAGTGGCATGACAAGAACTATCTGGTCTTCTAATACTATCCATCTGTGTGATGAAGTTCTACGCATGATCCACTGGCATGTCTTTGGAATTTTGCTCAGTGCAGAAACTCATTATTTCTAAACAACCGCCAGGAATGCTCTATCTACCAACAATCACTCCACATATAATTTTATCAAACATATGAGAACAGATAATTACCAGGTTTGGTAATTGGAAGTTCTGGCGTGGTCAAGACTTTAGGAAGAGATTTATCATCCACAGTTGAAACTAGAAAAAAGCAAAGAACCCCAAGGTATATTTAGTGTCCATGTTGAAGGACATTGTTACACCTATGCATCCTAGGTTGCCTATGTGCCCTTCTATTTTGAGGAAGAATTGTTATACGTGGTCCTACAATTAATTAATATATTTTCTTAGATGAATTTCAATCCTCAGTGGAGGACTCTAATTTCCAGGAAGTCTGGAGTTCATCTTCATTTCAGAAAGAAATACGGTAGGTAAATTCCAGAGCTAGAAAGAAGCATGTTAAAAAAGTCACTCTACCATGTTTCTTGTCTGGCACTGCGGGCAGGATGTTGTCGGGTTCTTTATACTCTGGTGGAACCGGGCTTGGTTTATAAGAATCTGAAAGGAAGTCCAGTCTAAAATTAATCTACATTTGGTAGCAAAGTACAGGATTCAAAATACCGTGTTACTTATGAAAGGATTTTCAACGGAAGAAGGAGGAGTTCTCAAAGGGAAATGGGAGTTAAACCTTGGGAAAATAAAGATCTAAAGGAGCTTGAAAAAAAGCGAATGTTCTCCCAATCCTATGCATCTCTAAAGCTCTGCATATGGTCTTGCGCGCATGTCTTTCAAAGTTATGTTCAATCAGCAACTCTTTACTTCTAAGTAGCCACTAAAAGCGCAAGATCTACCCACTATCACCCTGTATACATTTGTTATCAACCACAGGAGAACACATAATTACCAGATTTGGTAATCGGAAGATCTGGCGTGGTCAAGACTTTAGGAAGATAATTATCGTCCTCAGTTGTTGAAACTAGAAAAAAGCAAAGAACCCCCAAATAAGTTCACACTGTACATGGTTTCACCTATAGAAGCCTAAGTGCTCTTTCATCTTAAAATGGAATTAACAGGCATGACACTACTGTGAAGAAATACATTGTCTGGGAAGAATTTTCATCTTTCATATAGAGGGACCCAGGAAAATTTTGGTTTCTACGGTGCTCTGTCTTCTGATTGGAAAGTGTCCCTTCATTCCATTCGGTGTGGTAGAGCATTCGTGATTCAACAATATGCTTCATTCTTGTGCAGATATTAATTTCCAGAATGCCTGGATTTGGTAAACCCTTTCGATAACACTAGATAGATGCAAGAACTTATCTTGTAAAGAGTAGAACGTAGAAAAAGTCACTCTACCATGTTTCCTGTCTGGTACTTCTGCAATGATGTAGCCAGGTTCTTTAAATTTGGATGGAACAGGGCTTGGTTCATGAGAAACTGTAAGGAAGTCCAGTACAAAATTAGTCTGCAATCTGACAGGGAGCAAGGGATTCAAAATACTGTGTGCTGCTAATCCTATGAGATGAAAGGATTTTGAAGGAAGAATTCTCAAAGGGGAAATGGGTAATTTCAGGAAAATGAACATCAAAAGTGGCATGACAAGAACTATCTGGTCTTCTAATACTATCCATCTGTGTAATGAAGGTCTATGCATGATCCACTGGCATGTCTTTGGAATTTTGCTCAGTGCAGAAACTCATTATTTCTAAACAACCGCCAGGAATGCTCTATCTACCAACAATCACTCCACATATAATTTTATCAAACATATGAGAACAGATAATTACCAGGTTTGGTAATTGGAAGTTCTGGCGTGGTCAAGACTTTAGGAAGAGATTTATCATCCACAGTTGAAACTAGAAAAAAGCAAAGAACCCCAAGGTATATTTAGTGTCCATGTTGAAGGACATTGTTACACCTATGCATCCTAGGTTGCCTATGTGCCCTTCTATTTTGAGGAAGAATTGTTATACAATTAACTAATATATTTTCTTAGATGAATTTCAATCCTCAGTGGAGGACTCTAATTTCCAGGAAGTCTGGAGTTCATCTTCATTTCAGAAACGAATTCGGTAGGTAAATTCCAGAGCTAGAAAGAAGCATGTTAAAAAAGTCACTCTACCATGTTTCTTGTCTGGCACTGCGGGCATGATGTTGTCGGGTTCTTTATACTCTGGCGGAACCGGGCTTGGTTTATAAGAATCTGAAAGGAAGTCCAGTCTAAAATTAATCTACATTTGGTAGCAAAGTACAGGATTCAAAATACCGTGTTACTTATGAAAGGATTTTCAACGGAAGAAGGAGGAGTTCTCAAAGGGAAATTGGGAGTTAAACCTTGGGAAAATAAAGATCTAAAGGAGCTTGAAAAATTCCAGAGGTAGAAAGAAGCATGTAAAAAGAGTCACTCTACCATGTTTCATGTCTGGTACTTCTGGTACGATGTAGTCTGGTTCTTTAAGCTGTGTTGGACCCGGCCTTGGTTTATAAGAAGCTGAAAGGAAGTCCTGTCTAAAATTAATCTACATTTGACAGTGAAGTACAAGATTCAATATACAATATTATTCTAATCATATGAAAGGATTTTGAACTAAAGAAGTAACTATTCTAACTGTGTAATGTGAGTTTTACCTCAAGAAAATGAATATCAAAAGTAACACTATACAGTAAGGATGGTCTCCTAATACTATGTATCTATGTATTGAAGCTCTACATATCATCCATGCGTATGTCTTTTAAAATCCCGGCCAGTGCAGACACTCTTTGTGTCTCTATTGCCATTGGTAATACATTCACAGTCACAAACAAATGAAATTCAATTTTATCAAACTTATGAGAAGCCATTATTACCAGGTTTGGTGATTGGGGGTTCTGATGTAGTCAAAACTTTAGGAAGATAATTATCATCTTCAGCTGAAACTGAAAAAAAGCAAACAATCCCAAAATAAATTTACAGCGTCCATATTGAAGGACATGCTTACACTTATGTAGCGTATGTTTCTTACAAGGCCTTCTATGTTAAAATGGCATTGTTATGCATGGTTCTATTATGAAGTAATATATTGTCTTAGATTAATTTTAATCTCCAATAGAGAACTATTAAAGAAATTTTGTTGTGCATGGTGTGACGTCTTCAGATTTGAATGTGTACTTGTATTTCTTTTTATGAAGTTTTGTACAGCATTCATGATTGAATGAATATATTTAGAATGAATATGCATTTTATAATTTCAAGGAAGTCTGGAATTCATGTTCATTTCAGAAAGGAATATTAGATAAATGCCAGAGATAAAAAGAAACATGTTTAAAAAGTTACTCTAACATGTTTCATGTCTGGTACTGCTGATATGATGTACTTGGGTTTTTTAAACTTTGGCAGAACCCTGCTTGTTTTAAAAGAAGTCGAAATGAAGTCCTGTCTAAAATTAATCTACATTTGAATGGGAAATACAAGATTCTAAATACCATCTGATAGTAATCATATCTATGGAAGGGTTTTGAATTGAAGAATAAATTATTCTAAGAGAATGATGGGTGTGTATGTGTGAAACCCCATGAAAAATAATTGCAATTGCCTCAAAAAGAAATATTTATTGTGGTTATATGTAGTAAACCGTTGCATATGATCAACAAGCATGTCTGTCAAAGTTTTTTTAAGTTTTGAATCTCCTTGTTTCTAAGTAGCCATGAAGTATGCATTATCTAACCAGCAATCACAAAGTACAAGATTTTATCAAATATAGGAACATATAATTACCAGGTTTGGTAATTGGAAATTCTGGCGTAGTCAAAAGTTTAGGAAGATAATTATCATCGTCAGTTGAAACTGGAAAAAAAGCAAATAGCCCCAAAATATGGATTTCATATTCATATAGTATAAGAATACAGTAGACATATTCCAATAGTTATCTTGTAAAGTAGAAGGAAGAAATATTTAAAAATCATTATACCAAATTTCCTGTCTGGTTCTTCTGGCTTGGTATAGTCGAATTCTTTAGACTTTGATGGAACAGGGTTTATTTCTTTTGAAGCTGAAAAGAAATCCAGTTGAGAATTAATTAATACAGTATCTTGAAAGGATGGTAAAAGGATTCTCAATTTGATGGGATCATATTAATATTCAAACTATTTCTTAAATAACCATAGTAGGGGAACCTGTAGGTTTAAGTTCTGAATTTGCTGAGGACAGTGACCTTTTGATGTTTAACATGTTTATATTGTGTCAATTTATAAACAAATTTTCCTGCATTGGCTTTCAAATTTGAAGTTCACAATTTACTCTGACATTGTAATTAATTATACTATATTTGTTTGCATTCACCATGGAGAATTATATTAGCTTTGTTTGCTTTTACCGTTCCCTTTTAAGTCAAATTTTGCTTGTTTAAATATTGTCTTGCTTGTGTTTTATTGCTAGATATAAGTCAGAGAATTTGATTCAGATTTATATGCATTCCAGATACTTATACATTAATGGCCACATCAATGCATTCACAACTAATTATCACATGACATAAATGTGATCATAGATGTTATTTATTAAGGTGTTTTGCATAAAATGTATATTTTGCAATATGTTGCATAACATCCAATCTGCAAAAATCTGAATGAGGCTGAAAATAAGCAAAAAATAAAGACTCCTGTCACTGAATTTCATTAATGGTTTTTCAGAATTTTATAAAATTTTAATGAAGCCTGAATCTCATATTGGAGTCTTTGAAACACTATATCCAATTCAAGTCCAAGAGAATATTTCAAACAGATATATAAAAAATACAATATTTAAAAAGTCAGTCTGCCAGGTTTCCTGTCTGGTACTTCTGGCATAGTAAAATCAGGTTCTTTAGATTTTTATGAAACAGGGCTCTCTATTAACAGAGAATTAATAGATAGACTTAAACTATTATAAAAGCAATAATTTATAACTAAAATATTGCATAGAAGAATTTTCATGAACAGAACTAAATAAACTCCAGGGGAATTGAGTTGAAAAGTAGTATAAAAGAAAAAAAGTATTGATGGTATGTTATAAATTTAAAAGAATAGATTGGTGAAAAATGAGCTAAATGATCAATTATAAGTTGATCCTGGAAATCCCTCTATTTTGGATATTATTATTTTTCTGTAGTAAGACTGATTATCACAACTTTACCATTTAATTGTGATATGTAAGGCAATCCTGTAAAACATTGATTCCATTTTCATGTACAAAGACAAATAATCTAGTCTTTCTAAAAAAATGGAAATTGTTTACTTATTTCCGTACTTTTATAAGTCTGCATATTATAGTTATGACTAGCTATACATGTATCAAGGAGACCTTGCTTTAAAATTCTAGATTTTTAATTCCAGAAACACTCACATTACTAGCTGTTATTAATGTACTTCGTACAATAAAATCACCCGAGATTTTATGAGATATCTAAAGAAATAATTACCAAGTTTAGTAAGTGAGATTCTGATGTTATGAATAGTTTAGGAAAAAAATTATCTGCTATGGCAGTGATGGCTAACTTTTGTGCCAGCATGTGCCAAAAGCGGGGGGATCGGAGGGGCCTGTTTGCATGCCCACACCCATAATTCAATACCCCCCATGCTCCCCCACTTTTGGCATGCAATGGCAAAAAGGTTACCGGTGGGCTGGTAGGTCCGAAAACGGGCGAAAACGGCCTTCCCTACTCCCCAAGGCCCTCTGGAGGCCGGAAATGGCCCATTTCTCGACTTCCCGTGGATCTGGAAGTCCTGAAAATCAGTTTGCCGGCACACACATGTGTGCTGGAGCTGAGCTAGGGCAACACTTCCGTGCCCATAGATATGGCTCTGCGTGCCTCCTGTGGCACGCATGCCATTGGTTCACCATCATGGTGCTATGGTAAAAGCTGGGGGAAGGCGGAAACCACAAATAATTGAAATGTTTCATGTTGAAAGGTAAAGCCTCAAATTTGTCTTGAAATGTTAGTGACATGTTATACATGTTTTTTAAAACGTATCTCTTAGACTGAAGTTGAGTTCAGTTACCATAGAGGATTTTGACTGCAAAAGTATGTCTCACTGATAGTACCAAAGTTTTAGGATAATGTTTATCAGATGAAGTGCAAAACTTTTCCTCTCAAAAAGTTTTGTTTATGTGGCTTAATATAATCATTCTCAAATATTAGACTGTACTTTCTTGAGAACATAATCTCAATCTTTTAGAAATTTATTAGCCAATTATGTTTTATAATCAGTTGGGTTACTTAATTTATTTGCAATATTCTACCCAAGTTAAGAAGACTATTGTATTCCGAAGCATTTTTCTGCACTGGGATTAACAGCAAACGATAGTTATTTAAGAAAATAAAAAATAATCTAGCAGGTTATTTTGGAGCTATTAAATTATGATTTACCAGGTGTGGTTGGTGGAGTCTTTGAAAATATTTTTTAAAATGATGATCAAATTATAGGAACTATTGGAATTTAGATACTAATTAGAAAAATCTAATGCAATTTTTCATAGATTAATTGTAAAAGTTTTGTCTAGTAATATATTGAAGTTTTTTCTAGTAATCTGGTTTCAATTATTCCCTTCTCAATTGCAATTGTGTAACTGGTTTCAATGCAAACATGGCCCAATTAGGGGCAAAAATTACAACATATTAAGAGTCAAGTACACATTATGCTTTTCCTCTTACTTTACTAAGTCTACTGATCCAATAGGTTAAGCATATGCCTAATTCTATCAGACATGGAATCATGGACTCTATTATTTTCATCCTACCACATATTCATATCACATTTGATATTCTTATTTTAGAGGCTCACAATTTTACCCAGATTTGGCACAATTCAATAGAATGCAACAGTTTAGATTCATAGTTTATACATTTTGGGGAATCAAATACCTCTTTTAATCTTTATATAAGGAATACAGCAGAGATGGGTTTCAGCAGGTTCTGACCAGTTCTGGAGAACTGGTAGCGGAAATTTTGAGTAGTTCGGAGAACCGGTAGTAAAAATTCTGACTGGCCCCACCCCCATCTATTCTCTGCCTCTCAAGTCCCAGCTCATCGGGAGGAAATGGAGATTTTGCAATAACCTTCTGCTGGATTGGGGAGGGAATGGAGATTTTACAGTATCTTTCCCCTGGAGTGGGGTGGGAATGGAGATTTTATAATATCCTTCCCCTGCCACGCGCACCAAGCCACACCAACCAAGCCATGCCATGCCCACCAAGCCACGCCCACAGAACCGGTAGTTAAAAAAAATCGAAATCCACCACTGGAATACACAGTATTTAAATAAAATGTTAATGATAAATTGCATGAGTAAAATATATGATTAAATAATAAATATAATGGATGGATCATACGAGTATGAGAAGAAAGTAATATGAGAATTAGGAGTTGTTGAAGTAAAAGTTATGTTACCCATTGTTGCCACTGGATGTCCATCAGTGACAGATATCTTTGTTGTAGCAGGAAGTGGAACCAATTTGTTGGTAACTGCTGGAGTATAAAAGATATTATATTGAAACAGAGGAAAGAAATCTAAGGATTCAGGGTTTTAAGTCTGGTATTTTACATGGGATATTTTAATGGTATATTATTTGTTAAAGACAATTAAAATATCATCAGCTAATTAGTATTGTATATGATTTTGAAGATTTTATATAAGTTTAAAAGCTTGCTCAAGAATGATTCAGAATCAGTATCATTGAATAAGTAGTACATTGAATAGGTAGTACATTGAATAGGTAGTATTTAGCAGTTGGCACACCAGTTAAAGCTGGGTAAAGGTCTGTCTGACCTAATTTCTACCTGCTCTTTGAACAGGACCACTGAGTCTAGAAGGAGCCTCTCTTTCGAGAAAGAGATAAAATTGGCAATAATCTGGAATCAAACTTCCAAATTGATAGCTGCTTTGATGAGATAGGAACCAATTTTTAAAATCAATGTTGGGTCCAGGACTGACTTGTTGAGGAATGGACAGACCAAAGACTCTTTCAGAACTGATGGAATCTCTCCTTTCTTCAGAGACATTGACTACTACCTGCATCACATTTCCCATCTCTTCCTTGGCCACTTTATCCAATCTTTATGTGACAGAGCTAGCATTATAGGGAACCCTGAACTTCCTTTAAATGTTAAAAACCTAACCTTAAATGTTGTGATAATTAAATAATTTATTACAATGTACATTTGTTGAGCAACTTGAAAAAAATAAGCTAGTATTTTTAAAAAAATAAATAGTAGTCCTTACTCTCTAGAATACTGAAGTGCATGCATAACTGCTGAAATTTTCTTTGGTTTAGATCGTTTCTTAGATTCTTTATGCTCTCCTTTCTTCTAGGAACTCGGGGCAACTTATAAAAGGATCAATCTTCATTTTATCCCCACAACAACAACCCAATGAGATAGGTTTGAGAGAGACTATGGATAAACTAGGGGACTAAATTATAAAGCAAACGAAGATGCAAAGAAAATATATTTTATAAATGAAACAATAGAGACTGTTTTTGAAAATTAAATACAGACAGTATTAGAAAAACGAACTTGCACAAGTGCACATCTTTAAAGCAGCTTAGGCCAAAACTGCTAGGATCATTTTTTTAAAAAAATTTCAAACATTTTTAAAGAAGGAAATAAACCAACTTTGTAGGATGCTGCTTAAAATAAAAAAAATAGAATGAGATTTGTTAAATATAAATGCTTAGAAGAAACGAATGTATCTTTTCCTTTATGTACACTGAGAGCATATGCACCAAGATAAATTCCTTGTGTGTCCAATCAAAATGGCCAATAAAGAATTCTATTCTATTCTATTCTATTCTATTCTATTCTATTCTATTCTATTCTATTCTATTCTATTCTATTCTATTCTATTCTATTCAGGGAAATAATTAAATACAAATGAATTGTGTGCTAGCACACTGTTAAGTTGTTTTTGATTTACTTAAACTAATGTTTCAAATTAAACATGCCAGATAGCTGGCATTTTAAGGATCACATCTGAGGATACATTAAATATCACCAATTCCAGTTTTCTCATCACAACGAAAAATAAATACATGGCATATTTTTAGAAGAAATCTATCTCCTTATTAATATATTCATGTTTCCATGTTGATCTCATAACTTCTGTATCATTATAATAATAATAACAACTCTAAATAATATTATTAAGATATGCTTTAAAGAAAAATTAACATCAATTGTTTCTCATTTACCTGGATTATCTTTATATAAGAATACAAGATATTATGCTGTATGAGCCTAAAGTGCTCTTAAGTGCTAGCACTTAGTTGCCAGCTGCCTGCAATTAGTGCAAGTTCGAATCTTACCAGGCTCAAGGTTGACTTAGCCTTTCATCCTTTCGAGGTAGGTAAATTGAGGACCCGGATTGTGGGGGCAATAAGCCAACTTTGTATAAAACAACACCGCTTGGGGGGGGCAGAAAGCCCTAATAAGCAGGTATATACAAAAAAGTATGCAGGCTATTGCTATAATGCATTGTAAGCTGCCCTGAGTCTACAGAGAAAGGTGGCATATAAATTGGACTAATAAATAAATAAATAAATAAATAAATAAATAAATAAATAAATAAATAAATAATAATTGTAACAAACATCGTGGATGTGTGTATAATTACTCATTCTCTACCCTACTTGTTAGGTATCTATTGCAAAATCTCTCATAAATTCTGTCAGATTTCACTGTACCAATTATCTATTCAGGAGATAAGTAGAGCCTATATCCAGACTTTTTTTTTTTTACTTTTTTAGGAAATATAAATCAATTGTAACAAAGTTCTCAATGTTCTTCCTTAATAAACTAATGTGTATATGGAATTCTAAAATCCTGGACCAAAGAATATCTTATACACATAAACAATTCTAGTTTTATTTCAGATTTATCTTCACACATTTTGTTCTGATAGAAACATGTTGAAGATGGCTTTCCCTTTTTTATATGCATAGCTAATCCTGTCACTTATTCCAATATTAAAAATGGTATGCGGCTTGTGCTATTTCAAGCAATGATTAAATCAGAGTGGAGAGGTAATGTCCATCTTCAGCTAGAGAGATAATAGAGAGATAACTTTCTAGTTAGGTTTCTTGGAGGAGGATATTAGAGACAGTGAATTAAAGGAAATTGATAAGGATGAGTCAAAACCTTCCAGACTGAAACAGAGATTTTTGATATTCAGTTCCCAAGAATTTATTCAGTGAACAATTCACTTATGATTTAACATACCTTGAATATACAGATATTAATATTAATAATACCAGAATATTTGCAATTAATGAAAATAAATTTCATGAAGCCACTAGAAATTTTATGTAATTATTTTGTTTATGAGTATTTTAAATGCTTTCAGAATTGTAACCTAATTATCATGTACTATTTGCAATCTATGTTTAACCAAATTATTGTCCAATTATAATAATTCAGTAATTTCATAAAATGATAGCACAAAAGATGTTCTATGATAATGAAATCTTATTGGATTTCTAGATAAGTCAAAAGAACCCTTATAATTAGTATATTTTATTTCATGTTGCAATGTTATATAATAAAAACAATGTGACATGTTCTGTTATTATGAAATAATTGTCCAAAACAATAAAAGGGAAAGCTTGATCCACACTGTGGAACAAAACATTTATAGGAAAGTACATAGCAATTACCCAGTGTAATCTTTGGCTCTTCCAGATGGGGAAGGAATTGGGGCTTGGAAACAGGGAATTTTTGCCCCCTGGGAACTGAAGGATAAAAAGAAAAAATGACCGTTGCACTCAGAACTGCTTCTTTACAAGCATTTTTGAACTGGATGAGAATCCTTCCATAACAGAATTTTTAATAAATATGAATTTATATGTTGGTATTATTTGTATTTTTAAGGTTTGACTTCCCTCTTTTTTCCACACGGCAGTTTCTAAACAACTGTTTCAGCAAAAGGAAATAGCTTGGTTTTTTGAACAAAGTAATTAATGAAATGCAATTTTTGAACAAAGTAATTAATGAAATGCAATTATATCAAACTATATAGATATAAGAAACAAGTTTTATTGTGTTTAAAGAGCTTTACTTTTCTGGTTCTATATGTATAGCATTTGGCTCACTGATTTAGCTTTAATTGATTTTTGGAACCTGATCAATACTTAAAACTATGTCCATTCTGATATTTTTAGAAAGAAATATATATATCTTTTTCGTAGGCTTTTATGTGCATATTTTTTCTAGCCAGGTTTTACCTACGTAAACTATGATGTTATGCAGCCCTGGTTCTGTGAAATGAGTTTTGTGAATGAGATTTCACAGAACCAGGGCTGCATAACATCATAGCTTACGTAGGTAAAGCCTGGCTAGAAAGAATATGCATATATATTCTTTGTGTGTATATATATATATATACACACCCGCGAAAACTTAAGAAGGCACACACACATACATACACACACACACACATATATATATGTCTTCTTAAGTTTTCGCGGGTGTATATATGCAAAAAATTAAAATCTCAGGTGTTTTCCCGCGTCATGTTAAAATAAGTTAGTTAAAATGTTTAAAATTCTGGTTAAAATCCTAATTTAAAATCTTCCAAAAATCCTTACAGAGCTGTCCTCCAATCAGGACACAGAGTTACAGGCTAACCCAGCATACGTCAGCAGCAGCAAACATAGAAAAGTGACAGCTCTGACCTCACAGCACACCCATAGCTTCTAAAATAAACAAGAGCCTGAAGATGACAGGGTTGTGAGCCTGTTGAAACATTGCTAGAAAGAAAAACTTTTAAGGTACTGGTAGGATTTTAGCTAAGGTTTTAAAGGACCTTGCAGAGTGCTCTGTAAGGATTTTTGGAAGATTTTAAGCTAGGATTTTAACCAGAATTTTAAACATTTTAACTAACTTATTTTAACATGACGCGGGAAAACACCCGAGATTTTAATTTTTTGCATATATATATATATATATATATATATATATATATATATATATATATATATATATATATATATATATATATATATATATATATATATATAAATTTCCATTTTGATGTTATGACATGAATAATTTACTCTGATATTATTAAATTTAGTAGTAAATTATGTCCAGTTGGATTGGCTTCTATTAAAAGGGGAATGACCTATTTTACTCCTTTTTACACAATAAAATATTGCAGAGTTTGATATTATGAATTTTTCACTGTGTTCCCAAAAATAACTAGCATTGTAAATTTGGTCAGTATCAATCAACTCTTTAAACATATAGATCTGACGGCAAATGATTTATTTTTCTTTCTTATTATAATGAAAAGGGCTTCTTTTTCGGTATTTTTGTTCGACTTCTTTTTCTGTATTTTTGTTCTTGAGGCCCAGTCCAGTATTTAAATCCAGAACCACAAGTCCCGAGTGGGTGTTCAATCTAACAAACATACATATGTAAAAATACATTTCTAAAAGCTTTGTCTTTACCAAAGTTCAAACAGAAAGGATAGAATTGCTAGGGCCAAATCATGGTAACTTGGAAGTGTCAGTTTTGCTAGTGGGCTATGAAGAGTTTCTATGACAGAAAAGAAAAAGACAAAATACTTCACCCAATCTATTTTATTTGTTCCAGTAGGAACTAGCATACACTGATCACTCAATACCTGTTAAGATGCATAAGATAACAGCTGGTACACCATGGCCAGACAAAGAGACCCACCCATTACTATTATGGAAATAGTCCACTTATGTAATATCAAAAAATATATGCAAATTACAGATTCCTGCAATTTTATGTAAACATAATTAATTTTTACCCATTGTTGTTCTTGGCAATTCTAGGATTTTAAAAATGCTAGATGCAGTGGTTTTCTGTTGTGATTCTTTTTCTGCTAATGAAAAAAAATAGAAAAACATAATTTGGGAATTAGATACTATCACATAAAATATTATTCTAGAAGCTGATTTTTGTTGCAACTATGGCTACTTAGGCATCTACTGTAAAAGAACTTATCTCTTCATGATAAGATCTTCACTTTCCATGAGAGCAGTTTATGTTCCTAGAGAGAAAGATACAGTATATTGCACTGGCCTAGTTTAAACTCTTGAACAACAATTATTAACTTAGTATATGGAGGACAGATAGATAGTATGTTATGATAGGTAATACTTAGATAATACTAATTTCCCAAAAGGCAACTTATCCATTTATATGGCCCACATAAAATGTCATGTAACAGGGCTACAAAGAGTTTAAACATGAAAGACAAACTCCAAAAACTCAAAATCAGCAGAAAGATATAGATTTAGCTATCTTCACCAGGAATTTTGTAATTTTGTGAAATTACAAAAAGGCCGTCTTTTTCTAACAGTATAAAATTACCCACATCAATACTAGATAATAATTGTGCACTGTTAGAAAAAGACTCTATGCATGCATAGCAACAAGAGATTGAGGTATGTGTTTCCTGTTTAAAATGCCTTTGTAGTTACATTTGAGAATGTGAACAAGAACCATTGAGACATTGTGATAATTAGAAGATATAAGCTTAAATTGTAAGACCTTTAAAAAGTATTCTCCCTAGAATTGGCTTCATAGCCCAATGGACTTCCCTTTCGGTAAAAAGGGTTTGAAAATAAAATTGCCAAAATAATGATGCTCGTCCCGGTATAGCCAGCTGGCGCTATCGCTGGTTATTGGGGGCGAATCATTGGTCCCCACGGAACGGGCTCGCAATTTGGGCGTCCTCCTGGACACACGGCTGTCTTTAGAAGAGCATATGATGGCCGTGGCCAGGGGGGCTTTCTATCAGGTTCGCCTGATACGCCAGTTGCGCCCCTTTCTGGATCGGGACTTCCTACGCATGGTCACTCAAGCACTTGTCACTTCTCGTCTGGACTATTGTAACACTCTCTACATGGGGCTCCCCTTGGGGTGCACCCGGAGGCTCCAACTGGTGCAGAATGCGGCCGCGCGGGGGATTATGGGAGCGATGGGGCGCTCCCATGTGACTCCTCTCCTGCGTGAGCTGCATTGGCTTCCGGTGGACTTCCGGGTGCGCTTCAAGGTGTTGGTGATCACCTTTAAAGCGCTCCATGGCTTAGGGCCGGAGTACTTACGGGACCGTCTTCTGCCACCAATTGCCTCCCACCGGCCAGTTCGCTCCCACAGAGAGGGCCTCCTCAGGGTGCTGTTGGCCAGACAATGTCGGCTGGCAACCCCCAGGGGGAGAGCCTTCTCTGTGGTGGCACCTACCGTCTGGAACAATCTACCCCCAGAGATACGAGTGATCCCAGACCTCCGGACTTTTCGTCGGGCCCTTAAAACCTACTTCTTTCAGTTAGCCGGGCTGTCCTGATTTTATGATGGGTTTTTAAAATTTGAAATTGGTTTAAATTGAAATGTTTTAAATTATGGGCCAAATTTATTTAATTATTTTAAATCTATTTTAACTTTTGTGTATAAGTATTTTACTTTGGCTGTTCGCCGCCCTGAATCTGAAAGGAGAAGGGCGGTATAGAAATCTGATTAAATAAATAAATAAATAAATAAATAAATAAATAAATAAATAAATAAATAAATAACACTGACCAATGTATTTAAAAAGACATTGGAAAAGATATAAGACCCTGCAAGAAAAGACTACATTATTGAGTCATTTTAATTTAAAAAGAAGGTGGAAAAAAGTATGTAATATCCATTTTTTTCAATTGCATGCTTGATAGAGAAAAGATTCTATGTTTCTCTTACAATGTATCACCCACCTAACTAAGATAATCAAAATAGATAGAAAAAAATATTTAATTAAATTAATGGAATTCTATGTCAAAGAACTGGAGCTAGTGATCAGTACAGATTTATCTAAAATTTGATAAATTTTAGAGATTATATAAATGTATGGAGAATTCTATAAATCAGATTACCAAATGTTCAAGCCAGCTTCAGAATGGGGCATGGCACTACTGACCATATTGCAAATCTATGCTGGATCATGGAAAAATGTCAGGAATATCAAAGCAGATCTATATCTGTTAGAAAGTTGATTGTGTTGATCATAACAAACTCTGGAGAGTCTTAGAAGACCTGGGAATGCCAATATCTGGTCAAGTTGTACAGGCCCTGTACATAAGTCAGAAAGTCACAGTGAAACAACCTATGAGAGCACTGTTTAGTTCAAAACAGAGAAAGAAGTGTGGTAAGGTTGCATTCTTTCACCTTCCTTTTTCAACACATTTGCCAAAGCGATCATATGAAAGCTAGAACTTGAAGAATCAAAAGATACAGGAAAGATTAGAGGAAAGAACATCAACAATTTTCAATATGCTGACAACAAAAATTTCTTCTCAGAAACCAAAGAAGGTTGAAAACATGATCAAAAGGTTTAAAGAGAGACAGAGAGATTTTGCCCTTTCTTAAAGATCAAAAAAACCAAGCATAGGAGTAGAAATGTCAGAATAACATTTGATGGTGAAGAGATCAAATGAGTACAAGAATTAACTTTCCCAGTATTGCAGATTGATCAGAGCAATGAATGCAGTTCAGAAATAAGGGGTCAAATTGCCTTGGGTCACACAGAATTGATGAACATGAATAAACATGAGCTTGGCAACTAAATGCATATTATACTATGCTGTTGTTTTTCCAATAGTTACCTATGGATGCAAAAACTGAACCATGAAAAAACTAGATAAGAGGAAAATCGACTCGTTTTAGGCCTGGTGTTGGAGAAGGCTCTTGCACATTCCTTGGACAGCAAGGGTAACAAATAAATAAGTATTGGAACACATAAAACTAGACATATTGCTGGATGGAAAAATCATAAAATTCTGCCTTACTTATTTAAGCCATGTCATGCGATTGAACTCACTGGAAAAGGCAGTTATGCTTCCAATGATCAGTGGTAAAAGGAAATTAGGTTGCCAAAAATACAATGGCTAAACTCCATCAAAGCTGATACCAGCCAGAACATAAAGCAAGTGAAAGAAGCCATACACAATTGGAAAAAAATTAAAGAGAGTGGCCCATGGAATCGCAGGGAATCAGACACAACTGAGCAGATAGTATTATCGTCACGCAATTCTATTACATGTCACTCTAAGTTCTTTATCTAAATGTATCAAAGATAAACATAAATGTTATAATATACATTATTTCAATATCTAGATCGCCAACTAGGACAATAAGAATGGAAATCACATATGATTTAAAGCTAATTAAAAACAAATGTTCCAACTGTTCATGTTGATAAATAGCACTTCTGTGTGCATTCAGGTTTTTATTGTACAATCATCTTGTTTCATTCATGGAATTTGTAAGATCATCCAGAAGTCATGGTTTTCTATTTGTAGCTCTCCTGTGGTTTCTCACTTTCTCTCACTTTCTTCCTACCACAAAATTGCATGTGGGAGGGATGCTCAGAACAGCTTCTCAAGGCCTTTTTATTGATGTGACTGGAGTTTAATCTATCTGAAAATATCATTTTGTATTTATGTTTTATTATTTGCCATTGGGAAAAGGAGATTTTTTCATAGGAAAAATCTCATAGCATTTAAATTGACACAACCATAGTTTCAGCTGGAAAATCCTAACAAACCCCACTGATTACACTAATTCTGGTACCTAGTTGGGTAATGAAAAGTCTGCAAGCAAACATACAAAGTCAGAGATCACCAAGGACTCCATAGGTATAACCCTGAGCTACATACATTCTGTTCTATTGAAAAATATAGTTAGAACTACAGTATATAACCTATTAATACATTTTTGTTACCTGGAGATGCTTTTAATTTTTCAGTAATCCTAGATGTTTTAGGTATATTTTGCTTCACAGATGGTAGAGTAGAGGCTAAGAAAAAATGAAATAATTCAAACACTACACACACACAAAAAAATTCATTCATGATGCTGAAAGCAAATATTTCCTATTTATCCTATTTATTTATTTTTAATATCTGAAAAGAAAGTAAAATCATCATGCACTTACAAATATGTCTATATCTACCTACACACAGCCAATATATACCTTTAGTTTCATACACAAACACACACATACAAATATATACTATAAGACATTGGTTTGATAATGTACCCAAAGAGCCAACCAATCAAGAATGTTTGCATAATACCAAACTGTTATTTATGCTTTTCCTTTTCAACATAAATACAAAAAGAAAGAAGGATTAAACCTGCATGCTTTCTTCAAGTGATTGTACAAGATGTAAAAATGCAACATGGCTCAAAGTTCCCTTTCACATACAAGATAAAATCAAGATAAAATAATTGGTATTCCCCAAATCCTGAAAATAAAAATTATTATAAGTTAGAATACTAATTATAAGAGTACATATAATGACTTTTTGCTCATATTCACGTTCAATGAAGCAAAAATGTAAATTCATATTATAGGGATTCATAAACAAATTAATATACATGCATGCTTAAAGGTTTTTAATTACCAGGTTTGTCATGCCATCTTTCTGGGGTGGCCGAAACTTTCCATTTCAATGTAATAAATGGGATTTCAGATGGTGCTGAAAAGAGCATCAACTTATATATTTAAATATATTTAAAATTGTTCAAGATTGATTTATAAACATCTCACATAAAATCGTACATGCAAGGATCTTGTAATGATGAAGAAATTCAATTAGAAATGGACCAACAAGCTGATGAAGATGATAAAGATGTAATGCATATTTTACAGTATACAATTAAAATCTTAATGTTCCCCAAATAAGTGAGTAATCAGTAGGCAGTCAACTCACGAAGATGGTTCTAGATAAAAATGATGAATATTAATAATAATAATAAAAAGAAATTCATGCATACCTAAAATTTAAAATTCAGTTATGCACCACAATTTTTAAAGCTTTTTAGAGGCTTTAAAAAGATGAAAATAGACAAAGGTTAGTATGGAAGGAATGGCTATGGTATTCTCGAACAAATTAATTCTCATGGAATGAAAATGTTTCTGATGAAATAGAAAACTCAGTATAATCATTTCCAGTGGAGGAAAAAAAAACTTTACCCAGAGTTGCCCTTGGCCAGTCAAGAGTTTTAGATGTTTTGGATGGGAAAGATTCCAAAGTGGGTTCATTTGTTACTGCTAGGGAATAAAATGAATGTATAAAAGATGATGAGAGAAAAGCAATCTTTAAAAAAAAAAGGTTTTGCCTGTGGAAAAATATTTTTGGTTATAGAGGATGAAGCATTTTCATAGTCAATAGTTATTGCTTTTAATCCACCAATTTATTAGTTGTTATAAATGAAGCACTCAGTTTAAATTTCACACTGGTAAGAATTCTGTTCACGAAAATGTAGCTGAATTTGAACAAATGCTGGTCTAGTTACAGCTTTTATCAGAATCAATGCTACAGTTTAGAGATTTCTAACCATTCTACTTAATCATAGGGTTGGAAGGAATTTTAAAGGCCCTCTACTCCCATCCTTGTTCTGTGCAGGATCTATTACAGGATTTCTGACACAAGGACATCCACTTTTTCCTGAGGATCTCTAGTAAAGAATGACTTCCAAAGTTATGTCATGCAAATAAACTGGCATGGAATTACAGGATTGTAATGAAGAAATGAAACATTTGCTCATAGAAACACCAGTACAAAATACAATTATGTGCATGAATTACAAAAATTCAATTATTGCAGAGAGTTAAAAAAGGATAACTTCCTTTTGAAAAATAACAGCAACCTCCTTCATTTATTGCAAAGAATACTTGGGAACTCTCTTTTTTCTACCAACTAAGACTTTAAAGCTGATACATTTCTATTTCTCAGTGTTTTCAAAAGCATAGTCTGGAGTATCTTCGGCTACAGAATAGATTTGTAAATTGAAAAATATCAGGGAGAGCTTTTAGTTCAACAAATCTTCCAACCTAACCACCACTTTTAAAAGTTTTGAAAAAGAGGCAAGGAATCTTTCCATTCAGCTAACAAGCTCTTCTCATTTACAAAATACAATTATTTGCATTAGCCCATAATATGCATTTCAGCAAAGCAATGTGATTCTTAATTGCTTTTCACTATTTACTTGTCAAGTAGAAAAACAAACAAACAAACAAAAATAAGAGTTATTCAGGGGCAGAATAGCAGATCTCTCTACTGAGAACTAAAGAATAAAACCAAATATGTTTAACAATTATAAGAAAACTTAAATGAGTTACTCATGGCAGGGATGGGCAACTGTGGCCCTTTTACAACCTGTGGACTTCAACATCCAGAATTCCTGAGACAGCCAAGCTGGCTCAGGAATTCTGGGAGTTGAAGTCCACAGGTCATAAAGGGGCCATATTTGCCCATCCCTGACTCATGGCATATTTTAGTGATTAAAAGAGAGAAACAAGTAGGCAGCTTACTTGGCATATTTAGCCCTGGTATTAAAACTGAAATATGTACTATTAAGCCATAAATACAGTAAATACAGACTGGAATTCAATGAATATGTTCTAGGAGTTTGAGGTGCTGGGTGAAACTTTTGATTTACCTTGAACTACAAACTCTTTCACTTTCAAAATCAGATTGTAATTGACTATTAAGAAATGTAATTCAAGAAGTTTCTTTGGGAATCAGTTATAGTTTTTCATTGACTTCTAACCCAGCCTATACTGAGTGGTCAAATTATATGATCTCTGCAGGGATATGCTGTGATTGGTACATTACATCCTCTGTACTAGGTTTCCATATTTGTCATTTCTGGGCCTAAGAGCTTACCTCTGCCAGAAAAAGGGCAGGATACAGTGGTGGGTTGCTACTGGTTCTCCCCGGTTCGGGCGAGCCGGTAGCAGAGATGGTGAGGTGAGAGTGAACCGGTCTCTCTGACTGTCAGTTAGGCTCTCCTGCCCCCTGTGCTATACCTATCTATATTTGTTAATTTTTAGCCAGCTGATAGGTGCGGCAGAGCGGATTGCTGTGCCTCAGCTGTTCTGAAATTCAATGCGCTTGTGCAAAGTGGGTGCGCAAAGCGAACTGGTGGCAACACCAGTTGAAACCCATCACTGGCAGGATATCAATAGTTTGGCTCAATGCTTTTTAATAGATTAAGGAAAATAACATATACTTATTAAACTAAGTCCTCACGTTTGAGAAAAAAAATGTGTTCCTTTTTATTGTAGTTGGCCCAATTATAGTGAAAGTTTTTAATTTGCCTAAATTTGTTATTAATTTCTATAATTAATCCAATTTTTTCCTAAACCTCAAAATGTATTGACCAAATTTTAGTAGTCCAGTCAAGTTATTAATGCACCCCAAAGCCATGTATGTATTTTCACATTTTTTCCAATTGATTTTTCTATTTCACATAAATGTTTTTGGGATCAGTGGCGGCCTTACTGCAATCAATACTTAAAGTAAACATTCTTTGTTATCTCTAAGCTAAAAAGTTCAGTTTGAGGACAATGTGGGAAGTAATGTATTAATGGAATGCATAACTAATGCTTAGAACCAGAGGAGAAAAACACCCTATAAATAGGTTTCAGTGCTTGAAATTAAAGGAAAAAATTGGGTAAGAGTTTATTATCTAATTTATTATCAAAATTTAAATGGCAGGCAGCATCTACCTCAATAATAGATTATATTTCTGAACAGTTAAATTTTGAGCTTCATCAACAAAGTTTTCCGTCAAAATTAGCGATAATACTTCTCTATGATGCACTGATCAGAAAGCACCTGGAATGCTATTTCTAGTTACCACAATGCAAAGATGGTGCTAAGGACTACCAAGAGAGAAAAGATGGTTAAGGGACTTGACCAAATCCTACAAAGAGTGGTTAAATGAACTTGATATGTTTAGCTTACAGAAGAAAAGGCATGCATTCAAGTGCATGATACAAAGATAAGGACAGAAGGTGGGGCTTATTCTCTACAATGCCTGAAGGTAAGACAAGAACTAATTTGTGGATACTTTTCAGATCCTAAATTGAGAAAAGAAGAAAATTGAGAAAATTGAATTGACAAAAGAAGCTATGAGAGCCATTAAGCATGGGAACAGCCTATCTCCTGAAGTTGTGGAAGTTTTCAAGAAAAGATTTGACAGACATTTGTCTGGGATGGTATGAGGGATTCCTTCATTGGACAGGGCATTAGGCTAGTAATGGCTTAAAATTTTAATGGGTTATTTTAAGGGTAATGGGTTTTAATATTTTGGGAAGCCAATTCGATTTAATTCTGCTTTTAAATTATTTTAAATTTTGTATTGTATGTATTTTAATTTTGGCTGTGCACCGCCCTGAGTCCTTCGGGAGAAGGGCGGTATACAAATTTAAATAATAAATAAATAAATAAATAAATAGTAGACTTCCAAGATCCTTCAAGCACTATGATTCATATGTTTCCTATGTATATTTTTGTCCCTCTTATTTCTCACAAATGGAATATATTTTTTTTGTTATTAAAATAATTAATCCATCAGCCTTCTGGATGGGAGATAAATTCTATATTCTATAAGGATTCCTTCTGTTGTCACCTTAGTCATGAATTAAAAACCTTAAGCAGACCTCTGGCCTCAAACAATTCCAGGCCCAGATACAAAACAACAAAGTTGATGAAAACACAGCAAACAAATAAATACCATTCCTTTGCTAGGTGGCCAAGGAAAGAAATTATATATTCAGTTCCCTTGTAAAATTACTACAATAGTAGCTTGGTAAGGACAGTAAATAGCAGGGCAATATAACAAAATAACAATAAATTTAATCTCCGGATGAATAGATTAAACAAAATGTCCCTATTCCTTCTGAGCCAACTTTCCATAAGGATCACATTTCATCTACTATCATAATCTTTACCTTTTGTCATCTGTCATTGGTTTAAATTTCCCTAACAACAGTTTCTGGAAATCTACCTTCCCCAAAGGATACTAACCTTATGAGAACACTTTACTACAAAATGTAAAAAACATTTAGACCTGCCTGATGCATTTCCAGCATGTTACTATCACATGCTCTAAGCATTAATTTATAACTCATAATGGGGATTAAAATTCCACAAAAATCTTAATTTTGTGACAGCCAAATCCAGTCTAAATACCTGGCTAACTGTGTGACCAACAACAACAATAACAATAACAACAACACTTATATTTGGAGAAAAAAGTGTCAAAAATAAGGAAATCTTTAAAAAAAAAGAACTAAAAACACTTTCTGATGTATGCACAAAACATATTTGATTTATGTTGCTAATGAAATTTAAAGTCCGTTTACAAACATGCTAACTTGAAGAAATGGTTTTTTGCCAACAGAAAGGACATAACCTAAGAGTTTTTATTAGGAAAATTGCATGAATCATAGTTTTTGGCTGAAGCAATTGCATTTATCCTATTTACAGATAGATTCAGATTATACATTCAGAACTATTTGTGTGCTGATAAAATATAATACCCATTTTAACAAAGAGGTCTTTTACAGAAACTTTAAATTCATAATTAGTAGGCCACCCAGATTGCTTCCTATAGAAAAAACAATTTTTTATAACAACTAAAACACTTAAATATGTTGTTTGGACATATTTATTGAAGTCTCCCAAGAAAATTTATTTGAAATAAGTATCAAGCCAAGTAGTAAAATCTTACTTTGTAATATCAATTCATTAATGGATCAAAAGCAGTTAAGGAAAATTAAAATTAAAAAAAACACCTTTAAATCTATGATGACAAATTTTAAAATGTTTTTATCCAATAAAAATAGCCTTATGGTTAACTATCCTAAGTTAACTAGAGATCCTTGTCGAATAAAATTTTTATCTTTGACAATATTGTTCAGCTGAAAGTATCTGAAACATATTTTATCTGATGTTTCATATTTCATATGATCATATTTTATCTTTTAAAACATCCTGTCTCTGTCAATGCTCTCATAAAAATTGACCTTTCTGAAGTTGCTGCTTATGCAGGAAAGAAAGTACTTTTTTTAGTTTAATATTCATGTTGTTCAAAACTAACATCACAGCTCTGATCCTTTTAGAGGAGGCCAATTCTAATAGAATGAATATATTATTAAAATTCATTTAACAAATTACAACACACTCTCTTAAAAAAAAATCCACTACACAATGTCTTAATCCTTTCTGATACATTCAGTCACAAATACCTTCCCCAAAAAGACTTTCTCTAAGAAGACCAGAAAAGATTTTAATTTTTCTTTCTTTCCAGCTCCAACTTCCTGCTGCTTAAACCTAAATACGAGTTTTGCGCTTCATGCAAAAAAATAAACCATAATGTGAATAGTGCTTTTGTCTCAGCATGATGCAGAGAGCCTCCCATTATGATTTAGTATTATGTGTGTGAACTTTGCCATTACGGCTTGATTAACAAAACACAAGGAGAAATCCATCTAACCCAATTACAAAGACAAGGTATATTTGTGCATGCATGTACACTGAATACTGTCTTGGGATCAGATAGGATAGTTTTGTTTTATTTAGGAATATATTTCATTTCCGTACCTGATGAGCGGGCATTTTTGTTTTTTACTCTGCAATTATTTAGAGACAATTTGAAAATGATCCACAATAGTCTTTAAACTTTCCAATCTTAAACACTGAAAATAAAGGGGTTTTACTGTGATTTTAGCTATACTGAAGCTGAATCAGAAATAGTCATCATAATGGAAGTGCCTTTAGCTAAATATTGTTTGAACATATACAAAACAGCTTTATTTATAAACTGCATTATTCAAATGTAATATTGGAGAAAAATAATTACCTGCTTTTGTCTGTATAGACTTTGGAACAGCCGTTTTGGGTTCTAAAGGAACTGGCTCAATTTTCTTTGAAACTAAAATAAAAGAAATTGTATTTCTTTTTAAAGTAAACATTGGCACAAATAATTTATATTAAAAAAATCATGGCTATTCTACAGTAAGCCTTCAGGGACATGATTTAATGCTAATTGAAGAATTTATAATATAAAGACTAGAAATCTATCATTAAGACTAAAGAAAAACTTTAAATGTTATCAAGATGGTGTTTTAGGACTAAAATAATTCAAGAATGCTAATCCTTTCTGAAGAATTTTAAAGCAAAAATATAATTAAAATAATATTGAAAAGAAATCATGCTTACCTGATGGTTCTGTTGGCATTTGAGGCATAGGAGATGGTCTTGCTTTTGGAAGTCCTAGAAACTTGTGCAGATCTAAATATTAAAAAAAACAAAAATAAAACAAGAAAAGCCACTGTATGATTTCACAAATCTTGAAAAATACTTATAATTTAATGTTATAATATAGTGGACATAATCTTATATTTTACACATTCTCTGCTTACATATTAAGGGTATAAACATTTTTACTAAATCAGACTGAGGGAAACAGACTTATGTCCACAATTAGGACCAGACTTTCCATTGCTAAGTGATGTTGTTGTAAAGCAAGATCTCATGCGATTGCGTCTTGCTTAGTGACTGCAATCCTGGCAGTCCCAGTTGCCATTTTTAACCAAGAATTATACTTGTTAAGTAAGTATCCACCCCAATCCAAACCATTCCAGGCTTGATGTGTCTCAGCTCTGAGCTTCAGTAAAGTGAACAACTGCCTACAACTCCCTCACCCACCTATCTGTCCCAACCATTGAGGGACACTGTAATTCCCTAACTTTAGGCATAGGTCATACTGTAAGTCCCTTTGTATAGTGCCACTGTAACTTTGAACATTCATTGTACGAATGATTGTAAGTTGAGGATTGCCTGTCTAAGCATCTGTACAGGATGCAAGAGAGGACAATGTGTATGGTTAGGCCAATGGCCAATGCCACTCCAAAAAGATGGCTAATAAAAACAAATATGTGAATTTACAAATATGTAAAAGACCCTGTCGCTTGTCATCATCAGCTTGTAAAAGCTTTTATTTTGAGAGTTGTATCATTTTGTTTTATTAAAATGCAATTGAAAAAGATATTGACTGCAGTCCAACAGAGTGATTCATCATGATGAAGATTTATTTCAGTAAGATTAAGCATGTTTAATGTCTTTTGGATCGTGGCCATTCCTTTACGAAAACAAAGCCATTCCTTTTTATAATCAAATTGGAATTGATTGTGATGATTAAAATTACCATAAATAGAAAACAAGAGTAAATTCTGCTAGTGGTTTTTCAATGGCATTCTTAAAGCCACAATATTGTACACTGTTCGTTTAATAGCAAAGGTAGCTTGGGAAAACCAAGAATTTTTCTTTAAGTGAGATAAATGAAGTACTAATATTATTAGTAGTAAATACTGCAAAAGATTCAATTCCAAGATACGTTAATCTTCATGGTGGTACTTTTAGTTAATTTTTTTTTTAAAGTTATCATGAAACATGAATTCCAGGGGATGTATAGTGTACTGAAGACAGCTTCACAAAATCAAAGCTGATAATAATGGCAAAGACCATGGAATCTCAAAACACAAGTGATCAGGCTCAAAATATTTTACTTCCGACACATTATTTGAAGATCTAGATCTCCAGGAAAGGCTTTAATTCTGGGAAAGGTGAAAGAAAAAAAAGAAGAGGATGACAACAAGATAGATGGACTCAGTTACAATGGTGATTAATGTACTGCTAAAAGAAATAGATTGTCATGGAGGGAAATTTTATCTATGTAATTTCTAGGAATAAAAAAAAAGACTTGGCAATAAAAAAAAATCAAAAGATACATTAATGCAAGGTATTTAATTGAGTTAAATATCATGTTTGTACTATATCTATTAGTAGCACTATTCAGTAGCTTTGCAATGTGTAAACTAAGTATTTACCCAATGTGACAAGTGGCATTTCACTCATAGGAGCTTTGCTAGGTTTTGAAGATTCTAATTCACTTTCAGTGTGAGCTAAAAGAAATAATAAAATAATATAAATAATAAAATAAAAAAAAATAAAAAAAATAAAATATGGTGCATAAGTGCACCAGAGGGCCTACCGTCCCTGTCCTAATATTTCTTTTTACTTACTCTTTTCATGTATTCCAATTATGTTTATACTTTTACCTGTTATCTTATATATGCTTGACAAATAAATAAATTAAATAAATAAATAAATAAATAAAAGGAAATAACACCTTTTCTTTACACAGTGTGATCAAATATATGTCATACTTCAAACAAAGCAGGTTTCACCAGATACTATTTTGTGTTTTCATTTCATTGCTCCAAAAGCTGTGTTGCAGTTAATAAAGGAAATGGAAATATTTCAGTGAGCAATTAATAAAGAAATATTTGATGACAGAATATTTTTCAAAATCTTACTGTTGAAATATTCCTGGAAAAGACACAGGAAATATGTTTTCTTGAGAAATAAGTCCCTTTGAATAAATACTTACTTACTTTTCAATAAACAAACATTGCACTACTGGGAAGTATTAACATACCCCTCGGTTAAAGATGGCTTTCCTTATTATCTTTTTGTTCTTCAAAAATAGTGAAATCTCATTAGTCTTGGGAAATCTATTTCACCTGCTACTATCATCAATTCTTTTCTAGTTCAAAAGTGCTGTTGCTTTTCTCTTTTTATTCTTTAAATTTCTGAAGAAAGGGAACAGTCACTTTGTTATTGTTTAAACAGAGAAAGGTAAACTTTTGTTAATAAACTTTTTTGGTATAAGCAGATTCACTTAATATGCATATTATATCTATATTCATAACTCATTGACAGGGAATAAGTCTCTATCATTCACTCCCCAAAACTCTTTTTCTTCACTACCCTGGGAGGGGCTTTGATTAGCAGTCTTTAAAATCATTTGAACTATACTTCAATAATTGTAAAATATTCATAAGCTTATTACATGATCCATTTCTGGGCTTTGAAGACTTCATTTCATTTCCAGAGCTTTAAAAAAAGTTAAGGCCATTTTTATAAAAACTATTATTTTTCATTAGCCATTCACAACCAGATGTTTTTCAGATATGACAGAACTTCAGGTCCCAGAATTTAGAGCCAATAGAATTATTGGCCATGAACTATACTTCCAGCTTATATGAAGTGAATCTGATTGAAAAACCTTTCCTTACTTTCTGTCAACATAACACTCGCAGTTCTGTGCATAAAATTTCACAAATTAAAACTGAATACTGTTATACAATGTGCTGTTTTTACTTGCCATTACTATGACCCTATCTACACAACTATTTGGGGCACAATCTCACAATTATTCAAAAAGTTGGCCCATGCTTTTATTAGAAATTCATTGATGATATAGCACCTCATAGCCTGGGGGGGGGAACAGTTCATCATTGTGGCACTGTTTCAGTCCAGTACATGTTAATTTGTAATTCGAAACAGCAAAATAAAGCATGGAAAGAATATGTTACCTTGATTGACTGCAGAATCTTTTGAGATGCCAGGAGCTGTAGGTTTACTCCTTTCCAAATCTTGTTCAGCCATAGCTGTATGAAGATGGAGGGATGGATGGAGGGACAGACAGAGAGAGAGGGAGGGAGAGAGAGATTCAACAGCAGACTGATATTTGGCCCAGAGTTGATAGTTAGGGTCTGTCTTACAACCCCATTGTGAACCAGGAATTTGCATTAGAAAAGATAGTTGTTCAAATGGCATCTTTATTTTTTCCAATGCAAAATTTACTGGAATTGGGTCTGAAGTGAGCTTGATCTCATATAAATGTCCAGTCAGATTCTGAAAGAATACGTACTCAAGGGGAATTGTCTGACTACGGTCATTCCTAGGTTGTAATCTTACAATTACTTGTAAGAAGTAATCAAATGAGTTACAAATCCCTCAACCTTGTATTTCATCTGAGTGATTTATCATATAACGCTTCAGAAGGAGTCAGATCCTTGCGTTTTTTCATTAGCTGAGTCTTACCCTAAATCTTCAAACCCATCTGTAAATTCCACCAGCTGTCTAACCTCTCAGAGTTGCCTTGATTTTAGGCTCTAAATTCATTTTTGGAACTGAGTATGTACAGCTGTTTAGGTTTACTGTTGTAGTAGATTCCAGATACTTTTCTCTCATTCATCTATGTTTGTTCCAGTAGCTCACATATCATCACCTTCTCTTATTAGTTTCTAATTCCTCTTATTGTATTAGTTTCTAATACAATACAAACAAACTATGATATCCTAGTTTGTGTTACTCTTATATTTGAGCTAGGGAGGTAATACATTAGGAAGTCTTTGCCCCAGTACTACTACTGGCAAGGTAAATATCATCTGGGATTCAAACCCTGATATCCTGCGTCAAAAGTGGACATATTATCTACCATATTATCCAGTTACTATATGAACAAGTATTGTAAGAACATATGGGAGAAAGAGAAGGCAAACAACATTAGTGCAAAGTGGCTATAGGACATGAGAACAAACCATACTAATTTCCCAGAACCACAATATCATAACTCATAATAGCAGGTACCCAACAGTGAGTAAGGAGCATGAAGAGCTGGATAGCACTTGGCCCACACATGATCTCCACCTACTGGTTAAAGAAACTGAAAGTAACGCATCAATGCCTAAAGTACCCTACAGACTCAGTAATGCCTGATCAATGGGACTGGATGAATACTATTTTTGACATATGTCCAGCAGACTTCTCTAACACTAATGGACAAAAATAGTCTTCCATCCATGGATTGTATGCTGCACTGTCTAATTCATGGGGAGGAAGACAGATTTATTGGAAAGAAGAAAAGAGTTTGCCTTCCTGCTGTCAGATCTCCAGTCCCATGGAATGATCTTTCTATGGATAATCAGGAAAAAAAAATGTTCATCACCACCCATTGCATTTCTTGCCAACTTGAGGAAACCTTCTTCTCTCCACAGAATGAGAAGTGAACAGCTGGTTCTCTTCTCATACATCTTTAACTGCTTCTTCCTGAATTAAAACTTCACAAAACTACACAAACACATTAATGTGTATTCAATGGTTCTCTGGAAGTCACTGAATAAATGAGCAATAAAAATGTATGTCTCTCAATATATTTTTCCAAATAATATGTGATGTGATTACCGGTAATGAAAGGTAATTTTAGCTCAATGTAAATAATTAAAAGTTCAAATTACTATATAGAAAGAAAGAACAAAATAATCACCAGTCTGGGATTGTGGGGTGATTTCTTTTACTTCTGTTGTCTTTGATTCTGGGACCCATTTTTGAGTTTTGTTCTTAACTGCATAAAACAAGAATGCACTTCTTAATTTAAAAGGAAAGATATATCGCCTATATATGCAAATAATGTTCATCACTTGTAGTCAAGCTGTCTGAATCAGTATACTTTGATTTAGTTTACTGCTTAAATTACTAAAGCTATATTTTGATTTACCATATGTTCAATCTAAATAAAAGTGCATGTATCTTTATTTTCAACTTTCCTTAATATAAACGCTTACACCATATTGCCTGAAAATCTATTATATTAAATGCAAATTTCCCAGGCAATAATTTTATTTTATATACTTTCAGAGATTTTTCTACATAAATTTTCTGATACAAGCTTTAAAAAAATTACACTGTGTTTAAATCTTTTATGAAAACCTATGTTTTTTTCCAAATATATCTATCACAGGAAACATTTTCTTTTGTGTACATAATAGAAAATAGAAAGACAAATGATAACTAACTCCATTCAGCACTACCATCTATGCTCTGGTTGAAATTGTTTATTTATTATGCTACATATTGCTGAGTCTGCCCAGGATAACAATATCCATAGTAAATGAACTAAACATCAAATAAATAATATATCTAAACAAAATTATAGTTATTTGAGAGCAGTATTGTAGGCCAAATAAACTGTCACACATAACCATATCAAAATTTTCTGTACATTCCCATTCATGACTGTTAGTTTTTTCTTAAAGTCTACACTGATTTCCTAAATATAATGATAGGAAACAATTGAATTAGTTTCTGAAGCACATCATGTAAGTAATCAGGCCTTTTCATAGCTGAGTATACATCCAACAGCTTGTCTACCATTTCACATCATGAGCATGGTTAAACATATGGCACTTCTATGTGAATGAGAGAAAAATTCTATTCACCCAAAGTTTTCTACTTACCTACACTTAGTTTTGGTTTTTCAAATATATCCAAACTTGAGGAAGATGGAGGTTTCTGTTTTGCAATAATAAGGTGCACTACACATACAATACAGATAAATGAAGCAGTTAATCATTTAGTTTCCAAGATTCCAATCATGTAGAGATTAGTTTCAGTAGTAGAAAGAGTCAACTGGCGGAGTAGAGGTAGGAAAAGGATTATAGCTTCATCTTATAAGTATAGAAAATTATGTGTTTATTTTTCAATAACTGCCAATAATAGCCATCCTTTACCATCCCAGAGAGATGTTATGTAATTACAATACATCAGCTTTTTAAAATTCCTTTACTTCAGCAGGTTCTGCCAGTTCTGGAGAACCGGTACTGAAAATTTTGAGTAGTTCGGAGAACCAGTAGTAAAAATTCTGACTGGCCCCGCCTCCCTCTATTTTCTGCCTCCAAGCTGATTGGGAGGAAATGGGGATTCTGCAGTAACCTTCCCCTGGATTGGGGAGGGAATGGAGATTTTAAGTATCCTTCCCCTGCCACACCCACCAAGCCGTGCCCACCAAGCCACACCCACAGAACCGGTAGTAAAAAAATTTGAAACCCACTACCTCTTTACTTACTTTATGGATATAGTAGAATCCCAAAACAAAATTTTGATATCATTCAAGTTGTGATAATGCTAACAAAATAAAGGACTATTGTTACCAACAAAGTTGGCACTACCAATGACTGAAAAGCTTAACTACATACTTTAAATTTCTTTTTCATACAGCTCATTTGCTTGTATTCCAAATGCAGTACAAGCTAATAACAATTGGTTTAGCTATTGTATCCACTTAGACTGAAAGTCTGGCAGAAATAAGTTGTGAAAGTAAGCACAGAATGTTTATAAAAAATAATGACTATCTTAATCACCTAATATTGGTGCTGATACAGGAGACTGTGTCCGATGTGTAATATTTTGAAAACCTGTGGAAATAATAAGAATGAAACTGTGAGAAATCTATATACTTGTTTTGATATAATAAACCTGACACATTATGGTTGATATGAAAGATTCTGAATGGTTCTTATAAGATACATTTTTATTAAATTATACATATTTTGCAGTGGTGAAATGTAAAATTTGTTACTACTGGTTCTGTGGACGTGGCTTGGTGGGGGGTAATGTGACTGGGTGGGCATGGCCAACTTTTTTTTTACTTTTAAAAGCATTTTTCTACTTTTTTCTACATTTTTTTGGCTGAAGAGGTTGCAGAAAAAAATGCTTTTACAAGCCTCTGATGATCAGGCAACTCAGCTGGGATCGTCAGAGGCTTTTAAAGGCATTTTTTTTTCTACAACCTTTTAGGCCAGCTGAGCTGCACGATCATCAGAGGCTTTTTTTTTTTTAACTTTTAAAAGCATTTTTTCGGCAGAAGAGTAGAAAATACTTTTCAGCAGTAGAAAAAATGCTTTTAAAAGTAAAAAAAAAAAGCCTCTGATAATCGTATGGCTCAGCTGGGCATGGGGGGGGGCAGGGATTTTTGCTACCGGCTATCCGAACCATCCGCCGCCATCGCTACTGGATCAGGCGATCTGGTCCGAACTGGGAGCATTTCATCCCTGATATTTCGGTTATTTATGAAATTATGAAACACAATATTCAGTATTATCTAACATTATATAATGAAAATGTGGTTTTGAAGGTGAAAGCTACCAGTCAAAGAAACTTCGGAAACTCCAGATAGGACACTAAAAAATCAAGCTGATGATTTTAATGAAAGGGTTTTGGCAAATACAAGAGTGCACCAGGTCCAAAGTATGTTTGAAGTGCTTGGAGATAACAGAACATGTACCTGTTAGATTATGTTGCAAATGGAATTTCTAAAAATGAAGGAGAAAAACTATATTTGATATATGATAGGGAAACTAATAACTTTGTGGTGGACTAATTACCGATCAACATCAGATCTCTGAATTCCTGATATAATGACCATATGAAAATTAGAGTAGATCATTCACTACCTTCCAAGCCTTTCAAAAGCTGTATACCAATTTTGCTAAGTGGAAAACAGTGGAGATTTTTTTTGGTTGGGAAAGGAACATATCAAATTATAGCACTTATACGATGATACTAGAATGTTTTTAATAACCTAGTTGATAAAGAGCACATCACCTTGTGAATAATCAAAGTAAATATATTGATATCAGTACAGTTTTATCCTCAAAAAGCTTGTGATAGTTATTCTGCATAACCTTCCTTGATTCGTTCCTGTGCTTAAGGCTACATAAGGAAGGATTCCTGCTTTGTTGCCAAACCATTGTGTGTGTTGGGGGTGGGGATAGGGAAGGGAAACTCAATCCAGATTTTGCTTAATTTTCTGCAGGGATGACAAGCTCTGCTATATGACTTGACTAATGCAAGATTTCTCTTAGTCTGAGGGGAATTGTCTGAAACAACTGAATTTGCTGAAAGGGTTGGTATTTTAGAATATTTCCAGCATACTTAAATTAAGCAGATGTATTTTTGGTCCAATTCCATACAGGCAACATTCATATTTTTTTCATGCACATTCTTTCTATTCTATAAATATAAGTACACAAAATCCCATATTACCTTGTTTGATTACTTTAACTGGAATAAAAGTTTTTGAATCTGGGATAAACTGAATAAAAGAAAAGTAAAAAAATAATGGATACATGAATACATTTAAAGACATAAATATTGTTCTTTCCTCCTAAAATTTATTTTTCTCAATAGTACCTATAATTTTCATATGCACAGCAAAGGCATCATATCACAGCTGAATTAAAAATATTTTGTTTATTTCATAGTAAATGTTTTGTGAAGTATTTTAAACATGTCATGAATATCCATTCCAGATGCTGAAGAATTAAAATGGTGAAAGGATATTGTAATCTAAGCACTAAAACTGTTTCCAAACTTTTAAAGATGATTAGAGGCCTTAGCGAGAATGTTCATTTGAAAATAAGTCCCACATATATTCCCCTCACAATCCTATAAGAGAAAAAATAGTTTTCCATTGTTTTTGTCCAGTGTAGATAATCCAGAGCAGTGTTTTCTGGGGAATTCTGGGAATTAAAATCCACACATCATAACATTGCCAAGGTTAAGAAAAACTGCTTTCTCTTCTTGAATGGCTAAATTATATTTCAGATGGAGCTCTACCCCCATGTGTGCTTTTTGGAATTTGTTACTATCCCTTAAAGAGGCCCCAGAAACAAAATTTTCAATGTGAACTTCATAGTTAAACATTACCTCATGTTTTAGTCTAATGAATGAATGATTTTTTTTGATCCATTCCTCAACATCCCAATTTTAATTTTTTGACCTGCATTAAACTGATATTGTATGAACAAAAAATCCTATAGATCCTTAAGGACTAACATAATTGGTTATGCCATGATATTTTATATCCAAAATGGAAATCCATCACAAATAAGGATACAACCTTTAAAATTCATTTTTTTCATGATATGTCAGGAGCAAGGAATATATTTTGAGAAATGCAACAGAAGATAAAACTAATTAATTGTAGTTTTTTTAAAAAAAGTCAACATTCTCATTGCAATCCTATTAATAAGTACTCATAACAAGTCAGGTACAAACCTGAATTAATCTTACATTTAAGTAAAATAATAATGGCTTGGTCAAACTGATTGATTACAGGTGAATTGCTTCACTTTTACAATCCCCAACCCATTAGAGCATGCCTGCTCTCTCTAATAATTAAATGAATGAGCAGATTGTAGAGTGCCTCAGAAGTAGGGGCATAGTGCAACACCAGCTCACCTGCCTCAGGCCTCCCATTCATCCCCTGGATATCTTTGCTTCCCATCCTTGGATCCCGTTGCAAACCGGTAGTAAAGGTAAGTAGAACCCACCCCTGGATTGCACTGCAATGTCTCTACGGTTGATCACAAGAACGAATGGCCATTGGACTGCTGTAGCAGTTGTAATTTGAAATTGAATTATAAATAGCTTTGTGGAGGAGGGTGGTCTGTTGTAACTTTAAATGGTTGCTAAGTGACCATTTGTAAGTCAAGAGCAACTGCATCCCCCCCCCACTTTTTTTTTTAATTTGATTTATATGCCGCCCTTCTCCGGAGACTCAGGGCGGCTTACAATGCGTTAAGCAATAGCCTTCATACTTTTGTATATTTATACAAAGTCAGCTTATTGCCCCCACAAACTGGGTCCTCAATTTACCTACCTTAGAAAGGATGGAAGGCTGAGTCAACATTGAGCCTGGCGAGATTCGATCTTACTTTAATTGCAGACAGCTGGTGTTAAATTACAGAGCTCTGTCTGTTGAGCTATCCAGGCTCCTGGATAGCTCAACAGATAGCACTTGATCTGCAAACATTTAGCAAACATTAATGGAATACTGAAATGAGTAAGTAATAGGCTGGGAACAAGCCAGATTCTTGATTCAGACAAGGGAATATATTAACCAAACCAGAATGTATATGCAAACTGCAATTTCCAGATGTCATTTGCTAACAAAAATAAACTATCATATAATGCTTGAAATGAGTGGTCATATTATGCTAAGCTCCAAACAAAAAAATCTTTGATATGACATTATGTATATTAGATCATTAAGTGAAGGCAGCAATAGATCTACAGTTAGACTTATTGACAAAATTGACAACAAAGTAACTATCAGAACCAGAACCAGATGCAGTCCATTCAATTTGCACTCAAACCTGCCAAATGTGAAATTGATGTGCTTTTAACCAAAATATGTACCATATTGATACTGCATAAAACTACTATAGTAGAATATAGTTTAGAAGGAGATAAGCTAGGATTGGAAACATTAGCTCCGAGTGCGTAGCCCAGTATAAAGTTCATTGTATAATTCTGAACCACGCAAAATTTCTCATTACAACCTATTTTCCAGCCTTTTTATTGCATAGATAAAAAGAAGATAAAAATACTTCTATGAAAGGGTTCTTTGAATTTCAAGGAAAGGTAAACATAATATTATAATGACACCAGGATAGCCTTCATTTCAAAATAAAACAAAAACAGGTTTTCTTCAGAATATTTTTCAGGAAATTATGATCTCAATATATTTTCCAGATTAAACAGTGGTCAATGTTAGTTAAAATTGGAACACAGAAACAAGTCTTGCTAGAAAAAATAATTAACATGACACCTGAAAATGTAAGTCAGTGTCACTAAATTTTAAAATTCTTTGACAATGGCAAGATATATTAGAAATTTGAATAGTCTTTCTTTCTTTCTTTCTTTCTTTCTTTCTTTCTTTCTTTCTTTCTTTCTTTCTTTCTTTCTTTCTTTCTTTCTTTTTCTTTCTTTCTTTCTTTCTTTCTTTCTTTCTTTCTTTCTTTCTTTCACAAATTCTCACTAAATATAACCAAAACTATTAACACTGTGAATTACAGACTTGCTTCACATTAAGCACAGGCTCTTAAAGGTTTATCATTTAACTACATTTTAGGCTTCACACCAGGACTCAGTGGTAAATCTTACCTCTTTAGAACCTCAACCCTTATTTGGAAGTGGCTTAATTTGTAAGAAGACTGTGTTTATTGCCAACAGGAATGAAGATTTATACATTTTACATAACAGACAATTTGCTGTGCTGTAGCGCAAATAAATCCAAACCTGTATATAATTCTATGCTCCAGAGGTTAAAGCAGACTTTTTCCTCCCACCATTCCAGGCTAATGGATACTTGGCCATTCACCTGATGGTCTTGGGAATATTTTTACACAAAGTATGTTTACATGAAAGTTCTTCCTAGACAGGCAGAGGTATACTGAATTATTTTGTTGGAAGAAATATCCATCTGGTTCAGTTCCAATCTGGGAGAAAGGCACTGGAAATAAAATGGAGGCTGGAGGCTGATTGAAAAGAGGGTCCATTTATTGATGAAACAGAATTACATGGGATGAGGATATTTTTTGTACCTTTTCCAGTGTAATATTATAATATACCTTTTGAAGAAAATCGGTCTAATACAATATTTCATGTTATTGAAAATTCTGAAATCTTGATTTGAGTCTATTTTTTCACAATAAAAATCTATTTTTTATATAGCAATGCCTTTTCTTTCCCCAATTTGATCACAATATGGATTCATTATTCAGATATACCCTGTGGCTATTTCATTTAGTTAACAGCATAATTAAGGTAATTTACTTATTGTCTACTAACTACTGAAATTATTTTTGTTTATTTACTATGCTGCTGTGGATTTATAATTTGTCTCACAACATTCAATTTTATACAGATAGTCCTCAGTTTACAACAATTCATTTAGTGATAATTCAAAGTTACAACAGCATTGAAAAAAGTGACCTATGACCTATTTTTACACTTATGACCTGAGGTCATGTGATCAAAATTCAGACACTTGGTAACTGGTTCATATTTATAATGGTTACAGTATCCTGAGGTCACATGATCACCTTTTGTGACCTTCTGACAAGTCAGTGAGGAAACCAGATTCACTTAATAACTGTGCCACTAACTTAACAACTGCAGTGATTCACTTAACAAGTGAGGCAAGGAAGGTCGTAAAATAGGGCAAAATTAATTAACAAATATCTCCCTTAACAACATAAATTTTGGGATGAATTGTGGTCGTAAGTCAAGGACTACCTGTATTAAGTTCTTCTGTATTAGCAATAATGTTGCAATTCAGAATATTAATCTATCTTTAGTTATTCTTGTAATGTTGCTAATCTATGCAATAAAAGGAGAAAAGAACAAATGAGCTAATTCTCTCATTCTCTGGACCCAAGAATCCTATCTTCAATAGCCTTGCCTTTTTTTCATAGAACATGATTGTAGAAAAATACTTCTTGAATCTATGGTTAACTGCATAAAGAGTTTTCACAATTACAAAAAGTCATCTATCAACAGATACTTTTCATGGAACAAAAACTGAATGACAGTTAAGGGAGAATGAAAATAGCATGCTTATTGTTGCTCCTTTCTCTACAAGTATAAGCAACACCCATTGATAAAAAGGGCTTATGCTCTTATATATGAAATATTTGGGGTAGAGAAGAAAAAATTTAAACATAGATGCAATTTTCAGAGATCAGTTTTCTAATTCTAAATATGCCAATGCCATCATGAGATGTAATGCTGGACTATACATATATACTATATTTAAATTCAAGGTGGATTGCTTAAATATTCTCTAACATACTAGAATGACATGGGGGTTTATTGGTTTATATCCTGTTCTTTTCTGTCACAAATATTTTATCTTTGTAAGCTGCCCCAAGACACCAAGAGTGAGTTGGCTGGACATACACATTTTCTTAATAAACAAATTAATAGGATGTAGCAGCATGTAAATTAACTATCCTGTAAATTGACTAGGATATTATAAATTAAACAAATACTACACTATACTACAATCAGTATGAAGGGATTCAGCTTCTCATGTTAACAAGATGATGACGCATGACAGGAAATTTCCTTAAATTCTAGAAAGAAAGAAAAGAAAGAAAAGAAAAGAAAGAAAGAAAGAAAGAAAGAAAGAAAGAAAGAAAGAAAGAAAATCCATATAGTAGTCCTCAAGGTATCTAAATAAATGGAATAGTTAGAATTTCCCATTTAGGAGATTTTGGATAGCTTCATATTAACTTTTATGATGTGATCTTGCCTCCTTGAGAAGATGCCAATGACTATAACTGAGCCATATATCTTTTTGGCCTGTTTAAAAGCAACTTCCACTTAGAAGCAATCTAGAACTAAGGAGAAATTTCCTGACACTTAGAACAATTAATCAGTGGAACAACCTGCCCAGAAGTTGTGAATGCTCCAACACTGGAAGTTTTTAAGAAGATGTTGAATTTACCATTTGTCTGAAGTGGTGTAGGGTTTCCTGCCTAAGCAGGAAGCTGGACTAGAAGACCTCCAAGTTCCCTTCCAACTCTGTTATTCTGTTATCTGGAAATCATATGTTGAAAACAACTCACCAATCTCAGATCTGTGTTCCTGTATTAATGTATCCTGCTTAATACTGCCTGCATGTCTGCATATTAAAATATTGTAATGGTGTAGCTTATTTATGATGAAAATTAAAATTAAAATAAGCATGTTAAAAAAGTAATTTACTGGTGAAATAGATACAAGTCTGCACGCAAAAAATAAAAATAAGCAAAGGAAATAATAAAATAGATACAAGTCTGCACGCAAAAAATAAAAATAAGCAAAGGAAAATATCATAATCTTGTGCATATCAAATAATTATATTAAGTAAAATTAAGTAAAATTAAGTAAAATAATTATAATCCCAGTATTTCAGCTCTTAAAATCTTCTTGAATAATTCACATATTCAAAAATGGATTTAATATAAAATACAAACAAGACAAATAAATCCAATTTATCTTCACCTTGATCTATAATTGGATAGTTCTGATGTAAAAAGAGAGTAGCATTTGTAGGTTCCTTGAACAGGATTTAATAGCAGTTTTTGCATATATTATTAAATTTTATACGGAAAAGGAAAAATTTTAGATTTATATTTGATATATTGTACAGGTGGAACTTGAGCTAGACTGGTCATTTAACAACTATTTGAAGTTCATTTAACATTTATCCCAACTTTCAACCATAATGGGCAGGCAATTTACCTGCATAGAAAATATGCTAACTAATAAAGATAAAATTAATTTTCATTGCATACCTGTGTTTGGATTTTAGGATTGTAGTTGTTCTGAAGTTCTCCATTTTCTTTGTTGTTATCTGACATAAATATACATGTATATATGTAAAAACCTTCCAATAGTCATATAAAGATACATAAACACACTAATTTTGTAATGCCAAATGTAATGTGATTTAATTTAATGTGTGTAATACTTTTATATCACAGTTAATTATAATTTTAATGAATGTATTGCCCTATTCCTCAAGCTATATTTAAACTCCAGCTGATTTCTGCAGTTAAGTCAGTGATCTAACTAAACTGGATAATATTTATGAGGTTAGATTTATGATCATATTTTACTTCTTTATTACATTCATAGCCATCATTCCCATAAAGACAATTCTACAAGCATATAAAATAGTAACTGATTCAAAAATTAAAATAATCAAAAACACACAAATAAAATAATAATAATAATCTTTTACAACTAATGTCAATTGTATATCAAGTAAGATGCCAAAAGCTATTGGCAAACAAATGTATTTACAACTATTGTTTGGCTGTCCTGTAGTCCTATAGCAGTATGTTTTAAAATCTAGGCTCAGTCATTGTAAGAATATCTTCTCTCATCTTCTTGCTAAACATATTCCTGGTACTAGCAGAATAGAACAGACTTCCCAAAGATTGTAACTTGAATAGGGCCATATGAAAAAAATCCAAAAATTCAAGTAGCCTTGGCCTAGGTTTTTATCCAACTTTATAAGCCATAACTAGCACCTATACATATACATGCTCAGAAATAGGCTATTATTAACTGAAAAAGCTGTTTAAAAGATGTTTATCTTTCATACTTTCAAAATCAATTGTCTGGGTTCATCTAAACTAAACATTTAACCGTTTTCAAAGTCAGTCCTTTCAATAGCATGTTATATTACCCTAAAACATGGGATATAACAAGATTTTACATAAAGAGGAATGCACATATTTGGCACAATAGGTTTGGTTATACTAATGAATCTTTTATGTACTTCATTAATTTCACTTTAGTTCTTTTTTTCATTTGTTTTATTAGACACAGTTTTCTTGAAGAACTGTAGGAAAGGTCAGAAGTAGTCCTGTGACAGGGGAAAAATAGAACAGAATGGATACTCTTAAGTGACTGAAACCAGACTGGAATGGGAAGGGGAAAAAAAAACCAAGGCTACTTCATTCACTCTTGCTAAAAGCCTGGGAAAAGGGCCAGCTCTTCAAAGTCTTTCTCAACAGTAGGATCATGGCTATGCAAATCATGGGGTAACCTCAACCTAGAAGGCACACTTCCAGATTGTTTAATTTAAAGAATCTAGACCAGTGATGGCTAACCTTTTCCAGACTGAGTACCCAAAGCAAACGCCCAATGTGCATGCGACCCCCTTGCACGTGCCCCACCCCCACACATGCCCAATGTGCATGCAGCCCCCCGCATGGAAGAGACCTGACAACCAGCTGGCCAGCGCATGCATGCACAGTGGAGGTGAACTGTGGTGACGGCTTGCTGAGTGCCACCTGTGGCACGCGTGCCATAGGTTCGCCATCACGGATCTAGACCATGCTAACTATGCTACATTGAATTGGACAGGCAGATACTATGAATATAGTTTATCTAGTCTGGGTGTTATTCATGTATGGTTATGTTATGTGGTTATGTTCCTCTTTTAAATTATTGTGTTCTTTTAAAAATCATTAGCCACGTAGATTCTCTTTGGAATCAGACAGGTTAAAATCCAATCAATAAGTAAACAAATCTGGCTTTTTAAGCAGTGAAAGTTTGAAACCCTTAGAAATTACTTACCAAGTATAACCATTTTGTGAAAGAAACTCTTACTCCAGATCCCATCATCTGTATTGTCTTTCACTCCAAATTCATAAATAGCGTTGGGTTTCAAATTGTCCACCACTGTTTCTGTAGTTGGACAAAGCTGCAGGATCCATTTCTTATTTTTGTCCTTTTCTCTGTAGCGCACTGTATAAAATCTAGTCAATAACAATAAATATAAACCTTCAATCTGAGAAAAATGAATGACATTGTGTGCATCTTTGCTAAAAGCAAAATACAAATTTATTGTGTATTGTCACAAACTTTGTGGTTTGTTTTTTTTTTTTACTTTAGACATTTTTGAATTGAGGAAATTGTGGGAGAAAGAACTTGAGATGGTGAAGTTTGAGATATTAGACAGAGTAATTTCATTATCTAAATTCAATAAAGTGCCTTGAATCAGTTCAATCCAGCTAGCCAGACTCAGGCAAATCTGATCAGTGCTCCCTCACACAGTTTTCTTAGCAACCATGCTAAGTTAGCTGAACAACATTATGCTCTATAGCAGACTTTTCAGTCTGAGGGCCACATTGGACATTTTGCAAATATTCAAGGGCCAGGAAAAAAAATAATTTTATAAATGAGTGAATAAAATATAATGGAATGATTTGTTTTATTTTGCTTAATATAATATGATTCTCAACAACAGGAAAAAAAGAAATGGGACAGCTACAAAGAAGCAATGCCATGCTTCTATGGACAAATGATATAAGAAAAATGTCAAGTATTAGAAAATACTCTGAAGAAATAATAAATTAATAACTGCAGATGAGAAAAGAAGGCTGTTCTTTATAACTTTTATTTACACAAATTTCACAAATTTACAGAAAAAGAAAATGTAGTACAGATTGCTTCTCCCCATCCTCACAAGCAAAGAAAATGACCCTCCAGCTGGCTTCTTCCTCCTCATCTGCTCAGCCCTGACCAGTTTGGATAGCACGGAGAGGGAACGATCTATGGGATCCAACGATTCCCCCATGGCAAAAAAAGCAACCCTCCAGCTGACTTAAAGCTGGCACAAATTTTAAAAGGGAAGATGCTTCTCCTTCCTCATCCAGAAATCCTCCAGCTGCCTCACAACCCCTCCCACTGGGAAAATCAAGGGAATCCTATCTCCCTTTCTAAACAGTGGTGAATACATCCCTTCTTTTTTTCCCTGTGCTGTTTGGAAAGGATTGAAGTACAGTACATGGGAGAAGTTGGCAGACCAGTGGGAAACTTCTATATGGCTAGTTGTAGCCTGCAGCTATTTCTTTCGTTTTATATCTCTCGTATAAATATATCTGCAAATACAGAAGCTTTTAAACTTCCCATTAAAACATAATCTAGTTTTCTCAACTGCCAATGTTATTTCTCTGTGTAACATGTAATCATCATACATTTAATAACAGAACTTCTTTTTTGCAAACATAATTTTAGGAACTTGCTGTGGCATAAACATATAAAAAATATATAACTTTTCTTCATGAATTATGACAATTCCTATTTAATCTAGCAGTTTTTTATTTAATTCCATGATAAAATCAGCTTCAAAGCATCATAGAAACTACGTTTCTATGGTGAAATAGCACTTTATCTACATCAGCATACAACAGCAACCTAATTAGCAGTGGTGAAATGCAGCTGGTTCTATGCAGCTCGGAGAAATTGATAGCGCCGATGGTGGGAGTCTCTGCCCACCTGCCCAGATGTTATCACATCTCATTTTGACCGTCTGCGCATGCACAGAAGGTTCTGTGCATGTGCAGAGGTGTCGCGCACATGTGAAGCAAGCGGGCACGCTCCCATTTGCAAACCGGTGGATTTCACCCCTGCTAATTAGCAATTTAGATAGCAGCCACATGATAAATTCCTGGATGAAATTATTGTCAGTTGTGGGTATGTTATGTGAATGACTCTCAAATTACATTTTTCTTTCATTTTAAAAAATATATAGCATATTCATAACTGATTAGAACTCAAAAAATCTTCCCAACTATTTACTTTTGTCTTACTGTTTGTAATTTGTTTTACTTCACTTACAATCCTTTATTATCATTATTATCTTTCTTACTCATTTCACTTTTATTGACCTTATTCTTCATCCATTCATTTAGCGGTAGTGAAGATATGAATCTGTTTACAAGTTTATTCAATTTACCACATCAAAGATAGCTGAATGGTATCATTTATAATTGTATAGGGCACCAGGGATTACAGCCCTGAATGTTATTGTGGATATATAAGGTCTAGGTAAAACAGAATAAATGTAGTTCGGAAAAGGATAATAGTGAAATAGTTTCACTTAGTTATTTCATTATATAAATAGTGTATGGTCACGGTGGTTTATATGGTCTCTTATTATTCTATTCCCTCTCAATAAACTGAGAAATTAGGCTGAGAGGATGTGACTGTCCAAATTTAACCTAGTGAGTTTTTGAAGTTGAGGATGGACACAAAACTGGTCCTGCATAGCCTTAAACCTTAACCATTATAACACACTATATTTTAAATATATTTAATACGTGGCAAAGTTGCTCAGAGAAAAAACACTTTTACCTTCACAAAAAGAAACTAAGCAAGAATTTAATTATTATAGTGCAGATCTATCCAAACAGTAATTTCATGAATATAATACATTTTTGCATATAAAACAGATTATGGAAAAACATTATAGTAGCAGTCCATTCCATTACCTCTTGTTTGGACAGTTATTCATTGTGGTCCAATCATGCTTTGGATTGACTAATACTCCCCAGGATAGGAAGACAGATGTTGGAGTTAAAGTACCTATTACCAGCTGAAGGGGTTTGTGTGTCTTTGTTTTACCTATATAAGAAATATAAAATTGTGTATTGTTTTTATATATGTATGTATATGTATATCAGAAGGCTTCTAAATTTACAAATACAACATATCTCTTTTCATCATTGCTAAAATTAGATATTGATGAGGAAGGTCCAAATCCATAGTTGATGAGTTATTTTCATTTTAGAATCATTTAATTTATAACTGGGAATATTACATCTCTTATATTTCAAAACGATACAGTCAAGGGCGGATATGTATTGTAAAAATGTCTATCATAGAACCTGCTGATAATCAAAACTAGAGAACATTGTTTATACTGCATATTCAATTACTTATAACTATTTCCATACAGAACTCTTTGGGCAATAATTTTACCTCTATATTCCAACATGTAAGAAGTAATGTAATGCTTCCTCTGCCAAATCACTTTCTATCTACAATTATCCATAGATCATACACAGGTTTATACAATTGTTTACGGCAGAAACTTTTGTGTATATATTACTCCCCATTGCCAACAATCATACTGCTCTCATGGAAGAAGATCCTTCATTCCTGTTATAACATGACTTTCTATAGGAAATGACTGCTCAATGCAACTAGCCACTAAAACTTGAATATAAATTGGAATTTGAATGTTGCAGCTACCCAATTCACATGCTCAGTCTTTATTCTTGATCTTTATTCATGAACAAGTTGAACAGTTACAATGTTTTTTTAAAAAATGTCTTAGATTGTCAGTACAAATTCATCAATTAAAGAAAGGTTCATTTCACTCATAATATCTCTTTGTAAGCAAGTACTACAGTCACAAGAGAGCACATTATTTACATGTTTCTATTCACAAGGGAAAGTGTGGTGGGAATAAGTCTGTCATTCTGTGAGTGGAAGCATTCTCACAAGCAAAAAAGTTGTCTACGCTTAGAACTTTCACAAGTTCAGCAATATGCAGGTTGGTTTACTGTTGATATGACCCTTGTATATCAATAGACATATGCTCAATAGATTTTTTTCTATTGAGAAAGAGCCCCACTTTATGAGTCAAGGTGCACCAAGATGATGGCAGTGTTAGTGCACTTGAAACTTTGCCTATTTTTCATTTCATGTGTGTCCTACACACAGTGGACATAAAACCAAATGAGACTTGGATCATAATATCTTTGCTGCCACTTTGCTGCAGACACCCCTATTATGAGTGGATAATTAAGGCAGTATTCAGAGGTGCTTAATCCATATTAGGTGAACTAGGCTGTCATGTAAGTACCAAACTGAGTATAGTAATGCCAAATTTTAGGATAAAAAGTAATTTAGAAAATACAAATATATATTTGATGATGGAAGGTTTCAAATGCTAATAGCTAGTTTAGGGCTGCAATTGTTTATATTTTAGGAGAATTAATGAAACTAATGAAGCTCTAAAAATACATAGTTGTAGCATATAGCAAATTGCACATTCAATTGAACTTTAACATTTCTCTCTGTGGTTCAGATTTCTCCACTTTAATGTCTAATTCATTCTTCCTTCATAACTTCAAATATGTGTTTGTGTGTGCATACATCTGTGCCAAATTCTTCATTCATCTCCAAATGTTTCTTTCTTGATTCCTTGAATAGAGCTTACTTTTATGAGCGCACTCTAAGAAATATATTTGTCTGTCTTTTAACAACAACAAAATGAGATTTCTGTTCCTTGGGTTTTGAGTAGAATATGTATATATCTCATAAGATTTTGGGTTGAGTTGTAAGTAGTGTTTTTGTTGTTGTTTTTAAAGATATATAGTGGTTTTATTTCCATGAAGCATTTCCCAGAAATATTGGCTTGTAGTTTCTATTTTGTTATCCAAAACTCAGACAAATTGAAAAAAAGGGAAATGTTTGTGCCATTTTTTGTCTCTTCTAAATAAATATTATCCATTAATTAGAGTCAAGTGAGTTGCTCATGGAAAGAGGCCAATACCTGGCAATGCCGGCTAGAGATTAGCATCAGTAAAACTGAAAGGGAACTTCTTACTTTATTCCTCAGGAAGAAATGTCTGTACAGACATACTTAGACAACTAAGGACACCTTGAAAAGCAATCAGTGAATCTTGGAAAAGATGTAGTTGCTTTAACAGTTTGTAGAGCAATGCTTCATTTTAGCTAACACAATTTGCAAAGCATCTGTTTTAAATGTTTTAGCTTAATACCAAAGCCCTATTTTCTTCATAGAGATTAGAATAGTCTCTTGTTGTATTTGTTTGTTTGTTTTTAATTTGCCTGACTAGATTTTTAAAGCAGAATATTATTTTGGAATCTTCATGATTCCCGCTACTCTTCTCTGGTACACATCCTTTATTTTCAGGTCAGAATTCTCTACTTTTTTCTTTTTCTAAATCTAAATCAAAGAGAGATTTGCCTTGCACATTCAAAAAAAGTAGTTCAAATTTCATATATAATATATGTTATCCACTTTCTTCCTTATTATTTTCTTTTATGAGACAACAAATGCTGTGTCTTTTGCTTAAATACTGTATTTTTATGTATCAAATAAATGGATGTAATTTAGGGATATTTCTGGACTGTCAGCTTCTGCTTGAGGAGTGGGTAGCAGCTGTGGTCAGAAAGCCTACAGCTTGTTTGCCAATTGTGCTCATTCCTAGTAGAAGACCTTCTCCAAGCCTTGGTTATCTGATGGTTAAACTATTGCAATAAACTCTAAAGGGAGCTATCTTTCAGCATATGGTAGAAGCAATAATTGGCAAGCCTTGCTAGGTCATTGTAACATCTCTGCAGCATGAGCGCACTGGTTACCAGTTGAATTCCAGGTGAAATTTGAGTTATCTATTAGCCCTAAATGTCATAACAAATAGTTAGTTGGATTAACTATCTGTCTCCCATAGTATCTGCCCATTGTGTGTTTTCTGAGAAGGCTGGCTTTAGTGAGACACAGGAGACAAGCTTTGTCTGCCTTTTGGAACAATATCCTCCTGGTGACCCACATAACTCCCACTTTGCCAATCTTCAACTTGCCTTTAAAAATTTGACATTTCCTGCAAGTCTTGAGTTAAATCAATGGATGGCCTCTGGGAATTATGAGGAAATTGGACAAGCTTTTTTTTTCTCTTTGCATAGGGTTTACTGAATGGATTTGGTTTTTATTGCTGGAGTTATTTTGTATTTATTGTGTTATTTTTAATTTTGTAAACAGCAAAGATCATTCAGTTAGAGAGGCCTACAAAATCAATAAATGCAATTCAGCTCAGTCAACTTGTCTGACCTACTTATGACTTCATAGGCAGGAAACATGCTAATTCAAGATTGGCAGTGGTCCCTCGTCCTCACATCATTGGACTTGCAAGTAAACAGAGTTTTCAAAGGTATTTTTCCCCCAAAAAACAGTTAGTTGACCATCTTGTCCTGCTGTATCTCCCAGCTCCTGCTTTACTCCCTTCCCTTCAGCAGCTAAGATAAAGAAGCACCTTTCTTTCATCTTTTCCAGTTGCTTTTAGGGCAGCTTCATTGACCGTCTTGTACAAAAGCCCAATTTTTTTGGTACTTTTTGCTCTTGGCATAAATAGCAAACATAGAGAATTCCATGGAAGATAGCGCTCAGCAGTGCAGGCACTTATAGCAACATGAAACCTCTGCTGAAATATAGAATATGGAAATATGGAATTGTTCTGTAGTTTGTTGTCAGAGCTGATTGTCTTCCATTATCATACATGTGAATAATTGTGTTAATTATTTCCCACTTTTATGAGTCTAAGTGAAAACATGGGCTAATCTATCTCTAAATTAATAGCAGAAAATGTTATTACTGAGATTTGTGAAAAAACAGAGCAAACAATTTTCTGGATACATGCCATATATCAATGGAATGATTCTTCTTTTGGTCTCTTTTCAATATTTGGTTACATCATAAGAAAAAACAAGAAGCTAACGCAGATTTGACTTATGAATATGAACAATATGTAATTCTTCAAGATATTGCTGAGTGTGCTAACATTGGTTTCTTCTTAAAAAAGTTAAATAGGTTGGTTCATGTCTTGAAATTGTACATATATTTATTGTATACTGTAATAATTGTATATTTATTATTTTTTATTTATCAAATTTATATTTTGCTTAACTTTAACTTGTCCAAATTCAAGGTAGGTTACTTTAATTGGAATATAGGTCTCCTGAGTTTTTAACGGGAAAAAAAATTGTTTAACAGTTTTGAAATACCTGAGCAGGATTTCTTGTTATTTGAAACTGGTTTCACTGCAATCAAGTATCTTGGTTCTGCATCTGGAAAATATAAGTTAATAACTGTTTGAAAAATCAGACAAAGAGGAAATACTTGAATAATCAAAACCATATCATATTATTTTTCCCATTATATTATTAGTGTTTCATTAATACTACATTTAGGTTATTCAAATCCATTTTCCAAATATACAGAGAGTATAATAGCATACAAGTTTTCACTTTAAGATGTCTTGTATTAGTGGAATTTTTAGTGATGTTTATAATAAGCATAGCAGCACTGAATTGCCTAATAACTTCCTATTTCAATAAAACAATATTATTAAAATCCCTCATTCACACCTTTTAATTGTAAGAATTTCTTTTCCTAAATAGAATCACATGAATCTGAAAGTTTAGCTGTACAGCTGTATTTTCCATTAGGAAGAAATAATGAATCTGTGATAAAAGAAATCAGGAAGTTGTGAGTTGGAATAAAACAATGAAATAAATGGTTCTATTTAGAAACATGAAATCTTTCCTCTCAGTAGATGATGGAAAAAAGTAATGAACCAGTAATTGTCAAGCAATTTTTTTCCTTTGGGGTTTCAACACTGATAATATTTCCATTTCCATTTACACAGTAGACTGTAAAGTACCTGAAATCTATTTGCTCCACTTTAATACTTTCCAAGTCAGTTTTTGTCACTGAAGCAATTACCCAACTCCAGTTTAGCTCAATGTCATGTGAATGAATATTGTAAAGGTCCTATTCACTCTCAGGAAAAAAATTGATTTGATTGAAACTATAAAAACTTTTCCAATGTTTTATGTTTATTACATAAAACATAAATTAAGTTATGTAATTACATAAAAGTTATTAAGTTATGTTTATTACATAAAACATAAATTAAGTTATGTAATTGTGCTTCCATATTTGATTGGAAAAGTTTTTATAGTCATTATAAAAACTTTTTATAAAATCATTAATTTATGACAAAATTAAGTTATGTAATCACCATTTCCATAAAGAGAAGCCAGTCAATTAGATAATTATTAATTCTGAAAAAGGTGAACTATTTTGGATTACAAGAAAATGTTAAATATACACTTATTGCCTTGATGTAATAGCAGTCATGCACATACAAAGATAGTATTCTTCTAAAACTAACTGAAATTTTTTGGAATAAATTCCCTGCTGACTGTACGGACTGAGAAACAGTTTCCAAATTCTTCAGAATTTGGTTTTTTTGGAAACAAAGTCAAATGTGCTGATATTTTTACTCATAAACTAACAAATTCGTAATGGATTTTATATTCTCTGGAAAAACACATGGTAACAGGCAATAAATTCATTTAATGTTTCTCGTGAAAACCAGTTAAGTCACCAAAGCTTAATCACAATAAAAACTGATTAAAACAATATTTAGAGAGAATAAAGGGTTTTTTAAATAGTAATGTGTGTGTGTAAATAGATATAATTTCTCACTGGATAAGAGGCAGAGTTTTAATTAAAATATTTATTTAAAAAAATTAACCAAAATATATATCTTAAACTCCATACTTATTCAAGTTATATTGGTCAAAAACAGTATGATGAAATATCCTGAACAGTGATTTAATTAAGAACATAAAAATTGGAATTAGTTAGAACTTTAAGATAATAAGCATGTTAATCAATCTACTAGTGTATACATAGAATTCAGGAATTTCAGGTCCTTCCAGGTAGACCAATCAATTTCCTAAGAAAGTAGAAACTACTTTTTAGTGAAATTGAGTTACTTTTAAATATTTTAGACTGAAAATATGTTTTGCTACTTAGCAGTGGAACTTACATCCCTCTGACAAAGTCATCTTTCTTACTCTCTATAGCAGGTATGGAAGGAAACTGTTGAAACATTGACTATGTTTAAGAATAAGATATGTTTCCTCTGAAAACTCAGGGTAGATTAGTCAGAGCCTTATCTCAGGTTCTAGTATCTAGGACCGTAATAGCGAACCTATGGCACGGGTGCCACAGGTGGCACACGGAGCCATATCTGTGGGCACACGAGCGCATGTGCATGCTGGCCAGCTGATTTTCAGGCCTTCCAGGCCTACCGGAAGTTGGAAAACGGGCTGTTTCTGAGCCTCTGGAGGGTCTCTGGGGGGGTGGGGAAGCCCATTTCCTAGAAAGCCTCTGGAGCCTGGGGAGAGCAAAAAAATGGACCTACCGGGCTCACCGTGTCATCACGTGCCAAAAGCAGGGGGAGAGCGGGGGGGTCACACGTGCATGCATGGGGGGGACGGGGCACATTGAATTATGGGCGCGCAATCCCTCCCACTCCGCCCGCTTTTGGCACACAACGGCAAAAAGATCTAGGATGACTACTAATACATCTATTTACCTCATCCATTTCTTCCTTTCCATCCTCCTAATATAATGTCTGTTAACATTACAGCAACTCTATGTTTATAGGCCAGTAGTAGATCAACTTATATAGGGAGAGATTCTTTTCCAGATCATAATTACCATATGCTATTAAGGATAAAGATGTATAAAGAGGAAGATGTTCCAAAATGTATATTTATTCACTAAAGCACTTTTCCCATTTTTTTGTGAAATACACAAGAAGTTTATCAAAACCATTAACACTGGGAATCACAGACTTGCTTCACATTATGCACAGGATCTTAAAGGTTTATCATTTAGCTACATTTTAGGCTTCACACTAGGACTCAGTGGTAAATCTCACCTTTTTAGAACCTTAACCCTTATTTGGAAGTGGCTTAATTTGAAAGAAGACTGTGTTTATTGCCAACAGGAATGAAGATTTATACATTTTACATAACAGACAATTTGGTGTACTGTAGTGCAAAGAAACCCAAACCTCTATATAATTCTATGCTCTAGAGGTTAAAGCAGACTTTTTCCTCCCACCATTACAGGTTAATGGATACTTGGCCATTCACCTGATGGTCTTGGGAATATTTTTACACAACGTATGTTTATATGAAAGTTCTTTCTAGACAGGCAGAAGTATACTGAATTATTTTTTTGATAGATTCAGCATGCTTCTAATATTGTATTGTTGAGCAGTTTCCTTGAATTCCCTTCATGTCTTGTAATTCTTGCAGATTTATTGGAATAGTTTATCCTATATGTTTCAATAAAGTAAGAATAGGAAAAACATACTGCAGATTTTAATATTTTGGTCTGATCAATAGAAAAGATGCAACATTGGGTGAAACATTACCATCTTCAGCCCCTGCAAGTATATCAAACATGGTACTTTCTTCTTTTTGTAAAGAATAGCTTTTTTAATTCTTAGTGTTTGCTTTTACATAACAATCTTGGAAAGCAATATGGGTTTTGTCCAAAACTGACATAAATCACAATTTTTCCATCTGTATACTATGTGGAAACTCACTGAACTCTAGTGATGTTGATGCTTGGCAAGAAATATCATGTAATTATTTCACTATGTCCTCTAGTCTATTACATTTTATTCTGTAAGATGTCTTCACTTTTTCAGACTCACTTTTAAGAGGTAATAAGCCATATTGAAGAAACAAGTAAAAAATTACCATAGAGAGAGGGTTCATTGAACATATTAAACTCATTTCTTGACCTTATTAGGAGACAGTCACATTGGCGCTTAAGAAAACTGGAACTGAAGTAACATAACATACAAGATATACATTCAGAAATGACATAGTAGAATTAGGGCAAAAAGGAGCAGAAGGGCAATGATGGACTCTTAAATGGAATGATTTTACTGCCAAATATTTGCTGCTTATTAAAGAATTTTTATTAAATTATTAAATTATTAAAGATTTTTTAAAAAAATATTGATATTTTTATGCTAGAATTTCTGAGCAAATTTACACATCCAATCAAGGGATCAGGTGTACGTATCTCATATTTTACACACCATTCAGTATGGATCTTATAAGCCTTGTGGCTATTCAACTAATATTGTATATATTCAAGTATGTATGTATGTTTACTATCTTCTTTTAATAGCTTGCTGATCTCTTTGTACTGATAAAGACTCTTTTGACTCCAGCCTAGATCCTCATGACGATATGAAGTTTCCTTGGTCATAATATGAATACAGTTTGTTAGAGTCTTCTCCAGGTTGATTTTTTTTTTAAAAAAAAAATACATATTGTAGCTTATTCTCCTGGAATTTATGGGTGCCAACATGGACTGGCCTAGCATAAATACTGTATTTCTGTAGCCCCGTCAGGTACATTATAACCATACAATTATTCAACATATCTTTATGCCCATGGCTTTTCCTCATTAGAATTGTTTAAAAACAATGTTTTCTGATTGCGTTTCTATTTATTAAATTCTGGTTCTATTGTGTCATTTGTAGGTTGATGCCAGTCTATTGCCCAATTGTTTAATTTGGTCTCTATTCTCTCTGCATGGGGTATTTTATAATCATTCAGTTATTGAGCATTCTGTCCTGAAGCTTTCATAACTATTCTTTCATGGACTATTTTTAAATTTTATTTTCCTTTTGCAAATAACATAACAATGTGTACATGTGATGTTACAAAGCAGAGGTCCAGCTCTATATAGTGGAAATGTGTTCAAACTGATTTACACGGGTTTAAAGCTATTGAAATTTTATCGAGAAGTTAACCCATACCACAAAGGAAGCAGTTTATAGGAACTGTATCTCACTGACCAAAAGTACTATTCAGTAATCTGCTAACTTTAGATCTTCTGCTGAAAAGAAGTAACCAGGGGAATATAGCAATTATGATAATAAACAGTCTATTTGACTAAGCATCAGCCTTCCTCCTTGAGTTACCCTTGATGCTCTAAGGCCTGGCACTTGTTTCAAGAACTTCTTTATGCATACTGAAATAATTCAGGAGAGTTGTGTAACAAGTTCCAGGATGCTGTTTTAAGATTCAGATACAATGAACACACAATTAGGGCAAGTACTAGAAAAGATTTATTTTGTATTTTAAACTAAATCTTGCAGAATAAGTGCAGTATAAAGTGAATAACCTTATATGCTGGCCAGGAACTCCCACATATTAGAGTGGGAGAATTTGTGGACCTTCTGTGCACGTGGCCTTCTTCTGGGACCATGGTTTATATTGAAACTTGTTGTCTAAGAATAATTTAGATATGTATACACTTTTATAATTGCATTGTAGATACTATTTTTATTAATGACCAACATATACTCACAGAGGTAATTCAGTTAGCAATAGCAATAGCACTTAGATTTATATACCACTTCATAGTGCTTTACAGCACTCTCTAAGAGTTTTACAGAGTCATCTTATTGCCTCCAACAACCTGGGTCCTCATTTTACTGACGTTAAAAGGATGACAGGCTGAGTCAGCCTTGAACCAGTCAGGATCAAACTCCTGGCAGTGGGCAGAATCATTCTGCAATATTGCATTCTAACCACTGCATCACCATGGCTCAGTCCTGTCAAAACAAGCTAAGATAGTGTTCCAAGGCAGCAGCATCCTTACCTCCTTTTCCTAGGTGGTTTGTTAGCCAAAGATATTTTAAACATTTTATATTTTGTAAACTCTTTGGGAAGAATTTGTGCTCTAATAATAGAGATTATAATGTACCTGTCTGTGTCTTCAGAGACCAGTTTTGGTTTAATTTTGGAGATGCTGCCTGTATGATTCTTCATATAGAATTATAGATGATGGTGGGATATAAATGGACATCTGCAGGATTGACAGAATTTTAAAAGATGTGCCAATCCACCTCCTTTGTACTTGTGATACTACAGTGCACATGAGAAGCAGCGCTTACAATATGATACCATGCACATTTTGTCATTTTGATGAAATTTTGACTAACGGGTATCACTGCATATAGTTTTTTTTTAACCATATGGGGGATTGTGTTCTGTTTAGCATCATCCACATTTTCAGTATATGATTTTATTTTCAGATTTTATAAAATGTTGTTGCTAATATAAGGTGTGTGTAAAATCTGCCACTATTGTACATTTTGCAGTAAATGCAGTGAAAATAAGATTTTAATCTCTCTTCCCAAATTATCTCAAATTTTCAGTGCAGTTTGGGTATCATTTTGGACTGAATTGTACCTGAAATATTAGCCTGGTTCTTTCTGTCATCACTTTTAGGCATGTTGCATTTCAAAATATTTACATTTGCTGTTGTATTTTTCTATTGTAAGGACAACAATTGTTTCTATTTTTGTTTTACAAATCTGCATGCTGATATAATTGGAAGTTTTTAAGAAGATGTTGGATAACCATTTGTCTGAATTTGGTGTAGGGTTTCCTGCTTGAGCATGGGGTTGGACTAGAAGACCTCCAAGATCCCTTCCAACTCTGTTGTTCTGTTAATTTTTCATTCTTTTGTTTTCATTGACGAATATAAAACTATTTTTATCGCAAAAAGTTTACTTGCAAATTGATGCACTTGTAAATTATTATCGAGTATAATATTCTAGATTTTATAAAGGCGATGGTGCCACTAGGTGCCACTAGGATAGTGCCCGCCCACCAGGCCAGTGCTGAGCTGAACACAGACCAAGCTGACATCAGGCCCAGGCCACAAGCCAGTTGGTCAGGGTTGCTTTTTTTGTGGATTTCTTTTTTTTTTTTTTGCAACCAATGGATCTACAGCCATATCTATCAAAAAATTCTAAATTTTATAAAGACTGTGAATTTATTTTCTTCATTATTCTGTGGAATTCCCTGGCATTTAATTTGATTTTATATGTTAGATTAGTTTAATCCTAGAGAAAAACATACAAATGGTTTCCAAGTGTCTGGAATTATAAAGAAAAATGTATTTAATTACAAAGTATTTATTGGATATATTTGCTCTAAAAGGAAAAAAAAAAGTCTTGTGCAACACAATGCTAAGTATTCACAAGGATTTGCAACCTTAGAAATCCATCTCGGAAAACATAGATTTAAACTTGCCAAAAATAGCCAGAAGGTATTTAAACGTTCCAGACCAACTACTTCTCCACTCTGAACATTTGTTTAACACAGCTGACTATGGAAACACTTATGGTACTATGAGATAAAATTTGCCCTGATGTTTGCCAGCAGTTGCTTTGAGGATCTCTAAAGTTTCATGAATATTACTCACCAAGCGCAAAATTCTTACTTGTAATAATCTGCTTTAAGAAGAAACTGACATTGTATTGCAAAAGGGCAGCAAACAGGGTTTCTGAATTTATCAGAGCCATCTAGTAATTATCTAGTTTTCTGCAGCCCAGATCTGTTAGTTCTGATTTAATATTAAGTCTAAACATAAATTTGCTGCAGGTAATTAAGGCTAAGTCTTTGTAACATTAGTTGCAGATCAACAAATTATTGACTAACATGCAATCCTTATCTTGGAAAAAAAGCTGCATCCTTAACTTACTTAACATTTGCAATAATGTCAAATTAGCCTGTTTCCTTTACATATTCAGATATTTCAAAAAACATCAGTAATTGGAAACATGCAAACAAACAAACATCTTTCAGAATATAAAAACAACTGTATTGGTAACACATATTGGTTTTTTTTCCTTTCATAGCCTCTCATCTATCTTCAAGTCCAAATTAGAAGAAAATATGTGTTCAATTTGTGCAATAATTAAAAAAAAAACAATTTGTAAATTGTAAATAGCCTTACCAACTTCAGTTATGTACATTTTCCCATTAGATGGTAGGGGAATATACTGGTTAGAGAAGAAGCTGCTTCCATACCCCAGGACGAAACCTTCCAGTTTAGTGCTTGGAGTTGGACGAATGTATCTCATGCACACTGCATCACTGGTTACATTGATCTGAACTTTCAGGCTTTGTTTTTTAACTAAATGTAGCAAAAGAAAGAGAGATGTTATTAAAGCATCGAACAATCGGCATTGATATTCATTGTATATTCAGAAGCACAAATGGAGGGCAGAACTATAGATGATTAGGAGCAAATGACATTTCAAGAGATAGTTTGAAATTATACTATGTAAGCAAAATAATGACTGACATTACTCATAAATTGGCTTGTTTTGTTTGCGATGATTCGTTTATAAGAGTCATCAAAAATACTTTTATTGTAATTCTTCTCAGTGTGAACTATATAAAAGGACTAGGAATAATAAACCCAAAGTGAGCTTATATATGTTATTCATTAAACTGAGCGACATGAATTGTGCTGCAGTTCAGCCGTATGTTATACCAAATAGTATGTATGATTTTCAAAATGTTGACAATCTTATGAAATGCAGCACTAGGTAGTATAATGTATAGTGTCCACAGAGTCAGTTTTAGGTCAATTTTATCCACATAGTCAGCAATTTCCTGAATTAGTTTGCAATATATTTATTTATCATGCTCATTAGCTATATTTCTTATCACCGAGGTGCTCAAAGCAATGTGTAACCAATAAACACTAAAAGAATGCAGATACAAATTAAAGTGTCGGGAAGTTACAATTAAATAAAGAAATAGATTATAAGCCAATAAACAGATTATCGACCAAGTGCTTTCATGATTCAAAATTTGATTCAGAAATCTGGTCATTGTTAGCTGTTGAGATATTCATCAATCTGACACATCACACTGTCCAGAGACATTGTTGTAATTTACAGTAACCTTACCCAAACAGATGTAAACATCCATAAACTATACTGTCATGTACACCACAGGTCGTAGAAATCTAAATGCTAATACCAAGTAGTAGGCAGTAAATTATTCTTCTGAATGATATTCTTGTCATGAAATAGGTGTAGTTTAATCCAGGTGTAGTTAAATGTTACTATGTTATCCCAAAACACTAAAAGATAATATTGAGCTCACTGAAGATTTGGATTCAAACAAAAATGTATTCCTAAATTCAGCACTTTGCAATGCATTCTCTTGTTTAAGCACAACATCAACTTTATGAATATATGCTGTCATTTAAAAGAACAATGGGACTACTATATGCACTGATAAATATGCTAAGGAAATTCAATATTGGTTAATCCCTAGAGTCAAGAGATCTTAGTTTCCCTTTTTTAGTTTTTGGAACACATGAAATATCTTTTGATGTAGAAGTTAGAGTGAGGCCATACCACATATGGCTTTGGTTGTGGTTTATTTTTTTTATTATTTTTTTATTTTTCAGTTTTTACTTTGCTGAGTTTCTACAAAATTATTCCAGATCTTTGACTTGTCATGGGTCATGCAAAACTTAAAATACCAAAAAACCGACATTGTTTAAGTCAGTCAATAGAATGAAATGATGTGCTGAAGTAACAATTCTGGAATGTACCACTATATATAATTAGGGACAGATAAAAGAAAACAAAAGTAATTTTGAAGTAGTATATAAGGGTTTTTTTCATAAACAAGAAATAAAGATAAATATTTTGTTGAGTTCTGAGAGAGTTTGCTTGGAAAATGGATGTTCACATCCTATGTTTATGTGTTTTTGCTTCCCATAATCAATATAGATCTTCTTGTTACATTTTTTATGACAACTGAACTGTACAAATAGCTTTAAATGCTTTTGTATCTTTCTATCCTTTAAAGTTTCTTGGTAATGGATATCTCTACATATGTCGCACTGAATGAAACATGAGTTATTTTCTGAAAAGTGAAGGCCACTATATTTGGACCAACCACTATTTCCAGGTTGATTTCAGAGGCAGAAGTCCAACTCATGAGTCATTGTAGCCAGATCATTTTGCTCCAGTAAAGGCTGGAACTTAGCCATCAACCAGAGCCGCGATGGCACAGTGGTTAGAATACCCACTACAATACTGCAAGCTACTTGCCGGCTGCCTGCAATTTGACAGATCAAATCTCATCAGACTCAAAGCTGACTCAGTATTTCATTCTTCCGAGGTGGGTAAAATGAGGACCCAGATTGTTGGAGACAATACGCTGACTCTATAAACTGCTTAGAGAACTCTGTAAAAGCACTGTGAAGTGATATATAAGTCTAAGAACTATTGCTGTCAACCTGAGCTGGACAAAGATACTTTTGGCTATGGCTACTACCAGCCCTTCCAACAGTGAATCTAAGACAAAACCTCAAGTCATAGTAATATTATCTCAAGAAAAGCAATTCTGTCTTGCTGAAATCAACTCTGTCCTATTTTATCCCATCCATACTTCGACAGCCTCTACACACTAGGAACAGATTTTGACAACATCCCTTGTTGGGCCCAAGATCATAATATAGAGCCAAATATCAGCATATTGATGATATTAAACCATAACATTGCTATGAATATATTAAATAGCAAGAGCAGAGAAGAATCAAACATTGTGAAAATAGTCACAATCATGACCTCCTCCATCATCATGGGTTAGAATTATGTCTTGAGATATCAGAGGAACCACTGGAAAATGGTTATTTCTTTCCATATCAGTGTCTAGCACTCCATAATACTATAGTCCAGTGATGGCTAACCTTTTTGCCGTCATGTGCCAAAAGTGGGGGGAGTAGGGGGGTAATGAGCACACATGACCACACCCATAATTCAATGCCCCCCACACTCTCGTGCATCATGGCTTCAAAATCTAAGGGACTGGTTTGGCCAAAACTCAGCAGCACTTTTCCATGCAGCTGTTGACAAAAATAGGATTGGCAACATGATCACTAATGTCCGATGACGGATATGGCACATGAAGACGAAGAATGGAAAAACTCCGTCTACTCAACATTGTTACCAGCTTCAAAATGGGGAGGGGCGGGGAAGAAGGATGCAATCATATGATCAAAGCCCTACCTTTATACACATGTGTAATGCATGCAAGTGATAAATATTTAAAAGATAATTCTTGCTATTTTTACACCTACTGAGAATTCTAGATTTCAGATGCAAAACCAAAAGCTTCACTTATCTAATTACTTATAAGTTACAGATCACTTAATCATAATAATATGAATCTGTACAATTCCAGTATTTTGAAGTAATATAATTGGCTATTTTGTTTTTATATAGGAGTTATCATTTAGCTTCATTTTGGAAAAAAGATCTATGTGGTCACTTAAAGATGACACTGATTTGATGGCAGACAGTCAATTAATTGATTTTGTTGAATTCCAGTAAATTGCAGTAACATGATTTGCTAGGTTTCATTGCCTTTACACCTGCAACAAAATAATGGACTATCCACCAGAGAGGACTATTGTTGCCAAGTCAATGTTATGACACATGAGAAATCCAACCTTATTGAGTTCAGTGGCACATCTACATGGCTCAATGAAGCCAGATTCACTTCATTAAAAAGAAATTATTAGAGAAAGCTGTGTCTTTGTCATTTCCAGATCTAGCTGTGTTTCTCTTGCTATAAGAAAAGGCAGACCAACAAAACAAACATCTGCACTGTTTTTAAATTGTTCAGTCCATCTGTAGAATTCCCATGGTATCTGCTGAAATTAGCAAACTCAGATTCATTTTATACTTTTCTTTTACTTAGCACTTTTTATACTTTTTCTCAAAAAATCTCTATTGTATCATGGGGGATAAAGGAAATTGATACCATATGTCAAGCTAGTTAACAATAGATCTATTTAAATGACAGAATGAAGAATTCCTTCAGTACATGGATTCTGAGACACATGAGTACTTTCTCAGCAGATTCAAATATGAAAAATGCATGAGGAAATTAATAGAAAAAGTCCATTAATCTTACTTTGCCTAGGTAGTTGAAAAACGTATTACAACTTACTTTTGAGCTTGCCATTTTTATTATACATAGTTTTCTTATTTTACTAGGGAAGCAGCTGATTTGGGATAAAGATCCTATGACAATAAATATTCAAGGAGGAGGTGAGGAAGAAGAGGAGAAAGAAGAAGAGGAAAAAGAAGAAGAGGAAGAAAAAGTATTTCTGGAAAAAAATCATTCTCCAAGGTTCAGTACAAATGGATTAAAAACTAATATAAATATTGCATAATAAGGAAAGTTTATTGGTTGTATCTATTGTTTCAATAATGAGTGATAATATGATCAACAACTGAAGAAATGAGATGCCACAGTGTTAATCTGTAACTGGATATTATATTCAAAAATCACAGTTGCTGATTTAATACTGGATCAGTAGGAATTAAAATTATCTAAAAAACTCTGGTTCAAATCTGTTTCTTGAAAATTACAGTCCACTGTGAAAAGTGGTGTAGCTACACTAGAAAGAAAAGTTATTTGCAAAAAACCTCATTGTGGGAAGACAATCTTTTTGTTGTTGTTCAGTCACTAAGTCATGCCCAATTCTTCACAATTCCATGGATCATGGCACACCTCCACTGACCTCCACTGTCTCCCAGAGTTTTCTCAAATTCATGTTCATTGTGTTGATGACACTATCTAACCATCTCATCCTTTGCTGTCCCCGTCTCCTTTTGCCTTAAATCTTTCCCAACATCAGGATCTTTTTCATTGATTCCACTTTTCTCATTTTCTTATCATTGGGGGAAATATGCTGACTCTGTCAATATGCTGTAAAGCATACTGAAGTAGTATATAAGTAAATGCTATCGCTATTACTATTTGGAGTACAAAGTATTTGAGTTTCAGCTTTGGTATCTGTCTTTCCAAAGAGCTGTCAGGGTTGATTTTCTTTAGGATTGATTGACTGATCTTATCTCCTTGCAGTCCAGGAGACTCTTAAGAGTCTTCTCCAACACCATAATTCAAAAGCACCAATTTTTCGACATTGACCCTTCTGTATGATCCAACTCTCACAGCAGTACAAAAAGAAAATTAAGATGATCTTATGATCATAAAGAAAATTATACACAACTCTTGTTTAATTCTCTTTCCATACTGGCTTAGGCATGCACAGATTACTTTTGAACTTTGGTATGGCCCCATTGTCATCTC